ACGGCAATGACTAAATTAATTGATTATGTTTGTGTATTGAAACATACAATCGGATTACAAGTCGACGATCTGATTTATAAAAGTACAATCACGTATAGCATTTCTATCGCAATGTCAAGAGAATACAAGACATATATTACATACTCGCAAAAAAATATGCTTGTCCGTGGAATGTCTCGCAGCGATGGTATATATTTGTTATATATATATATATATATATATATATATATATATATGAATTCCTCCGACACGATAATATGTGATAAGCAAAAGCACATTATATGTATATGTAGAGAGTTGATTAAATGTTTCATTTCATTTTGAGCCAATTACGAAGATTCACAAGAGAAATATCTCATTGGAAAGTTAATTCAAAGTGATGTATTTGCACGAAGGAAATAAATGCCAGAGGCGTTAAATGATAGTTGACGAAAATAATGAAATATGTATACTGAGTTCTAGAGAATCCAAAAAAAAAAAAATTATGAAATTTGGAATGAAATAAAGAGTTTGGAAAATTAACTGTAAGTTATTTTTTAGAAATAAAATAATGAACAAAATTGATTTCAGTTTAATTTTATCGATACATTATAAATATTTTATAACATTTTCTCTTTTTTTTATATTTTTGTTTTATATATGTGCATTTTCTACCTAAAAAAGAATTTCCAATCAAGTGAAAATCTTGAAAATTTCATGCGTCGTCACGAAAACGTCTTTCTTTCTATTAAAGCCACTTTGTTTCACTTTATATATATATATACGAGGTTTTTCTCTAATTCTTTACTACTTCTTCGAAATCTTTTTTGTAAAACTGCAACGTAGCATAAAGCGCAGCCGGCTCTTCTTTCAGCTACGACGCTTGAAACGAAAAACGGCAGTTAGCAGTTGGCGATTTCATCCGGCCGACAGGTAACGATGAACGTTGCAATCCTCTCTTTCTATGCGGCTGTATGCGTGTGCATATGCGTATCGTTGTTCAAGGCACGCACCTGAGCGTGAAGCGAGGGACTACGTTGATGTATCAATATATGGCTTCCACTTGCGAGCTCGAGTCAGCTCGAGTCAGGTTGAGAGTTGGTATATTTCGACAATTCGATAACGAAAGAGCTCCAAGTCGAAATATATAAATATATGTATACGTATATGTACTATATACTAGTTTCTCAATAAGAGATGTAATAAGCGTACAAGTTTTTTTCAGCAATAAATAAAATAATTAAAACTAGAATTTTCTTACTGTAATTTTTCTGAAAAATATATTGTTTTCACATAAAACCAAAATAAAATATGAATCAACATGAAAAAAATTATAATGATTGTGAAATTATAAAATTTAGTAAAATTTTAATAATTATAGAGGAAACACAGATAAGAATAAGAACGCACGCGGATATGACACATGGCAATTATAAAAGTATTATATTGACAAGAGTTTAAGATTATTGAAGTCCATTCATTACAACGATAAAATAAGGAGGAGAACTGAGTGAGATAGACGTAGGCACAAAAATGTGTTCCGGTATATCGCATCTAAGGCTCTCGTCAGCTTTTAAGAGCTTCGTATCGTCGATCACCGAACTTGCCAGATTGCTGCACTTGTACGATAATTGTGCTCGGGTAATTAAATCGAGCAAGTTTTTTTTATTTGACGGCAAAGCTTCGAGCTCGACTTGCTCTACGATATCGTCGAGTGGAACGCGATATTACAATGAGATTTAAAGGCGATCGATATTCTGTGCGTTAGACATGCAGGTCGCGAGATTCGCCTACGAGATTCCGCAATTGAGGATTTCGATACTAGGATGGTGTAAAATCGAGAAAATCAATCATTTACATTATCGAAATTAAATTTGCGCAACAATAGGATGTCGAAAAATCAGAGAAAGCAAAAAAGAAGATTAGAATAATAAAAGGTGATAAAGAAAGGATTAAGTCATACGGCATGCATAATATGTCTGCATGCAAAACATGTGGGAAAGCGAGAGGGAGGCGTTGGCGTTTTCAAGACGCAACACCGGTATTTACCGCCGTTGGGAGAATGCAATTTAGCGTTGTGCAGTTATCCGTCATTATATACCAAGTTGCGGTATTTTCTGCGAGCCGAACTAACTAGCCGCACAGTCCATCCTGCCGTTTCTCTGTTGCACTTCCTTGGATTCGCATTAGAATGAAATGTCAAAATTAGGAAAACAGGAAGTAAGCACACAAAGATACGAAATAATAAGATAAATTAGAAATTAGACGTGAAAAATTATGGTTTTCTTTTTTCTTTAAACTGTTGTAGAAACTTTCTTATTTGCGTATTAATACATATGACGTGTAATTATTAAATAAATAATAATAACATTAATATAATTGTAAATATACTTTTCATCCTTTTGGAAATTAAAATTTTTTATCTGTGTGATAGTCTACGCAGCTACTGCATAATGCACATATCACTTATTAATACTATATTACTATTATATTAATTTTTAAGATGCTATCAATAGAGGTATAGGATATTTATTGACATTGTTATCCTATCCCCAACTATTGCTAATTGTAAATTTCATAGCGCGAAACACATCATTATGCACAATTTTAGATAAGCATATGCATCATCAAGTTGACTTTTTACAACATAGAAATTAAAGTGTATCTACTAAGAAAATGAATTTTTATATAGGGAAACTGATCATCAAGTCCTCTTGCATTTTTATATGTGGCAAGATATAAGACTCTTTCGCAATTCTTATACATGTTACAACTTGTAATTTTTATTAATTGATTTTAAATATGCATCATGTGAAACAAAGTTTTTTCAAATACATACACACACACACACACACACACACATATAATATATAAATTTGAAGAAAGAAATATATGTGCGCAATTTTTACAGAATTTATAAATATCTTTTATAATTTATTTAATTTATATAAAAATATATTTTATATATACATATATATATATATATATATATATATATATATGTATATATACATACATAATTGTATTATATAATTTCTAAAATACATACATATAACATTATAACGTATTTAATTTATACATAAGAAATAATATAACTTGAATATTTGTGACATATAATAAAGAAATAATGGAAATTGCAACAAAAATGAGAAAATTATGTTTAATCTGGAATCATATCAATTTCATTATGATGAATCATGTCACATTTCTCATAAACAAAGAAACTTTTTAGTAGGACGCGCGCGTTACTGCGACCGTTGCACGTTTATAGACGACGCAATGCATAACGTTCGATCGTTGAATTCCCACGTGTCAGTGAACCGAAAGCTCCGCTACCAACTCGCAATCAGTCGTAGCCATGTGTAATAGTTCTGTGTTCTAGTTGTAGTTCTGAGTTTGTCCCCGTCCCTTGTTCTTCCTTCCAAGAGAATCAATATTTCTGAGTAAAAAATGTTTCTTTAATAAAGAATACTTTTATTAAAAATTATTTCTCGAAAAATTATTTTTTATTAAAATTATTCATTATTTGCAATGAATAAAAACTTAATTTTATTTTCTTTAATTGTGTAGATTAAAGGCTTATTCTTACGTATACATAAATATACGTATGCACGCACGCACATACATACACAGTTAAATCTTTCGCAAAATAATCTGTTACATTTTCTGTATAATCAAGCGAATTAACAGTTTTATTAATGTAGTGATGGAAAACTTCGTCTCTGTACTGCTACGATACGGTAATCGTATCGCATCGTTTTGTTCAAGTTTTAATGTTCTCCAAAACTCGTTGGTATTCATCCACGAGAACCGAGTTTTATATAATTCAACTGACTCACAATTGCCACGCCTTCGTCGAGCCTTCCGAGCACAATTCTCTTTGTTGCATTGTACTGTCGCTTTTACGCGCAGCATCTTGCGATCTCGCGATCGTTGCCATCTCACTATTAGACTGGAAACTGACTTGACAGCTAGAATTAACAGAACAATTTATTCGAGTAGAGTCGAGTAATGTCGATATTGTCGTAATTATTGTCATGTACATCACAAATAGTCGCGCATTCGTTACGCATTACCTGGTGACTCTGTTTAGTTGATCATATATTATACATAAGGATGAAAGAGAGAGAGACTCGGAAGAAAATTAACTGATAATTTAATTAATTTTATATTAGCCGATTAATTATTTTATTTTTGCTACAGGCACATTTTTCTCCGATATTCTTAAAGTACGCGACATACTTTTGCAGGCGATTACAGACATTTCGCAAATGTCCCGTAAAGATGTACTCGTGGTGTTCTTACGAATTACGGAGTAAATTGTTATGCTTTCTAACGGCATTTCGCGAAATTACTCCAAATGGAATGCATTATGTCGTGATTTGTCATGAATGCGATATGTTCAATCAGGACCCGCATTTTCGATCCCCCGCTGCGATCTCTGGTCCGCAAAACCGTTACGCTATTTTCCACTACTTTCTCCCATTTAACATACGTCAAATTGTCGATCGCATTAAAATGCGACAATAACGACACTGATGGACTAATCCGTTTGCCTCTAACTTTGAACAATTGTACAGTTTATCTTTGTCTGACAATATTCAACCGGATAATCTCATTTGGGAACAATTCGCAATTACGTGATTTTCCAAAAAAAAGAGAGGAAAAGGAAGCGTGTGCGTGCATGCGTGCGTGTGTGTATGTATGTATATATAAATCGTTTGACGTATCTGAGAGATTGTAGAGATAATCGAGATTACAAGTAAATTTTGATATATAAAATTCATCTTTATTAATAATTTATTCATCTTTTATTTGTAATATTCTTATTGTTGGAATCATCTACAATATATTTTTAACGTCTACGATGCCAAAATGAAAAGGGCTCCGATCCATGATACGATGGATTGCGAACTAGGGGATGAGACTAGAAATCCAGAAATATATAAAAAGTGTAATTTTTAATCGATATTATTGTTTTCGAAACGTAAAGAAATTTCATATCAATAATTTTCCAACAGTTTTTTTTTCTATTGCAGTATTTCTAGCCACTCTGCTGGCTGTTACTCAGGGAGCTCCCCAGGAACTCAGACGTCGAAATTACGAAGAGTATCCGCGCGAAGCTTATTTCAATGGCTCAGCATTCCTGAAGCTGAGCTCTTTTGTATCTGTGCATCGTCACAGTGGTCTCAGCTTCCGCACGTGCGATCCCGGTCGGTTGTTTCTGCAAAAGTACAACGATGATTCCATCAGTCTCGAGGTGACGCCCGAAGGACTACTCTTTGTGGCTGTAGTCGATCAGCAGAGATATAGGGCTAGATTAAACGCCAGATTGCTCAACAATATCTGGCATAATGTTAATCTTTTCTTCAGACTTGGTAATCTCACTTTGAATGCTGCAGGACATACTCAGGTAAATACAAATTACTCAATTATATTAATTGATGCATATAATAGAAAAATAATAAAATATATAAATAAATTTAATATAAACTTAATTTAATATAAATTTAACATAACGTAATATTATAGAAATTTATTAATGTCATTGCACTAGGATTTACAGATAAAATAGAAATAATAACTAAACAAATTTATTGTTTTTAACTCAAAATTTGATATTTTAAAAATTTATTTAAAACATTTTCTTCGAATTGCGTATGTGTAAAATTAATTAATTTTATACATTTTACTGTTTAATTACTAATTAATTAAAAAATACACTAAAAGAGTTAATTTTACTTTTAATTTTCAAGTGACATAGAGACACATGTATAGGAATGTTTTTTCTCTAGGTGGTTGCAAATGCGACTTATAATTCTCCCATTCTGATGCTTCCCGATTATGATGTAAATAGTTCACTCATAATCGGCGAAGGGTTCAGAGGATGCATTCTGCATGGACCCGGAATTCTCTTCAACGATAGCATCAACAATGGAGCCATTTTTGGATCCTGTCCATTGAATGCCAAAGGATGTAAGGATACATGTTTCATCTATAAATTTTTCTCACAACTTTTTTCTTCAGTTTCTTTACGGTAGAATATTCTTGTATTAAAAACGTTGAGAGTAATTACACACGATAATAAGGTAGATCGATAGCGTAGTCATCACACGAATAAGTAGAACAGCTTCAGGCTAGAATTAGAATTAGTTAGAGCAAGCATCGAGTGATAACGTGTTGTAATAGAATAGATTGATATCGCGCTCGACATAAACAGAACATTCTTACAATAGTTTCTTAATGAGTTGCATTAAATATCGATTGATAACAATAAGCTAGTTCAACATCAACGTGAACTAATCTTGAGATAAAATAAAGAATAGTACAAATAGTACAATTCTTTGTAAAAGAGGAATTTTTAGAAAAATTTAATATGGTGATTGCCTTTAGGTTATAAGACTTGTTATATTGTACAAAACTTAATATGAACTTAATATAATTATTATTTTATTATATAATTTTATTAAAATAATAATTGTGCATAAACTTCTGCAATAACATTTGCAATATTAATTGATCTTCTGTATAGTTAATTAATTAATTAAGTGTGTGTGTGCACGCGCGCGTGCGTATATTTGTGTGTGCGTGCGTGCGTGCGCGCACTTTTTATTCCTACAAAATTAGAATATCCTTTTTTTATTTAATTTATTTTATTTTATTTCTTCTTTTCGTTCTATTGAATAGACACACGCATGCTCGCACTATCATCTTTTATTTTAATTATAAATATATTAATCAAATTTATAAATTGTTAAATTGTATGTACTAGATTTCTGTTATAAAAATTTTATTTTCGAATTAAAAACGATAAAGGTTTTAATTTTAATTAGTTTTTCTTACTATTCTCGATCTCGTTCTAGAAACAGTCTCTATCTTTCCATAATATTTTTTTTATAGAACCTCTTAATAACATCACTCTTTTATTTGTTTTCGGATTATAATGATTAACATGAGTACAAAGCAGTGACACATGTTTTTTTCTAAATATAAAGCGCACACATGTTTGTTGTTCCAAAGGTACATAAAATATATATAGATATGCATCAAGAGAGAAAGAGGAAAAGAGAGGGAGCGAGAGAAAGAGACAGAAAGATAAAGTTTGCATGCGAATTCTGTGAAAAACAAAAAACTTTCAGGTGGAACGAGCGGTCTCGTGAGTGCTACAGGGACAGCTTCCGCTACAGCCTCCACCATGGATTTTTGTCATCACGAACCATGCATGATGCATGGTAAATGCGTGTCGCGGCAGGATCGTTACGAGTGCCACTGTTACGCCCGGTACTCCGGCAACAACTGCCAGATCGACAATGGTAGACTTCGTTGATATCTCAAATACGCGGGACGAGCGGATTCATACCCAACACGCGCATTAATCGGAAATATTATGTCACGATGTAATTATGCCGCATCACGAGGAAATATCCTGTTGTAGTATTATTTTTAGCGAGTTTTCTTGTGAATTTCAAGAGAAAACAAGTTACAAAATTATTAAAAATTTGCATAATAAAATATGAATTAAAATGTGAAAATTAAATACGAATTAAAAAAACATGTGAATAAAAGATTAAATACCAAATGATTTTAAATATAGTAAAAAATATTTCACAAATATAATCTTTATAAAAAATTAGATTAGAAGAGTTATACCTATTACTGTGTGTGCGATAGAATGGATATGAAATCTGCATCGTTTTTTATTTTCGCATGATTTTCGCATGTCGTAAATATAGATCTATTCTGCTCTGAAACAGTCTGTATATAAAAATCATAAAAGTGCTGTTTGCCTTACTCTTAGTAGATGATATCTGCTTCATGCTTGTTCAATGACTTCAAATATATTATTGTTTTATCGTGTCTTTGTTCTTCTTTTATCGATGTTGCTTCTCAAGAAAATTGCCTTGAACCAAAGTTAAACTAATTGCTTCATAAGAAGTTGCACAATTAAATACGTCAACAATATCGTATGCATATGGGATGAACGTCTGAAACTTAATTATGAATAATTAAAAAATGTACGATCTCTTTTCGCGTGCAATTAATTAATATTAGCATCAATTAAATATAGTATTGCTTTACTGCTTTGTATCTTCTTTTTCCCTCATTGTCTTTTATTATAACTATTATTGATCAAATAATGACCTTTTTCGTATATCTTTCAGGTCCACCTTGCAAGAGCAAACCTTGTCATAATGGTGGTATTTGCATCGAAGACGAGGATGGCAATTTTGTCTGCAATTGTAAGTCCGGGTTTACTGGCACCCTCTGTGAATCTCAACTGGGAGCACGACTGTGTGAGCAGAATCCTTGTAGAAATGATGGCGTTTGCATATCATCGCTGACAGATAGCGAGTACATATGTAAATGTCAGATTGGTTGGACTGGGAAAAATTGTGAAACTAATATTAACGAATGCGCCTCGAGCCCATGCAAGAACGGTGGCATCTGCATCGATGGCATCAATAATTATACCTGTAGATGCGACAGGACTGGGTAAGTCTCTTCAAAAAACTGAGATTATTTGAGAGACTATTTGATATTTAACAATTGAATTAAGAGTTGTGAATTATTGTACAATCAAGTTGTCGTCGTCGTCCAATTCATATTCTACAAATTCCGTTTTATCATTTCTTGTAATATATTGAAATCGTAAATTAAGACGGAGCATTTTATATGTGTATCCCAAAATTTTTATTTACCAGATTCTAGATTTCTCAAAATCCTGATTTTACAAATTTCGAAAGATTTAAAAGATTTTAAATTGTAGAAGAATAAATAGTTAACGATACAGATAATGGATTGGATTTCTATTCTCCATCTTTTATGATTTCTACGTATATCTATATATATGTGTGTGTGTGTGTGTGTGTGTGTGTGTGTGTGTGTGTGTGTGTGTGTGTGTGTGTGTGTGTGTGTGTGTGTGTGTGTGTGTGTGTGTGTGTGTGTGTGTGTGTGTGTGTGTGTGTGTGTGTGTATATTTAGATATACGTAGAAATTATAAGAGATGGAGAATACAAATCCAATCCATTGTCTGTATCGTTAGCTATTTATTCTTCTACAATTTAAAATCTTTTAAATCTTTCGAAATATATATATATATATATATATATATATATATATATAGGGATATTTCAAGCGTTTTTCATTATTTGTTTTTCAGTTACGAGGGTATCAATTGCGAGGAGGATATTGATGAATGTCAAGCAAATCCATGCCTAAACAATGGCCTGTGCTTCGACTATTACGGCAGTTATATTTGCAATTGTCCGGAAGGCTTTGAGGGTCAAAATTGTGAGCTCAATTTAAACGAATGTTTATCGGGACCTTGCGCCAATAGCGGCGAGTGCATCGATGACGTTGGCACTTATCATTGCGAGTGTCTCCCAGGATTCACAGGCCGTCATTGCGAATTGAAAGGTCTTTGCGAGAATGCGGCCTGTCCACCTAACAGTATCTGCGTAGAAGACGCCCATGGTCCTCAGTGCGTTTGCAATCCCGGCTTTATGGGTAATCCACCCAACTGTACCGTCAACTATTGTGCCAGCAATCCCTGCGCTAACGGTGGCACCTGCACCAGCAATAGAGATGGTTTTAATTGCACTTGTTTGTCTGAATGGAGAGGTAAAAGTACCAAAGTTAAAATTGATAATCGTTTGCTACGTCAATACTTTGAAATTAGTTTCTATTTTAATATGCTAACATTTTTTTATATTAGGCAAAAGCAAACATTCCTAAGAATAAATCCTAAGCTTATAAAAAAAGATTCTTCTCTTTAGGCAATTAGTATTATAAGTAAAGAAAACAAAAGCGAAATCAATAAAATATTGATGTTAATGTAATTGTTTATTAAATTTATTTTAAACTTTTATGTCTAACTTTAGAGGTGTCGTAAGCATTTATATCGTTATGTATTGTATGCACGAAAATGTATTATCGCATGTACGTTATACACGAAAATGTATTATCGCACATTTTCTAATCTAATTAAATTGTCAACTGTCTTAAAACTATACATTTTTATCACTAATAGTATTACAGTCTGTATTACTATTTAATTATATATTAGTTAAATTAGAATTAAATTTTTTAATCAGAAAATTAAATTTTTTAATCAGAAATTTTTCTAATATTTACTTTATAGTTAATCAGAACTGCTCTTTCAATCGGAATTAACATATACATTTCTTAATATCTTTGCTTGAATGTTTGATTCTTTTTATAATTTTAATATATATAATTCTCTTCATAATATGTTTTATATAACTCTATAATTTATAATAATTATAATATTAATATTAATTTATATAATCAATATTATATTAATATTATTTATAATATATTAATATATTATTTATAATATATTAATATATATTACATATTAATATTATAATATTATTTCTAATATTAATTTGTAATATATTTTATATAACTCTATAATTTTATAACTATAACTTCTTAACTTATTTGTAACTTTAATTTTATAATTTTAATTATGTATAACTTTAGTTTTACTACTTTTTAACTTTAACTATTAAATCTTGTTCTATATATATATATATATATATATATATATATATATATATATAATGTTTGTAGTTTTTATAGTTGTATCATAAATTGTCTTGCAATTTCTATTTGCAATTTATTTTTGTCGCAATTTTTATTGTTAAAACTACTTTAATTTTTGTAGTTATTTTTTTGGACTATAGATAATTTTACAATTATATATTTTTTTAAATACTTGGAGGTTTTTAATTCTTTAAATACTTAGTTTTCTTTCTGAAAGTAATATTCTTTGCAGGAAAGAACTGTCATCTCAATGTAGATGAGTGCCTGTCACAACCGTGCCAAAATGGCGGCATTTGCATCGATCGTGTCAATGGATATACGTGTAACTGTACTAGAGATTTTATGGGTGATAATTGCGAACAGGAATATGATGCTTGCGCTATAAATCCTTGTCAAAACAACGGTAATTGTACATTGATGTTGAGATCAAAGAGGGATTTTGTTTGTGAATGTCCACATGGCTTCGAGGGCAAGGTATCGTAGGGCATGATATCTTTATATATAAATATAGAAGATGAGAGAGAGAGAGAGAGAGAGAGAGAAAGAGAGAGAGAGATAGTATATATAAAAAAATATAATTATAAAATATATAAGTAAAAAAATATAAAAAAATAATAAATAATAAAATATATAATACTTTATATAAATATACAAATAATAATATTAATATATATATACACGATATTTATATATATTTTATATTTTATTATATATATTTTATTTTTTATTTATATATGATATACTATATATATATGTATATAGTATATAAATAAATAATAAAATGCATGTGCTACATTCTTTATTTAAGTTTTTTTATACACATATTTATGTGTGTATGTATATGTGTATATATACAAATGTATACAGGATATATAGATAATAACATTTAATAATAATTATTCAAGGTATGCGACGTAAACATTGACGATTGTATAGGCGCAGTCTGTCCCGATGGCAAGGTCTGCGTCGACGGTATTGCAGCTTACGAATGTAAATGTCGTGAAGGCTACAGAGACCCCAATTGTACGTTAATCGTAGATCACTGTGCTGCAAAACCATGTAACAACGGCACGTGCATCGACCTCGGTGATCACGGATTTGAGTGCAAATGTATAAACGGCTTTCAAGGTAAATTTTAAAAGTCTATATAGGGAGACCGTCGCAAGACTGATTAAAAATATTTTGGAACTTGAAAAAATTATATTTTGCATACATATGTATGTTATTTTTAATTATTATTCTAAACATAAAATTTTTACTTTATTATTTTATGAATATCATTGAAAATAATAATTTTAATTATTCTAAGGTTTTTTTAAAGTTTTATATTCGATTTATGTATTCAGTTTTTTAAATTTAATTTTAACACATTTAATTATATGAATTTTTTATATTATAATATTTTTATATTACTTTAAATAGACAAAAAATAATTTACAATAAGCAAAGGCAAAAAAGAACAAGCGTAGTTTGTAGAGCATAATTTCATTAATAACAATTAAATATTGTGTTAATGTGTATTGTGTGTACAATTAAGTATTGTGTTAATTTATTTTTAATTTATCTTTTTACATCTTTTATAATAACTTTAGCAATACATTATATATTTTTTCGTTTTATTGAGAGATAAATCTTTTTACATTTTTGGATTAAATATAATCCAAATATAATAGAGAAAGATAAAAAATTTTTCAAAGATATATTTTCTTTTTGCGATAATTGAGTGGAAAACGAAATTGAACTCTATTTTCAGGTAAATACTGTGATCTTGATGTGAATGAATGTGATTTACATGGCAATTCTCTATGCAACAACGGCATTTGCGTCAATACCGAGGGTAGCTACAACTGTTTCTGTCGGCCGGGTTTCTCCGGCGATCATTGTGACATCAACATCGATGAATGCTTATGTGGTCCATGCAAGAATAATGCCACATGCCTCGACGGCATCAATACGTTTCAGTGTTTGTGCCAACCTGGTTACACCGGCAAAACCTGTGAGGTAGACGTGAATGAATGCGATAGCGATCCGTGTTTAAATGGAGCGCGATGCATAAACGGTATAGCATCATACAAATGCGTATGTCCGCCGGGTTTTTTCGGTGCAAATTGTGAAATTAATGTTGATGAATGTAACTCGTCACCCTGCATGAATTTAGGAAGGTGCATTGATGGCGTAAACAGTTACACCTGCGACTGCAGCGATACCGGTTTCGAGGTAGAATTTGCTATTTTATTATAAAAATATAAAAAAAATTTCTTCTTTGTTACAAATGATATCTTTGTGAAATATCATAAAAGATAATTTTTTCTCACTAAAGTATTAACTCTTTTTAGTTGCAATTAATTTGATTTTTGACAAATTTTCTAGCCGCACGTGCTTTTTCTTTTTCATTTCTCTTATTCTAAGATTTTGCTTTAATTTTATTTATTTCCCAGGTTATGTGTATTGTATTTCGATAATAACTTCTTGAAGTAATTACGTTTACTGTGTAATTTAATTATATTTTATCCAATATGATTAAATAAGCAAGTGGCTAGTATCGATGCTAATGTCATAATGCAAGAATAATACCACGATATTTATTTTTGTTTAATTAAATTTTAATTAAATTATTCAATTTATTTTTATATCAATTTTTTATATTAATTCTTATGTTTTAAAATTTATTTTAAACTTAATTTTGAATAAAGAATTTTATTTAAACTTTTATTTTAATTAAAAAAATTTTTTTTTTATTCTGGATTTATTTTTTTTAAGGGTCCACGTTGTGAAGAAAATATCAACGAATGCCTCTCACAACCATGTGTAAACGGCGGTCACTGCCTAGATGACATTAAAAATTACAAATGCCAATGCTATGTTGGTTACACTGGCAGGAATTGTGAGGTAGACGTGAACGAATGTGAGAGCTCGCCTTGTCAATACAATGGCACTTGCCTCGAACGGTCAAACAGAGAGCTCTATAAAAGCGAAGTTTTAAACTTGCCCGCAATATTCAATCAGGAATTTAGTTATATCAACGCCAGCGGGTGAGTTTTTAAATAAATCTTTCAAAAGCTTTGATTTTTCTTTACCAAAAATTCACTTTATATTTTTTCTCAATAAAACTGATTAAAAGATCATAAAATCCCGATAGATATGAGTGCCTTTGCGTGCAAGGTGTCACTGGCAAAAATTGTGAGGTAAACATCAATGAGTGCGATAGCAATCCTTGCGGCCCAGGCACGTGCATGGATCGCATCGGCGGTTATACCTGTGAATGCGACGAAGGCTTTGAGGGAGATCATTGTCAACACGAGATTGATGAATGCAAAAGATACAATCCCTGCGAGCATGGAATATGTACCGATGGCAGAGCCGACTACTTTTGCACTTGCGAACCGGAGTATGGTGGCAAAAACTGTTCAGTGAAACTGATCGGCTGTCAAGGCAATGCCTGTAAAAATGGTGGCACTTGTTTGCCTTACCTTGTTGACGAAACCATTCACAAGTTCAATTGCACCTGTCCTAATGGTTACCACGGTGAAGTGTGCGATTATGTGAGTGATTATATTTATATAAACTTTTTTCTCTCCTATCTTTAAGATAATAGACTTGCATACAAGAATTTATATCAAAAGATATAATAAAATTTATAATATAAAATATGCAAAAATTATTAACGTAATTTTAAAAAAGATAATAATATTTATATTATAATAAAAATAAAATTAGAATAAAACTTAATCAATAAAATAATAAACATTCATACTTAATTGATAATAAAGTAACAAAAAAATAATAAATTGAGTAATGAGAAATTCTAAATTATTAAATTACATTAAAAGAGAAAAACAAAGATTTAAATAAATTTAAATCGTACATCTTTTATCAAGAAACAGAAAATCAGTGTGTTTTTAACATTCATTGAATATTTATTTTAATTTTTTAATTTTAAAATAATAATAATTAAAAACTTATACTTTTTGGATAAGAAAATTGTTATTAAAATAATCTTAATTAACATACATTTTAACATACATTATTAATTTAAAAGCATTGTTTCTTCGATGTCTCAAACACGGAATACTTTTATACATCTATTTGCATTTTTAAGATTTTTTTAAGTAACTAATGGTTGTCATTTTCTAATTATTTAATAAAATTTTTTATTCTTTTTTTCTATCTTATTCTTTCAACTAAGATAAAACAAAAAAAATTGTATTAAATAATTAAAAAGTTAAAATTATCAGATATCATATATATATATATATATATATATATATATATATATATATATATATAAAACATGTATATATATGTAAAAACATATCAAACTATTTACATATTATACTTAATTATGCTTTATCGTTGAATTCTTCCCGAAATAATTCTCTATAAAACACAATATTCCTAGAATATTGTATAAATATTATTAACAGTTAATAATATTTATACAATATTCTAGGAATATTGTGTGCTTATAGAGTTCGGACAGAGAAAGATGTATAAATATATGAAACATTTGTTAAAAACAGTTTCATAAGTAACAAACCTTAAGAATCTTATTCAATAAATTCATAGATAACTACAATGTCTCTGAGTGGCAGTTCATATGTCCTGGTGAACACCACACGCGATGAAGGCTATGATATCCAGTTCCGCTTTAGAACCACTTTACCGAATGGTTTTTTGGCATTTGGCAAAGGCGTAACGATTTATATCCTTCAATTGGTAAATGGCAAGCTCAACATACACTCCAGCATATTGAACAAATGGGACGGAGTCTTCGTAGGAAGCGGACTCAATGATTCCAAGTGGCAAAAAGCCTTCGTGGCAATCAATGCGACTCATCTCGTTCTTTCGGCCAACGAGGAACAAACTATCTATCCTATCAGCCCTAATGAGGGTTCCAACTCATCAAATCATACATCTTTCCCCACAACTTTTGTAGGCGGTAGCCACATCAGTTCTCTCAGTTTTCTAAGAAGATTGTCTCGCATACCTTCGTTCAATTTCTTCGTTGGCTGTATGGAAGATGTCGTCATTAATGGCGAATGGGTATGGAGTTTCGATTATTTGTTTTTCTCAATTTATTTTAATCTATCCTTTCAATTTATATCATGTTTATAAGTTATAATTCCTCCAAATTATGTTTCTACATAATTTATATATTATTTTTTTATTATTACAATTAGTAATAAGCGTTGTATTTTTATATCACAAATTTTAAAAAGTTTATATGTCTTATTTACTTGATATTATTAAAATCTTAAACTTTATTTCATTAAGAAATCAACATTAATTTTGTGATAAGCTTTATTTTTAATCTTGCAAATAATTGAATTTTAAAAAAAACTTTTTCAAAGTTTCTCAATCTACTAAACTGATAAATTCAACCGCATTTTCAAAATTCTTGCAACACTGTTTTACATTTTTCAATTTATTTTAGGTCTACTCTGGTAAAGCATCAAAAACTGTACATACGGAAGACCTGGAAGCAGGTTGTCCTCGTGAACCTCAGTGCTCGCCGAATCCTTGCAAGAATGACGGTCATTGCACTGATCGTTGGCGTGATTTTTATTGCAAGTGCGAACGTCCTTATCTTGGCCATACCTGCCAGTACAACATGACCGCCGCTACATTTGGCTACGAGAACATTACGAACGGATACGTGACTGTGAAAGTCAGCGATACGGTTAGACGAACGGTTAGTTCTGTCGTCGATATCTCCATGTTCATTCGCACACGAGAGAGTCGTGGTGATATCTTCTATTTAGGCACGGAACCAGATCCTCAATATGATCAAAAATCTCAAGAGAGAACCTACATAGCGGCGCAGTTGGTGGAAGGCGGAGAATTACTTGTGAGGATTCAATTCAATGGCACAGCCAATACCGTCGAAGCTTATACCGTCAGTGGCGTGAAGCTCAATGACGGAAACAATCATCTGATTCAAATAGCGAGAAACGTCACTCTCGTTCAAGTCAAAATCAACGGTACTGAGTACTTCCGCAAGACCATTAGCGCTACAGGAGATTTGAATGTGACCGTTCTCTATCTGGGAGGCCTGCCACAGACGTCACGATATATTCGCCAGGTTGATAACAGGCCGATGGAAGAACAGCGGCTTAATTTTAAAGGAGTCATTCAGGATGTGCAGATATCAAATGGTACAAAAACAATGGTGGTGGAATTCTTTCCATTAAAGGTAATTGAAAATCCTTCTTAACTTTCATTATATTTCATGTATCGTTTCACTCTTTCTATTAATTTTCAATACTCTTTACAATATATTTTCATATTTAGAATTTTTATAGTCTCTCCTTTTTTCCAGGTAAAAGATATTCCCACACTCGTTCAATTCGGCAATGTTTCTTTCGATCGTACGAAAGTCTTTGAGGGTGTAGTATCAGACAACGTGTGCATAAGCAGTCCGTGCAACCACAACGGCTCGTGTCATGTGACATGGAACGATTTTTGGTGTCAATGTCCGCGCGGCTATACCGGCAAGACTTGTCAAGAGATGGAGTTTTGCCAACTGCAGGACTGTCCTGTAGGCTCGCGTTGTCAAAATCTCGATGACGGTTACGAGTGCATCGCTAACGCGACTTTCGACGGAATTTCCACTGCCTTCACGTATATATACGGACGCGCCGATGAGATTACGGACGCTAGTTTTATTCTCGATACCATCGAAATTACCTATCGATCTAATACCGGCGGCACACTGTTTCATATGGCACCCCAAGTAGGCGACCAACACTTCACTGTGTCCGTCTTCAAGGATGTTGTCTCCGTGTTTTGGCGACTCGATTTAGAGAATCAGGATACTATTTCCTTTGGCAAAAGTCAACCTGATGGGAATTGGACCTCGTTGCTTATTAAATTGAACAATAATTCTATAGAATGCGGTTACGTAAATCCTACTGAAGAACAACCTCACATAAGTTCCAAATTTAGTTTCCAACTGTGGTATGATCTTCTAGTGACCGGAACGGTCACATTGGGTGGACTTTCTAGTGCCTTGTCCGATGTGCATACTTATGTTGGATTCAGACATGAAAGGAGAAATGGAATCGAGGGCAATAATGTGGATTATAATGAACATAAGCTTACAACAGCTATACCGTCGCATAATATGATGTCCGGTGAGTATTTTAATAGAGAATTTTTGAGAAATTTGAAAGAATTTTTCATGCTATTTCACTGTTAGTCTTAAGTCTCTATAATTGTTAAGAATTCTTATTGCGAAATCAGTCATATTTTTTTTATTTACCCTTTTTCTTCTGAAAATAAAAAAATATCTACTTTTGTTTTTCTGTCATATAGGAGAACCGTTTAAAGGATGTCTAGGTGAAGTCCGTATCGGCAGTATATTGCTACATTATTTTACATACGAAGAGGTATATCAAAACGCAAACTTTACGCCGTTAGAGTTCTTGGCGTTGCAGGATAATGGCAATGGCACTCATCGCGATAGCGTCGGCTGCCAACTATGCTTCGATACGGATTGTAAGAACGAAGGTTATTGTCTCGATAAGACTAACAGCTATGTGTGCGAATGTCCAGCCGGTTATGCCGAAGATGATTGTTCCTTCAACATCGACGAGTGCGTTGGCAATAAGTGTCAGAATGGCGCGACTTGCATCGACGGTATCGCCAATTACACCTGTGTGTGCAACATTGGCTGGCAGGGATGGCTGTTAGTAATTTTCCTTTTAAAATTACTTCTTTTAGTTTTTATGTATAAAAAAAATTTTATTTCTTTTCCTTGATGTTTTAAATTTAATTATTAAAATTAGAGATTATAAAATAATTTTACTTTCTAATTAAAGTCTTTTTACTATAGGAGGCTCTAATTTCTGAAACCTTCAAATCTCTTAAAAATATAATAAAACGCAAACACAATTATGCAAGAATTAACTTATTTTCTAGACTTTAGACAAATCATAAGTGTGCTTCAAATAATTTCTAGAACAATCACAATATCTTTAAATTCTTATCAGTTACTTGTCATATCACATTCTGATATCACATATTAGCTTCATATAATCATAAAATCGAATAAATTCCATGAATACGTAAGATTAAAACTGTGTCAATAATCATAAACAACATTATCTTCTACTGATTTCCTTTTGGTCACAGATGCGATAGTGATATCAACGAATGCGTGACGCTGAGTCCGTGCCAACATGACGGTATCTGCGTGAATCTGCCAGGTCATTTCAGATGCGAATGTCCGGATCAGTTTACCGGCAATCTATGCGAGAGCTTTCGACTTATTACTTGCGAGAACGAACCATGTAAGAACGGCGCTACTTGTGTAGACATACCGAATACGAAGACAGGCGACAATTTCACCTGTAACTGCATGCCTGGTTACGACGGTCCAATCTGCGATACACCCTACTGTATTCGTAAGAAATGTCAGAATGGCGGAAGATGCGACTTTCTGTACCTTCAGGTAATTCCTTGCATTTCAATAATAGGTACTCTAGAATACGTGGTTACTTAAAAATTTTTGAATTATTATACAATTCAGTTTTCTCAATTTTAGAGATAACTATAAATTATATAGAAATAGAAGGATTGAATTTCTTATTAAATTTAAATATTTTTAAAATTTAAACTTTTGTTTTGATCAATCTTTTTGGAAAAAAAATTAATTTTTAAGACTCTTTAATTCTTACATCTTTCTTTGAATTTAATTATTAACATCTTAATTTTTCCTTTTCTTGAATTCTTAAGTTCTTAAATTGAAATTGTTATTCCGAGTTTTGTACAATTTTTTACGGGTTAAAATTCCTAAAATTTCTTTATGTTTTCTAATAATTATGCAATTGTTATTATAAAATAGACGCCGAAATGCACTTGCTCTCTCGGTTACTCCGGCATGTATTGCGAGATCAATATCGATGATTGCGCGCCGGATGTTGAAGGTAACGTGCCCTGCAAGAATGATGGCAAGTGTTATGATGAAGTGAATAGCTTTACGTGCGACTGCCAGGACACTGGATACACCGGTCCTCATTGCTCCATTGACGTGGACGAGTGTCAAAATCCGCAGATTGATTGTGGGCACGGTAAATGTGAGAATCTGCCCGGTACTTACCGGTGCATCTGCGATCCCGGCTATTGCGGATACAATAATTGCGACATGGTGGATCCCTGCCAAGATGTGAGTTCTTCAGCATGCTGTTAAAAAATAAAATGACAAAGAAATGATAACAAATGTGATAAGTAATAAATATTTATAAAAATTTTATATTATTTAAATTTAATAAATAAGAAAACAGAAACACACGTTTCTAAAAATTAAATGTTTCTAAAAATGTTTTTCAAAATTAATAAACAAGTTTTTGGGAAATTGAGAAAAAAATGTGTGTGTGTGTGTGTGTGTGTGTGTGTGTGTGTGTGTGTGTGTGTGTGTGTGTGTGTATGTATGTATGTATGTGATAGTATTGATGGTGCTTTAAAAAAAATACGAGTTTCTTCGAGAAACTTCAATACAGAAAAATTATAACTTTAAAATAAGAAAGTAAAGTAGCATAATATTTGTGTTCACTCATTTTATTGCTATATATATTAATTTTATTTTATTTTTATATTTAGGATTATTGCCAGAACGGTGGTACATGTAAATGTGCTCCCGATGGCAGATACGAATGCCATTGCACTTCTGAATATACAGGGCAAAATTGTACAGAGGTAAGATAAAAATTTAAAGAGAAATTTCTTTTAGAGTAGATTATGTACATACAAGATATAGAGAGATAAAAACTAGTTTATCTTATAATTAATATATATATTCATAATGTGATAAACATAATAAGAATACATGAAATACAGTACATCATCATTCTGCACCATATAGTTACGCAAACAAAAAGTAATTATTCGTTTCTCGAATTTTTATGATATGAAAAAAATGTATTTCTAATAAATATTACATATTAATCGATAAAAGTTTTTAAACTTTTCCATAACGTATACAAATTTTCTTATAATTAAAATATGCTCTAAAAATTAAAATTTGTTAATATTATAATTTTTATTTTTATATTAGAATATTACTTCATATAGAACATTATTTATGAAAAAGTATTATAATTCGTTAAAATGTTATGTATATAAATAATTTTAAATTGTTTTCAAAATTTAATAAATATTATAAATATTTATTATATAATATAAATATGTATGTGTATATGTGTGCATGTGTTTTGTAAATTCAATCTTTTTTTTATAAAAAAAAACGTACATATGGTATGTGTAAATTTCTTATAAAATATCGACTTTTACAAGGAATCGATGTTTTATAAAGATTAAAATTTTTTATAAAACTGATTTTTTTACAAAAATTATAACATATGTAATGTATATTATATTCTGTAAATTTGTTATTTAAACAAAATTCCTTTGTTTATAAATCGAATTAATTAATTATATGTATGTGTATGTGTTAGTACACAATTAGTATACATAAGTATACTTATTTTTACTTCTTTATATTAATAATTTCAAAAAATAATTATTCTTTAGAAAGCTACTGTAGCCAACAATTTGGGTAGCCAAGTTCTCGGTATAGCGGTCATTGTGGGCCCGATCGTGGGCTGCCTTCTCCTCATCGCTATCGGCTCCCTTGTTGCGTTTTTCATGATGGCGAGAAAAAAGCGTGCAACACGTGGTACGTACAGTCCTAGTGCTCAAGAATTCAGCAATCCGCGAGTGGAAATGGATAATGTGATGAAGCCTCCACCAGAAGAGAGATTAATCTAATTGAAGAGACATATAATTGATTTAATTAAAGCAATGCGGACAAACCTCGATATATGGAAACTGCTTTTTTCAAAAAAGCAGATTTTATAAGCGCAAACAAATAGTAAAGATAAAATTATGATTTTATTAAAATTCTTTTGATTGTAAAAATTAAAATTCTTTTTTGTATGTGAAATGAAGTTTATGCGAGTTAAGATTCTTCTAAAATTAAATTTATCTAAAATTAAAATTAAATTTATTAACGATGTATAAATTAAAATCACAATTGTGTATTTACTTTATCATAATATTTAAATTATTAAATATCTAATAATATGACATATTGAAATTGACCAATTTCGTTGATGTTCCATATATCGAAAAATATGTTTGTATAGCCTAGTCTTCCGAAAACGTGATTTGTTCGATTGCAAAGTTTCTCAATTTAAATAATGCAGATTACTCGATGAATGACCGTAGATTACGATTACTCATCGCGTCTTCTAGTCCTCATTACTTCATGATAACAAAAAGATATAAATGAATTAGAAAAAATTTACTGTAACATATGTTATAGTAAAAAAAAATCTCATGTTATTTTGAGATTAGTTCAAAAATTTCCATGAAATCCTTTTAATTTATTGATTACTTATATAATAATTATATGGGCAAAAGGATTCCAAAATTAATGATAAAATAAATATGCATAAGAGTTTGCACTTTATTAATCATTTGATTTTGGAGATATATTTTGCAAAATAAAATTCTGAGAAAATATAGACTAAGTTAAATGTAAACTGATAAAAAAAAGAGAATAGAAAGAGAAGTGATTTAAAATGATATATCTCAGAATAATTAAAAGTGTTTAACGTTAACTTCTTCATAAGAAGATTCATATATAAATTACTTCTACAATATATCTGAGATGTCGAGATGTTTGATGTAATTTTTTATGCATATTTATCAATAATTAATTTAATAATACTTTCACAACGTACTTCTCGATGGTATGTTTATAATCAGAAAAAATAATTATTGATCAAGTTTTGCCAATAAGTTTTGGAAACTCTGCACATGTTGAATGAAATAAAAGCATTGTATTGCTTCGAGTTTCCTGAATATCATAAAGAATGTCTCCGAGAAAAATATATAACGTACAATTAATATATTTCTTAAATAATCTGTTTCAAAAATGATTATTATTAAAATCATAATTTTAAATGAAAATTTTTTAAATTGAATCCGAGGGACCAATAATAATGCAATTAGATTTGAAAAAAATTGAACATTTATAAATCCAAATATCTTAGAAAAATAAGCTCGAAAAACTTAATATTTGAAAGAATTTTAAAATTTATAAATACTAAAAGTAAAGAACTTGAGAAGAAAAAACTTGAATTTAATTCTAATGATGTGCTTGCCTAAAAGGATTTCATAGAATAATAATAAAGAGAGTGATTTATGCCTCTCTCTCTCTCTCTCTCTCCCCCTTCCTCCCTCCCTCTCTGTATCTCTCTCTCTCTCCGAGACACACTTATAGATGATATGCGTAAAATATAGATCCCTCCCATGTGTAGATTGTAACAAAGTGTACTTAAAGCTTTCAAAAGTGTCCTTAAGATGTTAGGTAATACTCGAAGGAGATAAAGTAATCAAACCCGTCCATTTTAGTGCCTAATTCTTCTTAAAGAGATATTATTTATAAGTCGCGATGTTTGCAATATCGATAGAAAAAGAAGGAACAAACTAGACAACATTTCAAAAAATGTACATGTAAAATATATAGGAGATTTCCGAGTATAATACATAAAATGTTTTCATATTTGTGAAAAAATAGGCGAATTAAAGGAAATTATCCTGTGAATTCAAATTTTTAATCCTAAAAATTCCAAAGGATTATTTCTTTATTGTATTTTTAATTTGATTTATATCATCCATTCTTTTCCTTGCTATTTCTAAACTTTTCTTTATATTCTAAATTTTCCTTTATATTTCTTTTTATCGCTATTTATTATACACACACACACACGCACACATACATATGCTATTATTTAATTTAATTCAATTTTATTTTCTTCTAGAGTTCAATATTAATTAAATTGTAATAATTTTACATTTGTAATAATTTCTTTTAATTTAACTTTAATAAGATCTTTTCTTAGGAATCATGCATATTTCACCTTTTTATCCTAGTTCTAATTTTCTTCATTTTTTCACTTTTTTATTAAATTTTAAATTGATCTTAATCTTTTTTATTTAAAATTTTTTTTATAAATCATAATATGATGGAAGAAAGTAAATCAAATATTATTTAATGTGTGAAATTTCATTTAATTTGCCTATCTCTCTCTTTCTCCATGCGAGAATTATGTATATTATGTCATAAAATTGTTACGTAGCGACATGTATTCCGACTTATTATGAAGAGATGACGATTTTGTCATCGAATGTTTTCACGACACGAGCGAAATGAAAAAAAGAACTTTAAATGCTCGCATAAGATTCGTACTGTCGCGTCTGTTAATTTTGTACATAGACTAGCTCATAAACTTAATCGAGAAGACTATTTTAAGGATTTTAAGTTTATATTAAGGAATTTATCATTTATATTTAGAACTTTTGTATGGCTATTAGTATTATTTAATGATAATGAATGGTACTTATTAATCGGTATGTTAATTATATTACCACGACCAAAGTAGAACGGCGAGACATTTTTAAGAGTTATAAAAATTTATTCTCTAAAACGCTATTTTTTCTTATGTAAGTGTATATGATTCATCTTTTTAAAGCGTTTGTTCAAGACTGAATTTCTAACATAAAATAAGAAAAAAAGCTTAAGTATATTCCAGAAAAATAGATTAAATTACATCATTTTTTGTAATCTTATTACTTTATTATGCGTATATAACGTATGTTTAAAAATTGCTCGAATACATATATAATTCGGAAAATTAATATCTTTTTTTCTCTCACTTTTGTGTAAAGTTTTTCATAAATATAATTTATTTCACAAATGTATCCGTACCTAAACTCATACTTTCTCTCTTTTGATAAAAGAAACAAGAGAATAAATAAATTCGAATGCAAGCATTTTATTCAAATGTGACAAATGGAAATATGAGGGTACTCCAATAGAGCGTGTTACTTAAGACAAAATGATTCCAAGTGGATAATTAAATGTACAAAATCAATAAATGCATATATAATTTAACAAACAGTTCTATATTTATTATTTCGATCAAATATAGCTAAAATAATATAATATTTATATATATGTCATAATTGATAAAACCCCTAAAAATTATGTATAATAATAATAGTTTTAGAATTTCTAACTAAATTTATATGCTTGATGATTTAGAAATTAAGAATATTTGTACAATTGTAATTCAAAATTGAGACTCGTTATTATTTAAGAGCAGTCGTTAAAGCAAGCCTATCCTTTTGCCATTTACCTTGCTTAATTTGTTGCGCGATATTTTGTCAAAAAATAAAAGTCCAGCAGCGCGTTCAATATTTTCTGGTGGCACCTATTAATTAAAATTAATTATATTCTTGTAATTATTATATTTTCATAAATTTATTTCTTATATCTTATTTTATAATACCCAAATAACTGATAAAAGAAAATCTTATTTTGTTATTTATTATTATTTTATTTTATTTTATTTTAATTCCACTAATTGTATTTATCGTACGAGATTTTTAAATATGTAAACACACATATACCTGAAAATTAGTGAGTGGTGCATTATCATCAATTGGCGCATTTGGCATCACAAAAGCCTCCATATCCAATTTGCCATCATTTGTCTCGCCAACAATCACTTTGTAAAAATGAGTAGGTACTGCCACATGATTCACGCCTATCACTTCGTAACGCACATACTTTTTTCCATCTGGCTCTTTCCTACAAATAAAGAGAGATCAAAACATTTTTATTATATTAATTTTAAAAATTAATATTTTAAGGAAAACTAGTTAATAAAAGAATATTTGTTACGTAATATTCTACAATGAGCAAAATGAAAAGAAATTGCAAGGAAAAAAACACACTTGGGAAGATATAATGGCCCTGTGCACACATAAACATCTTTATAGACATTTGTCAATTTTCGAACATGTTTCTCCAATCTGTTCCAGGAATCTCTGTTGAAACCCACACCGACTTGCGGTGCCATATTGGAGAGAAAAAAGGTTTGCTCCATATGATTTTGTTCCATTTTATGATTTCCAGCTGCAGCCAAGTGACCACGATCATAGCCACTTCCCTTGTAATCTGTATTATCTGATCTATTGGTATCTCATCAAGATTAAAAAATTCAATTAATTTTAGCAAATTAATCGATTAAACGGAATTAATAAACTTTGAAGCAATTTTAATATTAAAAATTATTTTAGTTTTAATTACGCTTTTATCTTTTCATTCACCTGAAGAAAGGATGTATACTCTGATCAGGCTTGAACTCGCATTTTGAACGATCCACTTCATTTTTACACTGTAATCTTTCTTTAGTCAAGTGTTCAAACACCCAGTGAGCGACTTTATTTCTCCTGTCGTATGATAATACGAAATCTTCGTATGATCTGATATGGTCCAACCCGGGAAAACCAAATTTCATAATCTGTCACAATGTCCGGTACAATTTATTTGTCTAGTACAATTTTTATCGTGATGTTATAATTAATAATATTTCTCTAAACATTGGTATATTGTTAAACTATAAATTTGATTTTTTATTTAAAAAGATACTCTATAACAAATTATTTATTATTATATGCTATTGTGACTTTACTTATTATTGACATTCCAGTATAATTTATAACTATTTTATTACATTATCCTTTTTCTTTCATTCTTTCTTCTTCATCAGAATTAAATAACTGATTATATTATTATGAATTATTTAATATAAATAACAGGATATTTAATTATCTAAATTGATGTCATACGCTAAATAAATTTGTTTGACTGTCACTTACTTGCGACACTCTCGTAGCGATGGAAGACACTTTGGAACCCATCTCACGGTTACTTTCAGCGGACGTCAAAGAAGTGGCCGCCGAAATAGTACCAAACAAGGGCAATCCTGGCATACTTCGAATTGGTATCCTCGATAAAATGCTCGTTTCATTGTCTTTTTCGTTCGAATATCGTTTTTGTTCGGAAAGCTTGCCCAAATACCAGCCTCCTAAACCCACACTGCTAAGAATGGTCAGATTAAACGCCACTTGTTTTATACCATTCATGTTTTCCTTATATTTTGTAATAGTAGTAGTAGTTGTTGTTGTACTTGCGAAAACAAGTTTTCAACGAAGAGACACTTTGATGTTATCGGCACTTTATAATGCGAGGTTAAATATGGGTGCTTTCCATTTAACGACACAAGTCGACACAAACGTCATTCTATCTTTTTTCAATGAATAACAATAAACAAAGATAGAGTGACACTTGTGTCGATTTGTGTCGCTAAATGGAAAGCACCCTATACTACGAAAAATACTACGAAAGTTGCGAGACCGCACAAGCAAATTGACCAATCATGGTTGATTATTTCAAAAATAATCAATCATGATTGATCAATTTGCCTACGACTTACGACTTGCGATACGACCAATGTAGATTCAGCTTTATTGTGACATACGATAATAGGAGGGGGGAGTATACGGGGTGTCTCAAATATACGTATATGATGATGAACGTATATGAAGATAGTTTAAAACTTATATACGTTTTTATATATATATGCACCCGCGTATATGTGTATATATATTAAAATTTTATAAAATATATCTTGAAAAATGTTATACTTGACAAAATTAGATATTTTATAAAATTTTATTAAATTTGACAAAATGAAAAGTTTATCTTTATTATTATTGGATAAAATTTATCAATCTTTTGTAATTTTTATATATACTTACATCTTTAGCATAGAAAATAAAACGAATATACATACAAATTTGGAAAGGAGTATAAAGCAACAAGAGGCTACTTTTTAAGTCATATCACCGACGAGATACTATTAAAGATCGACAGCCCTGGGTAAATTTTCGTAACTACTAAGTGGGCCCGGTAGGCCAGGAGATAATAGAAGATTGATGATATTATCGGCCGTTTTGATTATATTGAAGACAATTACAAGAGTTATTTAAATTATACGAGTATTTTAGGTCATTCTGCTATTGTTTTATTATCGAAAATGTATAAATCTTTTATATATCGGTTTCAAAAATGACAAATATATATACACATACATATAGTACACCTCTAAATTTATTTAATAATAAAATTCAAATAAAGTTTGTATAAATCTAATAATTAGAATTTGTCTAGTATGTATGAGAGATTTATGTAAATGTGTATATAGTATACAGTTAATATATATCTGCAACAGAATTATTTAATATTAAAAGGGTGTAGTAAGCTAGTATGCTCTGAAGCATTTGAATAGATTTTTTTTAATTTTATAAGATAAAATTTAAAGAAATATTTATATGTATTCAACAATATATTATAAATTAATATGTATTGATATTCACATCATGAAAGACAAAGAGATTATCGTTTTATTTTTCAAATAAAAAAAAAGTATTTAATTCTTTAAGAAAATCAAATAAATAATTCTTTTAAACAAAATATTACATTGTAGTTAACTGTCTAATGAAATTACATAATTGTAATATTGAGAAAATTGATTTTAACCGATTCCGATTTATATATATGTATATAATACATGTGAAGGTAGTACTTCAATCGCTATTATTCTCGTCAGAATCTTCTACCAAGATAGTATTGTAACCAGGTAACATCTGAGGATCAAAAGTGTTCTGAAAACACTTCTGGAATACTAATTTGGCTTTCTTAGTTGCCTGACGTAGCGGTGACGGTGAATGCAGCACACTTTCTCCCAAGTTTATACACTGTCCTACGGTTTGCTCTTGCAATTCGCCATCCTCCTCGTCACTTATCGACTTTCGTTTCGCGATGTTAGAGAATACCGAGTTCACCAGTTTCCGCTGGTCATCTGGAATCTTTTTGTTAATCATTGAAGATGTTGCGCTGACAGGATTAAGCAATAAACGACTTTGTTTCAAACTTCTCTCTTGGGCATTATTTATAGAATTATTCGCTTCCACCGAAATAATGTTTACAGAAGTGGTCTGGTTGAGCATCTTGTCCATTTGATTTTCCTTTTTCTCCGATCTATTCTTAATTATATTATCGACCACAACCTCGGAAGGGAGAGTAGACTTTTTAATTCGATTTGAAGATTTATTGATGCGTTTGGAAATGTTCCTCGAAGAAGCACTTTTTCTTCTAATAGGTTGCACTTGTTTGTTGATGGTCGATGAATCCGATTGACTATCACTATCTGGACTTAGAGTTGATAATAGCAATTTTACCTCAAGTCCCTGATTCTTCAATGTAAGCAGCATTGGTCTGAAAAATGTTATATACAAGATCAAGGTTTTATTTATTAAAATATAATTCAAAGAATACCCGCGCACGCACATACACCCAAAATTATTATCTATTATATTATTTATCATAATTATTTATTTATAACTATTTACTATATTATTAATATATAAAATGCAATATGTGTGTATTTAAAATCTAAAAATATTAGAATATTTATTTTGACAAAACTTAAAATATACTTAAAATATATTATTATATATAAAGTATACTTATATATTTTAATATAAACATTTTTTCTCTTTCAATGTAATTAATTATTTATTTAAATAAAAGAATATATTAAATAACAAAATTTAATCCATATATTTTATTTTATATTACTTTAATGCATACCTTCCTGCTGTCTCAAAATTTATATTGATTGGAATGCCTATGCTTTCGCTAAAAGTGAGCAATGCTCTAACTTCTTTTAAACAAAATGTGATAGTTGTTTCATTGCCCATTATGTAGCGATCAAATTCTCCAGTACCAAAGGCCAATTGGGTGCGTGTAGTATTTACCATGACTGTAGAAAAAAATCAATTAACATTATTTAAGAGCAAAAATAAAGACTACAATCTCATTATCGAATTAATAAATAATAATTTAATAATTATCATATTTTTATTAATGTTAAATCACATCAGTGAATGTCTATTATTTGTTAATATGTAATTAACTTATAAGCAATATATTATTAATTAATTTTTTATTCTTATCTTGCTATTATTGATATTAAATTGTGTTTAAGAAATTGATATACTGCATGTCATAAGTTGTATTTACTTGATGCTTCATCTACATAGTTCCTAAGCAACAACTTGTGTTGCGTTATCTCAAGTGTTATTTCAATCAGATTTTGTGGAAAATTTTGCAGAGCATCCACCAACGTTCGAGCTTGCGATGTCAGTTCATTGATCATACCAGCTTTAGTATACGATGCCTAATCAATTCATATAACTTTATTAGAAAGTAGTTAATTAAAAATTTTAGCTTAAGCTTAAAAAAATTTTACATACAGCACATTTTCAATATTGAAAAGTCGTTTATTCAAATTTTCAGAATGAACATATTCAAAAGATATTAATTTCAAAGATATTAATTTACTTGAACATACTTAAATAGAATTATTCTAGCTTTAAAATGTTAGATTATATTACACATGTCATAAATTTAAAACTGTATGACTGCATTTTGCATTTCAAAAGTTAAACATAACAAGAAGAATGTTTTCAAGTGTACTTGCAACTTTTCAGGTTCCAGAATCGGTGATAAATGGGACTTGTTGACACCGTTCTTATATTTCAAAATAAAGATTAGATTGCAGGAGTTTACCTCCAAACAAATGTGACAATTCTCTACTTGTTTCTCCAATGTATGTGCAGATTTAAAAACAGTCATAGCACTCTACAAATTACACAATATAATAATAATATAAAAAAGTATAACATAATAAAATAAATATTAGATATCTAATATATGATGCTGAAATAAAATAACAGATATTACTATATAATAACAGATATTACTCTCATTGAAATTTTACACTTCTGTGCCTCTTCTTCTTCAAGATCTTCAAGTGTATAGTAAGAGAAAAAATTTTTGTGGAATGTGACATCAGAATATGCCGATTTTGCCATATTGACTGTGCGAAAAGATATATATTCCTGTTGTGGATTTATATACATTTCATCCCCAATTTTTGCCAACATATGTATCGCCTTTGCTAATGCTATCAAAGTGTTAAAATCATCAAATATTAATTAACAATTAAACAAAAATTATTAATATTAAAATACTACTATAAAATTATTAATCATTTGGAAGAACTTTCACAAATTCTTTGATATGCATATAGTATTAAACTTTTCATATTACGCTTTTATTTTATCTGAATTAATATAAGTATATATATAAAATTTATGATATATGTATATTTTTATAAACAATAACATTTGGAAAGGAAAGAAAAGGTATATTGATAAAACAAGTGATAAGATAAAAATTTAAACATGAAATGAATAATTAAATTAAATTATCGAGAGAACGGCGATATTTTTTGCAAACAATTATCCTACATACAACACACTATTAGTCTGGGCAAAATATAACCTAAAAAAAAGAATAATACATACTTTTGACGTTTCCTCCAGGTATGATGCATTTCATATTGATATCTTTGTTATTTCAAGTAAAATTGATATTCGCAGAAAAAGTCCTCTTTACTTGTAATTATCTGAAGAAAATGTATTGCATATGGGATTCATACTTCTTCGCGCGGTCATAAACGCAAAAAATTATAGATTTTTCGGTGCAATTCGAAATAAATAACATCATAGACAAATTATAAAAGTGGGCAGATTTATTAGATTTCAAAAAATGAAATTGTAGATATTTTAATGAATTTCTTCATTTTTGTAAGTTTCACCTTGTATCAAGAATCGTAAAGCGGCCTTTTCATTGACGCTACTTTTTAGCGTCAATGAAATTGCACCTTAAGGCTTAAGCCTTAAGAGATTGACCAATCATAGTCAAGTATGAAAAGAACCGACTGTGATTGGTCAATTTCTTAGTGCTTAAATTATCTATTGTAGAGAACCTCTAGGAGAGAGAATGGACAACTGATCATGTGACATGTGATCAAGCTTTTTCATGATTGGCTGGCAGAAAATGTATCAATTTTAGCTATTGCGACGCCAATGCAAAATATGATGACACACAAATAGGTTAATATATGTGTGACATGTGTGTCCTATTTGTGTGTCATCATATTTTGCATTGGCGTCGCAATAGCTAAAATTGATACATTTTCTGCCAGCCAATCATGAAAAAGCTTGATCAGTTGTCCATTCTCTCTCCTAGAGGTTCTCTAACCTATTGTAGATCGGGACTTATCAGCGCGAGTTATGATTGGCGTTCTGCTTTTCTGCCAAAGTGTGAGGTGTGAATGCGTCCTAAGGCCGAGTTTCCACTGAGCACGTCTCGCGTCGCATCATGACGCGACGTGATGAAAGTTTTGAAACAGCGTCGTTCTTAGGGCCTATCCAGATAAAGGGTGCTTTCCAATTGTTTAACACATCTTAACACAAACATACACAGGAAGGCACAAAGTGTAGCGATGTGCACGACTCAATTGGAACAAAGTTAATGTGCGACTTTCGAGTGGAGGGTTAGGATTCTTCATAACCATGTCCATCTTGATATTTTTTAATCCATGCTGAGGGTGATAGCATCGATATATAAAATGGATTGACCATTGCGTGTAGACAGGCGTCAAGGTGCCTTTACATAGGAGCGTTTTAGCGTCGAGCGTTAAAGCGTCAAAAAGTATGACATGCGCAGTGTGCCTAGTGATTTGTTGAAACGCTGGAGCAGTCAGTAAATCATCTAAATTGCGGAATATTATCAAATATTATCATTATTATCAATATTATCAATATTATCATTATTATCAAATATTATCAATAAAATGTCAGTTAATTATCGTTATCATCAATGGTTATTAGAATGCAGCAGCATTATTAATCATGAATATAAGAAACAAAAAAAAGTTACGTGCACACTCCACACGTTATATCCTATACAAAGAATACATTGTAATAAATAATATTCATGTTGTATTTAGAAAACATATATTTATGCCAATTATTCCTTCTGTTTGGTTATGTTGTAATACGCTACTAATCGCGCAATTCTATAATATATATTGTATAATGATATCTATTATATCTATTATATCTATTATATTTATTATATATTATATATATTAATACATTTTCTATTAAGAATATACAATCTACTTACCTCTACCGTATTTATTAAAATTTTGTTACTAGACATTGTTTTAGCGGTTTTAGCGTCAAGATGCTGGAATCTGCCTGTTCAGAATTATGCGCAAGGGTGCTGCGCACGTGTTTTTGACGCTCGACGCTTGACGCTAAACGCTTCCATCTAAAGACGCCTTCAGCCCGCGGTGAAGAGAGAGATACTACATGCGAGGCCTATGTCTGTCTCTTTTGCTAGTATCTCATTGGTAATTTTTATAAATAATATATAAATAAAATATATAAATGCATATTATATTAATATATAAATATGAATGAAAATTTAATCAGTAATATATCTAACCTGCAAATATGCAAAAGAGACAATTTTATTTTATTTATTAAATATAATAAAAAAATTAATTGTACAAAAACTCATTAATTTGAATTACTTACTTCAATGATACTTTTAATATTTTTATTGTTCATTTTTGTATTTGTATGGTGTACTTTAATGGTTGTCTTTTAATTAAAAAGGATAAAACGAAAAGAAAATTGCCAACATAATCGCCGTCAGTCTGTAACCGCATATTTCATTTGTCCCTAGAAAACAGAAGGTTACACAAGTTGACTAGTAGCCCTCGAGCTGAGTACGGATGTGTAAAGTTGTGTCGGCAGTTTCGGCAATTGGAACGCGACTTGTGTCGCCGTGTGCATAAAAGTGTCTAGGGATATCTCAATTGGAAAGCACCCAAAGTTGCATAAGTGCATATGCATACATAAGATCATATGGACCAATGAGCATCGAGTATTAAGTCGCCATATTGACTTATATAACATAATACTCGATGCTCATTGGTCCATGTGGTCTTATGTTATGCATATGCACCTATGCAAGGGTGCTTTCCAGCTATGGTAACACAGTGATACACTGTGTGACACAGTGTTACACAGTGTCGACTTGTAGCTGGAACGCTTTTTAGCTTTTTTATTTTGCCACTAGAGTGCAGGGCAGTCACTTTTAATAGTTGTCACTAGGTCTAAATTTTCAGAACGTTCCTACACAACATTATGTCGTCTTAAAGACGTCTAGATGTCTTTAAGTCGTCTTTTGATGTCTTTCGGACGCAATATCACGCAATACCATTCTTAAAAAAATTAATAATACCAAATATGAAATGTTATGTTGGCACTCACTGGGGTGCTACAAAACGACGACACAGGCGAACACAGCATTTTTGCTGTGTACGATTGTGTCGACTTGTGTCGTAGTTGGAAAGCACCTGTGTCGACACTGTAGCGACACAGTGTCGCCTGTGTTGCTTGCTGGAAAGCACCCCAAATTTGTCTGGATAGGCCCTTAGGGTACAGTCACATGGACTGATATTTTCCGCGTAATGCGTACCGCGTAACCAATTAGAGGCGTAATTCTGTTGTGCTCCTGTTATGCTATAACAGAATTACGCCTCTAAAGGTGCAATTTCATTGATGCTAAAAAGTAGCGTCAACAATTGGTTGAACAAAGAAGCAACTACTTACTTCTTTGTTCAACCAATAGTTGATGCTACTTTTTAGCGTCAATGAAATTGCACCTTAAAGGTGCAATTTCATTGACGCTAAAAAGTAGCGTCAACTATTGGTTGAACAAAGAAGTAAGTAGTTGCTTCTTTGTTCAACCAATTGTTGACGCTAAAAAGTAGCGTCAACCATTGATTGAACAAAGAAGTAAGTAGTTGTTTCATTGTTCAACCAATGGTTGACGCTACTTTTTAGCGTCAATGAAATTGCACCTTTATTCACACTGACGCGTCGCGACAAGACATTTTATGTTTTTAACTTGCTCATAATAATCCGAAATAAATCATTTTAATTTAATTTACATTTGTCATAGACATTTGTATTATGTTTGCATTAATTGTGATATTTTTTAAATTATAAATAAAGATGCGGCCTCATTGACGCTAAAAAGTAGCGTCAACCATTGGTTGAACAAGGAGGTAAGTATAGTTGCTTCATTGTTCAACCAATGGTTGACGCTACTTTTTAGCGTCAATGAGGCCGCATCTTAATGCATCACCCAAAAAGACGCGTCAAAAATTATACAATAAAATGGGATGTTCTGATTGGTTAACGCGTGTAGCGCCGGCTGACGCGACGCGAGACGCGCTCAGTGGAAACTCGGCCTGAGTATACATGCTTGTGACGCATTCTGCCTCCTTCATATGCGTGTCATAATCATAATACAACTTTTTAATAATTATTGATATCGAGAAGTTTAAAATATTGGAATATATTAGCATATAAGAATTTAATTAGGGAAGTCATGGTAAGTGATGCAAAATTAATTTTTAAATTTGCTAAAAATCGAAAATTGTATTAATCTAACCTCAAAATAAAAATGATTTTATATTTATTTTGTAAGTTATATAGAATGATTAATAGTATTTCTTTAAGAAATAAATCTACACATGCATCATATAATCACTAATTATCTTACAATAAATTTCTTCTTTTTCATTTCTTCATTATTTAATAATCCATTTGGGAAAAAAACTTAATAGTGTAAATAAGTATTAATTTCTTTTATAATTTTTATTTAAAAAATATATATATATTTAATTTATTTGAAAATTACTTAATAGGATTCTTAAATCTCATAAAATGACTTAATTTAAAAAAATATTTTTACAAAAACTTTTTACAGCTTGTATTGGTATTAGGCGACTTACATATTCCACACAGATGTAGCAGTCTTCCAAGTAAATTCAAAAAGCTGCTAGTACCTGGTAGAATACAGCATATTTTATGCACTGGTAATCTTTGTACAAAGGAATCCTATGATTATCTCAAAACACTAGCCAGTGATGTGCATGTAGTTAGAGGAGATTTTGATGAGGTACGCATTCTAGTAGTTTTTTTTTTAATTATATGCAAATAAATAATTTTTCCTTAGCAAAAATGTCAATGAAGGTCATCATTTTTTGCATGTTCCCGATTTTTGTCATCATATATCTTTGCATTTAAGTAAACTCTATTTAAAATTAATCAAAGAATGTGGTTTTGTTAATATTTTATTTTTACAAAGCTTAGTTTACGAAATCCAATTATTTCCAATCACTTATAATTCGAAAATTATTAGTGCCTCGACATTTTCGTTGAGGAAAAATCGTCTTCAGATGATCCCAGGAATCTGTCTTTGAAAGATGACGGAAGATAATTGGGATAATTGGGACTGTATGTACGCGCGCGCGCGCGCGCGCGTGTGTATGGTTGTATATACATGGTATCTGGAAAATCGCCCGCAGTACTTTGGGAAATGATTTGGGACTCAAAAAGAAGGAAAAAAAGCTATATAAATATATAATATAGGTCTGAAAATAAGTCGTTTTCGAGTTATAGCCACTTTTATATTTTAAAAAATCGTAATTTATAGTCCGCTTGACATCCCTCTTTTTTAAATTTTATAATTTAAAATTTAAAATTCTAAATTTGAATTTTTAAATTTCAATTCCTAAATTTGAATTTTTAAATTTAAATTTTTAAATTTAAAACAATTTTTAAAGAGGGTTGCTAAGCTGACTATAAATTACGATTTTTTCTTTATCAAAGTGGATAACTCGGAATCGACTTATTTTCGGATCTATGTTTATATAGCTTTTTTTCTCTTTTTTTTGCGTCCCGAATTACTTCTTGAATTATTGCGGACGATTTTTCGGAAATCCTATAAGTATATATGTACACATACGTACACACACATACATACATTTAATATCACATATTTCGCAAATTTATATATATATATATTGTAAATATGTGTTATATATATTATGTGTGTATATATATATGTAAAATAAATGTAATTAAATATGTGACTCAGACGTCAAATGGTACAAATCTAAAAAATAAAAATTTGAGACATAAAGCCCTTTGTGTTTGCTTTTACCATAAATGATTTAAGTATGCAAGTCTGTTGACTTCAACAACAGACAGTATAGTTATACTGATAAATGGCATTGTTTGCATTTTAATTCTACTAACAACTCAAAATCAAGTTAGGTGGATTTGTATCACTTGACTCAAATATAGTCATAATAAGATTCAGTAATTAGAATTAAATTGGTTAAAGAATTCATGTTTAAAAATATAAAAAAATATGTATGAGAAAAGAATTTTTTTACTTACAGAATTTAAATTATCCAGAGCAGAAAGTAGTCACTGTAGGCCAGTTCAGAATTGGGCTTTCCCATGGACATCAAGTGGTGCCATGGGGTGATCCTGAATCTTTAGCGTTGATTCAGAGGCAGTTGGATGTCGATATTCTGATATCTGGTCATACTCATAAATTTGAGGCTTACGAGCATGAAAATAAATTTTACATTAATCCTGGATCAGCTACTGGAGCTTATAATCCTTTGGATACGTAAGATTAATAAATTATAGAAAAAAGAATTCTATATAATTTTTTAAAAACAAAAAGTTTACTCTTGAAATTTATTATATATTTATTATTTTTTAAGCTATTGAGTTTTTTTCAAATCTCGTAACTTTTTAAATTTATAATTTAAAATACTTTTTGGGAAAAAAAATAAAGAACTTATTAGGGAAATATAATTTATGATAACAATTAATTGAATACAAGATCTTGTAAGAAAAACTTTGTTTTAATTTTCATTTTTTTCTTTCAGGTCAGTCATACCATCGTTTGTATTAATGGACATTCAGAGTTCAACAGTGGTCACTTATGTGTACCAATTAGTTGGAGATGAAGTGAAAGTAGAGAGAATTGAATATAAAAAAAGTTAGAATCAATGAAATTTTCAGTATGCATTTATCATTGCGATATCTGGAATTCAATAAAAACGCGCATAAACATGTAACATTTGCAGGGCACTTGCAATTTACTTCAAATTAATTAATTAAATAAGTATAATTATTGTGTGAATTATATTTGTTGTAAATAAAATAATATCGATTATATATTATGTAACGTAAATTTTCTCTTGGATTTAAAATGAATTAGTAGAAGCAGAATATTCCTTGCTATTAATAAATGAAATTTCTCTTACATGCAGGGTGTTTAAAATTTCGTGGTACAATTTTTGCAAAAGTAGAAGATTTTAAACATTCTAATCTATTTTATATAATTTTAAAACACTTCTATAGAATTTATTTCTTGTATAATGTTTAATATATCACTGTTTTAATTTCATTTTTTACATATCCTGCAATTACATGCGTTTATGCAATCATGATTCAATACATGCATTTATAATTCAAGACTCTAATCATGAATCACATACGTAATTACATTATGCATATTTGCATAATTTAATTAGGAGATATAAATTAATTTTTTTTTTACATTTATCCACTATTTACGAATGTCGACAGGTGAATTTGCAAAAGTTTGTCACTTTCTTCTTTATAAGAGATCAGACATTTTTGTAGTTTGTGTATTAAATATAAAAGTTTGTATAACAAATATAAAGTGACTTTATGAAATTCTATAAATTTATCATATGTATGAATAACTTAGATGCCAAAGTGATACAAGTCTATTCAAACTAGATTTCGAATTATTAGCAGATAATGACAATGCGATCTATCAACCAGTATTATAACTATAATGAATTTACTTGTTTTCAAAGTCAATCAGATTGTATAGTTAAATCAAACTTGTATCGCTTGATATCTGTGAGAGAGCCACAAATTTAAAATATTTTCTGCTAAAAACAAAGACATTACAATTTTATTAGGAGATCATAATATTTAATAATATCAATATTCTCAATATAACTGAAGCAATTTAATCACATGTTTGTAACAAAAAAACATCATTCCAGAATAAAACATTCTTACAAGAAATATTCGTTCAATCTAAGACATACATTCTTAATTATTCATCTATAAACAAACAAAAATAAACGCTCGTGTATTTGTATGTGCGTGAGTGTGCGCGTTCGTGCTTATTTTCTAGATTTCCTTAGGAGGGTGAATCCTTCGCCACTGAATGCCTTAAATTCGTCTGAATCTTTTATCTATAATGAAACCATATTAATTATATATTTGCACATACAGAAATATTACATACAGAAATTATAGTTAAATATTTTAAAGTATATATCTAAACTCATATAGAATTATTATAATACAAAATAATTATAAATTTATAAATTAAATTAAAGAGAGTTTACATTCGTTTTTTAATTTTAAATATTATAGATTGTTGCAATTCAGATTATTGGAAAGTAAACTAGATTATTATGTCCACTAGTAGTAGATTATTTCCGTTTAAAATATAAATATATAAATTCACATTTATATAAATTATATATATATAAAACTCATCTCTATCTATTTGTGTATATATATATATATATATATATATATATATATATTTGTATATATATACACATCCAAGATTTTGATATTTTATTATTTATTTAAATTCTTTCGTACTTATGTACTTTGGTACTTGCCTCTTTATTATTCGTTGGCTTCATATTGCGCAAAAACCTAAGAGTACCTATCTGATAATCGTAATCAGGTATTCCTCGAATATAAACCGGTTTAGCAGCCAAAGTTTCCTGTCTGGGTGTGTCTTTGCGCTTCTTGCCGTCCAACCGAACGCCCTCACCCTTGAAAGGCACAAAACCGGTCGGTGCTGGCATCAAATCGGCCAGATCTTCCATTTCGTTTTCCTCTTTCTTTATTTCTCTCTTTGGTTCTTTATAACCAACTGGTGGTGCAAACTCTACATTCATATCACATTCAATGATACTGACTGCTGAACCAGGTCTGGTCTCTAGAACACACATCTCGTAAATCTTTTGATTATATTTAATAGCGATTAAGTCGCCTGTAGTCAGACAGGCAAAGCTACGTAGACCATTCTCCAGCACAGCCTTTGGATTTGTAATGTCTAGAAAGTCTTCCGATTGTGGCTGAAAGCGCGAAAATGTCGCAATTGGTAATGAAACGCTTTCCACATTTAGCAGTTCGCCTTCTTCCAACAAAAGATTATGCATCATCTATAACATACAGTAAATATATTCCTACAATCATATAATTATTTTAAATTTACCATATTAAAGTTGCTACGAATGTGATATATATTACTGATATACTATAGAAAGTTATAGATGTTAGATACATAGTACAAATATTGTTTATTGTTTATTCCTTTATGGATAAAATTGAGACAAAAAATTGCAAACGATGCTTTTATTTTAATTTAATAATAGTTTTATTGCAACTTTAAAGTAAAATTTATATTTCTTACAAATACTAACCCAATAAGGTAAATAGACTTTGCCTTCATCAGCAATAAATTCCAGCACACCGCAATGAGTAATTCTATTTGTTTTTTTATTGGTCAATTTAAATAACATTGGATAAATAATATTGAGTCGAGTGAGTTGTTCCAGAGCGGACGGTGGCATAATTACTGAAAAATAAATGAATTAATGCAAAATATCTTTTTATTTTCATATAGCTGGCAATCTCTACCGACTCTTGCCACCGCGTTCAACATCCTGGCGATAAGTCCCGGGTAACATCGACACCGAAAAGCATTTGTATTGAGTGTTGAAAGGCCGTGGGATCTCCGGAAACATGTTAAATCCGAATTGAAACTGTCAATTGAAAAGTCATTTTAATAATAATAAATCATATATTATAACCTCAATCTGTCTGGTCGAAAAACAAGTAAATTTCGACACGATTTATCTTCCTGCTTGGACGTTTCTTACCATTTTGTAATTGGTTGATTTTTCTAGCAATTTATTTTATAAAACTTTCGTTATACGGTAACGATATAAATTTTCTTATTTTGTTTCAAGGTATGTTAAAAACACGTAAGATCAATAAGGAGCACGAAACACGAAATACGATGAGACGACTGTTGATCGAGAGATTAAGATTGAGGACGAGTGCTTTCCATTCAGCGACGCAAGTCAAGCGGGGAGTATCCCGCTTGACCACGTTGCGATCGACCACAGCCAATTATATCGACCTGTGCCTAGGGTAACCAGCAACGATTGACCAATCGGAGAGTCCTATTTGAATTGGCCAATTAGGTGCGAATGCTCTTTAAAGATCTTTAGTGGCCTAAACTAGATCATAGTGCGAGTATGCATGAGAAAATTGATTTGTCTATAAATATATATATGAGGAAAATAGATCAATCAATTATCTTATGCTTACGATTACGCAAAAGTCCGTTCTCCCCGCTTTATTATTTAGTGTAATTAATAATAAATAATTTGGTGTAATAATTTGGTAGCGCAGATGAAAGGAATAAATTAACTTGTGTATTGCCGCTGATTGGTCGACGCTCCATGCGTGGCGCAGGCGCGATCGGTAGTCTGACTCGAATGCAGTTGCTCTCCGAGAACTTTCCATGGCTCTAGATCGTTGTTAGCAAGTAGTAACGCCAGTGTAGTCTTCTCCGTTTTCGCCCCTTCCTCATGTAGCCTCTCATTCACGCGCGTTCTAACGTTACTTCCAAACAAATCGTACCGAATCCTTTGCAAAAAGAACAAAAAAAAAAACAAAATAAAGAAAAAGAGAAAAGCATACACTCGTGAAAGAAAAGTGTGGAAATCGCGTCATCCGTGTGGTGGCGTCGGTACGATATACACAACGCGACAAACATTAGTCTTTATTGTCGTTTCCTATTGTTTCCTATCTTCAAATAATCCAACGTGTATCTAGACGGGCATTTATTACGACGAGATAAACGAGAATGGATGTTGAAGAGGGAGAGGCGAAAATGTGCAGGCTTTGCGGCCAATACGAGAGAATTTACATCGACGTGTTTGGTGAGGAGGGCGTCAAACGTTACCTGGGCCTTAAAATCCACCGAAAAATCAACATCCTGGTGAGTTGCTCGATCTCATACGGCCGCACGAATTTTCTACACTCGACATTTTCTCGTTCCTCTCTCATCCTTTTAGCTCACGCTTTTAGGAGATTAAAAACAAATGTTTAAAAGATTAGAGAAAAGAGAGTGCACAGAAAAAGAAAGAATCAGATTTCTTTATATGCTCTTTTTGTTTTTTCTTTTTTTTCTCCTGCATTTTTTGGTCAATACTTGAAGAACTCGTATGTTTACATTGCATGTGTGAGTGTTTATATCTTAATGTTGTACGTTGTTGATGTACAGAAGAGGTACATATTTCAGTTGTAATACAAGGATATCAATGTTTCCAACTGAGCTGCAAGATTTCAACATTTAATCATAATTATTTGTCATTAGCTTCAATGTTTTATAAGATTATTATAACAGAGAAAAGTACAACAGTGCAGCATATACTTTATATGTATGTAAGAGTAATGTACATAATGCGCGCACAGTGAACACACACGTAGTTTTTGATAACTTGCAAATAATAAATTAGGAACAAGCAAAGCATTGAAAGCATTGCATATTTTGCGATTTTCTTTTGTATTCTGATAACTCGTCAAAATAATTTTGCTTTTGTTATATATATATATATATATATATATATATATATATATATATTTGTTTTTTTGTTGTTAATCTTTCTTCATTCTCTCTGCTTTCTTTGTCAACAAAGAGAAGATACCTTTTCAATTAACAAACTGTAATCTGTGTTTATTGTACTTTGATGAGAAAAATTATATATATTTGTAATGTATTTAATGATAATGATATTTTTGCCCAAGTTTTGAGAGAAATTGATTAATATTGTAATATTGAAAACATTGATTTAATTTTCTTTTTTAAAAGTAATAATTTTGTTAATATATCAAAAATTTACTTTGTATATTATTGCATTATATATTCCAATTACTCTGATAAACATTGCAATCTATAATAGTTATTATCTTTTATGCAAATTGCTTTATCGATGAAATTTTTGTACCAAAACTTCTTTGAGATCATTATTGAATGAAAAATAGATGTGAGATAATTGCAGTACATACACACACAAAGTGCGTTTATTTTTAAATGTGCAAGTGTTCTACGATAATATGCCATGATTATTGTACAAATTATTTTTACATTTGTATGAATAATTTTTGTGAATATCCTTTGGAGAAAAGGATATAATGAACTGTACTCTTAAAATTGTAAGTAACAAACAATGTAACTGTGTGAATTATAAATTTAAGTTTGTCAATAACTCCAGACTTGATGTTGTCGTGGAGTTTGGTGGGTACTAGAATATAAATGTTGTAAACTGAATATAGAGCAGAGCGGTAGTATTTGCGTTTCCTATAATGTGAATAACATCTCATTGATAGACAGGGAGAGAGAGAGAGAGAGAGAGAGAGAGAGAGAGAGGGAAAAAGAGAGTTGATACATTTAAAAATCATTCGGAATGACAACAATATATCGTTCTTTCTCAGACAAGTACATTTTTTAGTACTTAGATTGCTTCTGTTTGTGAATCGCAGATAGATGAGAGGGATCCTCTGCCCAAGGCGATCTGTGTTCAATGTCTGGGCAAGCTTGAATTCGTTTGCGACTTTCAAGAGGAGTGTCTGCGCACCCAACATGTGTTACGCAATCAGTACAATCTACCGCCTTTAACAGAGTCTGTAAGTCTCTGTATTTATTTATATTTCATCTACCGCTCTATTGCTCTTTTCTTTGAATCATATAAGAGAGAATCGTCAAAGAATTCTTTCAATTCTATCAATTTCTCTTTCAAATAATATACAATACAATATAAATACAAATGCAGAGTAACAAGGTATGAATATAAATAAATGAAATATATTTAACAATTTACGAGCAATTACTATATTTTTTAATCTTTGCTGATAAATATTAATAAAATATATTACTATTCTCTTGTACGCAATTGGAAATTCTTCTGATCATTAAGAAATATCAAAATAACAGTCGGGTATAATGATTTAATATATAAAAGTATCTATCTCTTAATGAAACAATATTACGAAAATCCAAACAAGATTGCGCAATTGCACTTAAATATTTATTATCGGAATTATAGAGGCATATTCTGGTACCCACTCTCGTTCATTTTTAATTCGATCTCTCTCTAGGCGGAAGTAAAGAACGAAGAATCAGCTTCCTCGGCGGGCACATCGTCTACGGATAATAACAACAGTATTGAAAAAAATCTTAATTCCACTAGAGGTAGTCAAGCGGAAGAGAACCAGAATGAAGCTAATGTCGTTGTCATCGTCAAGGATTCGGCGGAGCAGCAAAAGAAGAAAAACACCGTTTCGAAGACTTTGAGGAGCCTTCGCAGTCAACAACAACAACAACAACAACAACAACTTTCCAAAGATAGCGATGAAACTAATATAGAGAAAAATGTACAGAATCAAAGTATAACAGAAACATCGCCAATTCGCCATTGGCTTCGAAGTAGACAAAGCGCGGACTCGTCATCGTCATTATCTGCAGCGGACAACGAGGAGACTCCAATCGCGAATAGACTGAGAAGTCACAATAGTGTAGAAAATAATATCAACGCTCGTTCAGTAAACGGTAACGGTAACGTCAACGAGAATATGGATAAACAGACGTCGAAACAACAGCAGCAGCAGCAAGATTCATCATCGACGATTCAGCTGCCGACCTCGGCGTTCGATAAATTATTAACGATCGTTTCTGGTTCTCCTGATATCGAGGTTTCCGTAAAGGAGACGAGAAATCGGAGTAACGATGCCGAAGATATCAGTTTTACGGTGGAGCTGTGTAAGAAGCAGAATGACGATGTCGCGACAGCGCGAGCGCGAATCTTTCCGGATCAAGGCTATTGTCTTGTCGACACGGCGATCGTAAATCTGCTGCAGAACGACAACAGCGTAGAGGTAAATGGCATTATCAGTGGTATTCTCAGCGGGACATCCACGAAGAACGGCAGTGGGGCAGCGGCGAAGCTTAAAGATCTGGCGGAGCTGGAACAACAGCTGGAGGCAACGCAAAATCCGGAGGAGCTCTTCAAGATCGACGGCGAGGAGATTAAAGTGGACGACAACGTGGAGCACGTGGTGAACGGTACGCAAAACGGTTATGCGTGCAAGCTCTGTCGCAAGTTTTATGAGCGCCGAGATAAATGCACGGTGCATGTAAAAACGCATCTCGGGATCAAACAGTACACATGCGTCGTCTGCAACGCCAAATTTGTTTGCAAGTCCGACGTGATGAAGCATATCCGATGCTCGCACACCAATCCGAGGCCTATACAGTGTCCCAAGTGTCCGAAACGATTTAAATCCAAATTTTATCTGGCCGAACACGACAACGTTCACAAAGGCGTGCGACCGTACAGCTGTACAAATTGCGGACAGAGCTATCACCACAAGGTTTCGTTACAAATCCATATGAAGTCGCATTTACCACCGCAGAATCTCGCATGCGAGTATTGCGGTAAAGTCTTTCCGTTTCGTACGCGATTACTCGGCCACATCGCGAGCGTTCATATGAAAAAACGACGAAATTTTCGCTGCCGCTTCTGTTACAATCTCTACTCCAGCTTGTCGGTGTTGAACGAGCACATTAAGACGCGTCACGCGACCACGTATACATGCGACACGTGCGGCAAGACCTTTAAGGTCGCTTCCAAATATAAGGCTCACGTGCTGCAACACTCCAATCCCAAACCGTTTGTGTGTAACGTCTGCAACAATCGTTACGCGTCCAAGGCATTTCTCAACGAGCACCTGTTGAAGCACGAAGGCTTGCGCAAGCACGTGTGTCAGGAATGCGGCGCGAATTTTGCACAAGCGAGTCATCTGGCCGCTCATCGCCACGTACACGGTGAGAAGACGCACGCTTGCCCCGAGTGCGGCAAGAAGTTCAATCGTCGCGACAACATGAAGGTACATCGGAAGCGGCACTTTGAGGAGAAGAAGATTGGCGCGGCCGGCAAGCAAAAAGGCACGTCCGACAATAACGACTCGGCAACCTCTACCGCATCGATTAATGAGAAATAGTGAGGAATCATCATTGAAGGGGTCAAAGATGATTCATTCGAGATGTCGGAGGGAGTTTTCTTAATAGACTGAATTGCGCGGAAATTGTGGGAGAGATCGAGGGAGAAAAATTCCGAGATTGAATACTTGGCAAAAAAATATGATGAAACATTGCTCAAGAGAGACGATTCATTGCGCGTATATCATTGGTGCTTCGACAAATTTTTCATGTCATTCCTGACGCTTCCACGCATAGCAGTAAAATAATGATAAAAAGACGTTTTCTCTCTTGTCTATAAAAAATTAATTGTCTCTGTGGAGAATAATCGATCGGTTTTAATTTCTTCTCTAAAGATTCTTTAAAAATTATATAATATATATAATGCATGAATCTTTTATCAACATTTATGAGTAATTTTTTTTGTTTTTACGGTTTTGCAATTTTTCTTTCCTTTTTCTTTCTAAAAATAATTAGAATTGTCAAGTTTCGAAAATGTTACATCTCTTCTGTCTTTCTCTTTTTGAGTGTTTATAGTAAAATATCGACCTATCGTATTTCAAAATGTATGTGATGTATAGTATGTAAAAGCGTGCTGCGTCGGTACGTTTCTTTATACTTTTCTTCAAAGTATAGCGAGTGCTCGAGAAAAATTTACCCTATTTTGTAATAGACAATACGTTTACCGTCTCACGGCCAAAAAAATATAATTACTCGAATCGCATAGTTTTATTAAAAATTTAATGACATATTGTACGTATGTGCGTGTTTACGCGCGAAATATATTAGGAATAGGGCTTCCAAAATCAATAATCCCACGACAAGGGCAGATATTTTCTATATGACTTTACACGAGTTGTGTTCAGGAAGAAACACAAAGTTGCGATATTTGTGCGTTTCAATATTTTTTAGAATAAACATTTTATAATAAACATTGTTAAAAATATAATATAATAATATTATATACATAAATAACATAGATATTATTATTAAATGCAGATTAGTGTTGGATAAAATGTGACATATTTTTTGTAAAATGTGCGTGCGTGCGTGCGCGTGTGTGTGTGTGTCTGTGTGTGTGTACTTCTTCTCGCAAACAACATTGATACAAAAACTATACGAAAAATGTATGGTACAAGTGCCTTGATTCATGTTTTGAATATAAAAAAATAATCTGTGAACAAATTGATTGCAATTAATACAAGTGTTATATGATACACGATGATTTTTAAAAAAATTAGAATAAACGACAATAAAGTAAGAGAGAATACAGATTACGAGATATTACGAGTTATATTAAAGAAAGTTTTTTTATTATGCTATATTACATTACGAGTCGTGTGTACAAGAAATTATGATTAGATATTTATAACGAACTACATTATTTTCTTTATATCCTTAGTTAAGTAATAAGCAATATGCGCGATTTTGCACACATGTGTGATTAGAAGGTGATACTTTTTTTATCGAGACAAAGAGACGTTCATATATTTCATATAAATATTAATTATGCGTAATTGATAAGTGATCCAATAATCCTATATATGTACGTACATATGTAGGATTATAAATTTCCACTATAAGAAACCTATTTTACGATTCCACCGTTGCCTCAATAAAGGTACGATATTTTTGGGACATCTTGTGTCGCTTTATTTTATATTCAAGTTTTCTAAAATGAATTAATTATAATTTTACATATATAGTTTTAATTATATTTTCTATAATTAATTAATTAAATTTAGAATTGCAAATTTAATTTGTGGAAAATTATGCCTAAATTATACTAATGTAGAATAATCTACGAAAAAATGTTACAATTAATTTCTTTCAAAGAAAATATATAATTCAAGAATGACGATAAAATTCCTTTATAAAATTTTGTATATTTTATAGCTTTTTATTTAAAAGAAGTGAAGAACCTCTTATTCTTTTAGAAGGTTCGGCAATGATATTTTACATTTATAAAGGATATTAGCAAATCTCTAAATACCGAAAAGTATTTTATTGTTATCTAATAATTTTGAGAATAATTATATATATATGAATTACTTTTGTGTGTGTATGTATGTGTATGCGTGTGTGTGTTTTATTTATTATTTTATTTTATTTACTATAATAATTATATACATAAATATTTATATACATAGGATATTTTCTCCCCAGATTTATCGCATCAACTATTAGTGATGCGTGCTAACATTATATAAAGTATAATTAATTATACTTGTAATCGAATCCGATTACGTATTCTACAATCAAGTTTTATACATTTTGATATTTACTTAAACTTTTTCCGTAATAAAATTAATTTATATCGTTAAAGAAAGAGTGAGAGAAAGAGAGAGAGAAAGAGTGAGATTAGATTAGATTTTATCTCTTTTGATTATTAATTATTTGCTCTTTTCGTGAATCCGGCCAATAACGTACCATTTTCTTAATACAAAAATGAATTTTTGCAATGGCACTATTAAAGTATAAGATATTAAATTATAGTATATATAAGGCATTGTAAAAAAGATTTTATTATGAATTTATGCTAATTAATCTTGATATAATGTAATAATTTTGATGTTTAATAGATTACAAGTTTTTTTAGATATTGATATAATATTATTGATTAATTGATAATAGAAAATAGTATAATTTAGTAATAGTAATTTTTTCATTAAAGCTGTTTATTGAACTATTTCAGATCAAGGAAGATGACAGTATGCCGCAACAAATTTGTACACTTTGCTTTGAAAAGTTAAATTTTACGTGCGCATTCTACGACAATTGCCATGAAATTCAAAAGAAACTCTGGTCTACTATTGTAAGTACTAAATCGTCTTTGCAATAAAATTTGCACAAAAAAAACGACTCAATGATAATATATTAGAATTTATGTAATTTATGTATGTCAGAAATTCAAAAATGTAATTATTCATTCTACTACTATCATTCATCAACCCTTTTGCATCTTAATAAATGGATTAATATCCAGCACTTCCACATAAAATTATAAGAGCATTATGCATATAAAATGCTCTTAATCACATTTTTTAAAAATCTGTTTATAATTAAAAGGAGGAAACCAACGACGATAATAACGTTGAGGACAAAGAAAACACTATATCGCCAAGGAGCAACGTGAATAAACGTCAGATAAGGACCTTGTCGGAGAATTTGAGCAAAAACACTCATTTGACTAACGCAGGCTCGCTGATTATCAATGTTAGTGTTAAAACTTAGCTTTAAAAATTTAACACGATTCTCTTTAACTATCTCTTGGAAAAGATTATGTATGTAAGTGTGTGTGCGTGTGCGTGCGTGCGTATGTGTGTGTAAAATAGCACCACTTACAGGCGCGCACGTACACACACACACACACACATATATCTTTTTTTGTACTAGGAATCATTAAAAAATCATAGTCGTGGAAACTACCTTAGACGAAGCTGTTTACGCGAAATTTTCCCGAATGCCACAAGTTTTTGGGCGCAACAACAACCTGTCGGCATCCAGGAGAATAAACGAAATGCTCTAGCGCAGAAAGAGACAGTGGGTGTTGAAAAGACGGTGAGGCAGGAAATCGACATCAAGAAGGAGTACTTATTATCTGAAAATTCGAGCTCAAGGATATTACCTGCTTCTTTGCTCAATAATTCAACATTATGTGTTCATTCCTTGGATTGGTCTCTTAGGTCATGCGAAGCAGACAAACCCAAGAATGTCACGAATATTGCGGTAAACAACAGTCCACCGCCTGGTGATGAGGCAGAATCAAATAAAAGCAGCAATTTTGAATCTAGTAAACTCGCGGTGCCGGATAATATCGGAAAGTCTCTTCCGATTGTTCCAAATGCACCAAAAAAAGCTTGCCCTCTTGAATCGAATACGATCTTTCTCCACAATAACGAGAGCACTGCTCTATCTGGATCGTCATCGATAATCAACGAATGCAAGGTGAGACGCAAGTGCAGCAAAATTTCCGAGTTGATTACCGACGAACAAAAACAAATCATAGAAACATATTATCTGGTAGACGTAGACATTATGAAAAACTATGCAGAGGAGGTGCGGAACAACATAACAGTACGGGATAAAAATAATATCGAGTGCAATATTTGTCCTGCAAAATATTCTAGACTGGATAAGTGTGAGGTAAATTGTATATATGCATGATGAGGCAAAATTTATGTTTGCTTTGTTTTCTGTATGCATGATTAGGCAAAATTTATGTTTACTTTGTTTTCTGTATATGTACATTTTGTGAATTTTTGTTTTTACGATTCAAAACATTCTTCACGTTTTTGTTCGATCTTTTTATCAAAGGCTTAATAGTAAATGCTTAACAGCATGTTCAATAACATGTTCAATCTAAGATTTTATCACAATCACCAATTTAATAATTGACTTCATTTAATTATTAATTATTAATTTTTTTAGATTATATACAGATTATATTTATATGTATAATGATTATTTATAGTGATTAGCACTTGCTTGTAATTGAATATTTTAGTAAAATTAATGCAAAATTCTCTTATTTTTTTGTAAAAATATATGTGATTTAATTGTTATTATATAACTTTCTAAACTTTCTATTTTTTAATTTTAATTCTTGAAATTATTGTTTTCGCTAGGTGCATATCTGGGCGCATCTTAACATCAAGCCGTACAAATGTAAAAAGTGCAGCTTTTCGACAGTGACTCTTAGTAATATTCGCTGTCACATTAGAAAAAGTCATTTGAAAATTAAGCCGTTTGCTTGCCAATTGTGTTCGAAACAATACGCGACTTTTGCACTTTTGAAGGAGCATGTCAATAGTCACACTGGCGTACGACCATATAAATGCGAAATGTGCAATTTTTCCAGCACTAGCCGACAGGCCTTGAGCAATCATATGGACATCCACATGTCAAGCAAGGTAAATTAATTTTACTTCATTAAATGGAATCCCATTATAATTGTAGTCATGTTCTTTTAAATTAAAGATGATATACCGTAACAGACACACACATACACAGTTAAAATATGTAATGACAAAGTAATGAAAAAGTATATTACTGAAATTATTGAAATTGCAACCTTAGCAGAGAATAATTATAAGAATTAAAAATTAAGGATATATATATATATATATATATATATATGTATATCGTATAATGAATAAATTATAGTTATGTTTTCTGTAATTTTATTACACAATCGTAATTTTTGTTGTTATTGTAATAAATTATCATTGATTTTTTGTTTCTTTTCATTTTAAATAATATTTTTTACTATTATAGGATATTCCTTGCAATATTTGTGACAAAACCTTTCACTCACGCTTAAGGATGCGCGCACATATGCGTATTCATAATGACAACAATGTGACATGTGATATTTGTCGGGCTCGCTTGTCGAATGAGAAAGCTCTGGAAGCACACTGTAAGAAAGTGCACGTACAGGATTATATCTGCGAAATATGTAATAAAGTGTACAAGTCCAGAAAAGCTTTGCATAATCATATGAATGTAAGAAAATATTCATTATTAGAATCCTCCTTGTATGTTGAATCAGGAATATCTAAAATTTGGAAAACATTGAAAAATTTAAAATTTTTAGAAAATTCTTTCCTCCAAAATAGTCAATCCCTATGTTAATTAAGATTTCGAAAAATCATACGATTTCTTTTTAATATAATACATTAACAAAAGATATAACACATTATCCAATTAATTGAATTTAAATAACATGTGTGATAGCAAATTTATATGCTTGGCATATATTTTGATAAATTCACAGTAAAAATCAAATATTAATGTTAAGCATTTTATTAATTATATTGCTAATATTATAGGCTCACAAAGAGGCTAAATATAAATGCACAAAATGCCCTAAAGCATATAAAAGTAAACATATTTTGAACGAGCATCTCCTGAAACACGAGGGTATCCGAAAATACAAATGCTTCGTTTGCGAAAAATCGTTTGCTCAACAATCGCATTTGGCTGCTCATAATAAAGTGCATAATCCGCCCAGGTGAGATATTTTCAAAATAAATATGAAATACATACACATACATGGGATAGAATAAATAAGAATTTTAAATTACACAATTCTTACAATTAAGCACTAACGGAACAACTGTGATACATGATTAAAGTATAATTTTAATATGATTATAATAAAACGATAAAATTGTGATTAAAAATAAAATTAAAATTACCATATTTTAAATAATACAAATAATTGTAATTGCGTCTAATCTTCTTAATTATCAGTTATGAATGTCCGGGTTGCGGCAGGAAGCATAATCGCCGCGACAATATGAAAACACATATGACGCGATGCAAATCCATCGTGCCAATCCAAATAACCGTCCAATGTGGGCTTCGACCGACAAAAAATTGAGAATATTTCCTATTTTGCAAGAGAAATGACGATGTTTTCCAAATTGTATAGAATGGTAAATTGAAAGTGAGAAATATTCCTTCTTTTTAATCATCTCTCATTAGTAATCATCTCTCATTAGTAATCAACAGTCATAAAGACGAATACCTAGATATATTTCGTTCTTATTTTTGTTTTTTTTTATAAATCTCTTGGAAAAAATAGAACAAAATCTATTGTTGTATTATCATGCAAAATTATGTCAAAATATCAATATTCTTAAAAAAGTTTCTCGAGAATCGGCAAAAATGATACATGATAATTTAAAGACTATTAGATTGTATTGGAATAAGACTGATAATCGTGTTTACTTTGATCAAAAAGCGCAAGAAACGCATCATCTTTGTTGAGCGTCGTTCTATTTGCAGGTAAACCATGAACGTAGTATACATGGATTCATATGGCCAAAAAAGTGAAGCCAACATATAGAAAGAGACAGATAATCTAGCCCCTCTGTTCTTTGTATTTCTCTCTCTCTCTCTGTGCAAACGAATTGTAAAAGAGAGAGAAAGAGGAAATAGCCTCTCTATTCTCGCTCTCTTTCTAGATGTTGGCTTCACTCAGATGGCAAAATAAAGGGCACGGAATTTGGAGTTCATGTATACTACATCCATGAAGTAAACCTATCTTTGTGTTACTTGCTAATTTTATTGAAATTTAGTATATTTGTAGAATAATTAAAAATAATAGACATGTATTTTTTTTATATTATCGGCAATGGTACAATTTCAGGGGTGAAAACTACCCTTTGTATTTATATAGTATATTATAGTACGAATAATTAACTCAATGTATCTTAAGTTCACGGTATTAAAATTTTCTTTCAATTTTGAAGATAAGAGATAATTTTCCATGTGACTGAAAGCAAATTCGATGTAAATATTTTAGAATAGCGGATCAAATATGGCGACTTAATAAAATAATCTTGTTTTGCTCTTTGTCCAATCCAGAAATAATCAACGAGGAGATGACGAGAATCTATTTCATTTCTTTAAATAATTAAAATATAGTTTTTAAATTACATATTTATTTTTTCTTTGTAATTACATCATTTTTCATGTCTTTCATATGTTTTTGGTTTTATATTTTTGCAGAAATGATTATGCAAAAAAAAATCAGCCGAAATATGCAAAAGGTGGATAGCTCTGATTTACTTGTCAAACTCAAGTGATTTCTCTTGTAAATATTCACTTTTGTTGTATATACCATTTGAACAGATACTTGAACAAATTTATAAATCGAAGAGAAGAGCTAATTATGAATAAGTAATTGAAGTGTGATAATATTGTTTCGTAAATTCGTCGTAAAATTCTTTTATACACAATTATGCAATAATATAGCAGTCATAAAATGTGGTGTGCAAATTCTTTGTGTATAAAAGAATTTTTTTTGCACATTGTTTCATTGCAAAAAAAATATAAAACTTGAAAAATATAAGAAAGGCGTGAAAAATCATCATGTAATTACAAGAAAAAACAAAATAAATAAGTAAAACAAATGTGTTAAAAATTAATTAAAAAAAATAAAATGGAGATAGATTCTCGCTATCTCTGTGTTAATTATTTTTGGATTCAACGAAGAGCAAGACAAGAGTATTTTATTCGCCAGATTAGATCGTCCAATTTGATCCGCCATTTTATAATTTTTACATGGAATTTATTTCCAGTGAACATATAAAAAACTTCTTATTATTTCTTAAAAAAAAAAAATTCTAATATCGTGAACTTAAATGCAATGAGTTAATTATTCGTACTTATACATATAAGGATAGTTTTCACCCCTAAAATTGCACCATTGCCGATATAAGAAAATACATTATTTTTAACTATTCTACAAGTATTCTAAGTTTCAATAAAATCGGCGAGTAACACAAGGATAAGTTTACTTGTAAGTTACTAATGCTTTTATTTTCATTAAGCTTATAATTAGATAGCTTTTCTACATATTATTGCAACTATTATCTTGCATCTATTACCTGCTTTAATGAAAGACAATGATTTAATATGTTTGTTTTAAGTTTTAAATCTTTTTTCACAATTTTACATTTATTCCATGCTGTAAATTTTTTATTCAATAGATTTTATAAAAAATTGTAAAAAATAGACAAGGAGAAAATAATATAAGACTGAATATACATATCCATATATATATATATATATATATATATATATATATATATATAATATCATTTTAGTTATATTTATATTTTAAATAATTTTACCAAATTGAAATTTCTATGCATTTGTTTTAGATAGATAGATTGATCGATTTATTTTTTACTCAATTCTCTAATTTTTTTACATATTGATATATCTTAAATTTTCTACTATATAAATTGTATTTTATTTTATACAATAAGTTAGTAATGCAATAAAACAAATTTGTTTTTTTTGTGTGCTCTTTTATTAGCCTGTATATTCCACATTTGGCGTTAAGCGTACAGGAACTAAATCGTGGAAGGAAAGGATTGGAATTTTCGCAAATAAATGAGTAAAAAGTTATATTGTGCGCTAAGTTTCTTCGATAATCTTAATTAAAAATGAAAAAGAATCACTGGGTTTTCAAGAAGAAAGTACAAGGCGCAGTAAAGGAAGAAAGTTGGAGAAAGTTAACCGGCTGATCTGAATTTTTATTCGAGGTCACTACTAGCAAGTTCCACTAGCGGATTCTTTTTAATTCAGTCAGAAAGTTGATGTCTTAACGCGTCGTAGATAGAAAACGTTATCATCGTAGTTGATGAAAATTGATATTTTTAATCCTTATAATCAATATTGTATATTGTGTCGCTTGTGTATATTATAAGATAAAGCAGAATTTCTTTAATTCAAGGTCAATACATGTATGATCGTGAAAAACTTGCACTGCAATTACATTAACATTTTCGTAATTTGCACAATGCATTTAAACAAAATAATCTGATGATAAGATAAGCGCACTGATAATATATGACAATGAAAAGTAATCAGTAATTAGTGAAAAATAAATCTTGAAAGCAAAGGAAGCATGTGATCGGATCTCTTCGAGGATTGACATATTCGGAAATTCCTGATAATCCTCGCGCATAATTTGTCGAATAATTATCAACAATCAATTTTTCTCATTAATTACAATTGTGTGAAATATTGTTGCTAACTACGTTAAACCGTAATCAAGATTCGAAGAAATAAAAGACAAAAGACACATGGCCCAGCAGATTCCAAAGTACGAGCTTTTGCCTGATATGGAGACGATAAAAATATTACAAAAATTCAAAGGCGAAAGAACTGGCTTTGTTTTAGTAGGCCCGAAAAAATATTTTTTCCCTTTTAAATTTATAAAAGAAGGCATTGGTTTCTACAATTTTAAAGCCAAGCCGGACGATACTTGGGTTTTATCGTATCCAAGATCAGGTATAGTGCATCGATTAGTGCAAAACTGAATGTAATCGATTTGTTGCGAACTGTAATTGTGAGTGATTTGTTGATCTAAATCTAATATATGACAATATATTCTACACTTAAACAATAAACATGTCAAAAGAAAGACAAAGATATTTAACTTTACAGATATCTTTTAATTAGAAAGTTTTGATTTCTTATATATCTTTTAATTAACATCCCAATATTTCTCAAATGTTTTTTCATTAATTTTTCAATTTTTCATAATTTCTATCCTTTTAAATTAAATATTTTGTTACCATTGTTTGATAAAAGAAATAAGAAATTACTTGAATTTTTTCTTTTAAAGGAACTACTCTCACTCAGGAATTGGTCTATTTGTTGGCAAATAATTTGGATTTTCATACTGCGGGAAAGAAACTACTGCACGAGAGATTTCCCTTTCTCGAATTCAGCATGTTCAACCATCCCGAAGTGACACGCGAATTGCTTGAAATTAATAAAGGCGATTTCTTGAAGGAACAGTTATGTCGAGAGATAGCTAAACCTGGCTACGAGATGGTTGCCGCGATTCCATCGCCCAGATTTATTAAATCTCACTTTCCATTTTCCATGTTGCCTGGACTTTTAGACGTTGATTGCAAGGTAATAGCAGAAAATTGGAAAACTTTATTGGCAAATATTATGATTCCGCATTTTTCTTAAAGGTTGTTTACGTGGCTCGTAATCCAAAAGATGTTGCCGTGTCCTGGTACTATTGGAATAAAACGGTAAAGACACAAGGATATATCGGCGACTTCTCCACTTTTTGGAACTATTTTGAGAATGACCGTAGTAAGTAGAATAAAATTTAGACAATCATATGTGATTTCTGTTTTGCACTATAGATATTTTTATTATTTAAATTATAGTTATATAAGAGGTGACAGAATGTGCGTTGTCAAGTTTTTTATTTATTTTTTTTAAAGACGCATTTTTATATTTTTAATTTTATATATATATATATATATATATATATATACTGTAATTATAAATTTTTATGTGTGTATAACGAGTTAATTTATATGATTTTAAAAGATGTGTACTTATGTTTAATTTTAAATATTTTTAAATTTGTATAGTAATTTTTTAGTTAATGATGTTTTGTATCATTTTATATATATATCTATGTTTTGTATTGTATTTTATAAAAATTATACAAGTCTTTTCGTACATTTATTAAATATCATTAAAACATAATTTTTTTTGATAAATAATTTCTGAAAAACATTAATTAATGAAAGACATTTAAATTCTAAAGAAATTTACAACTACAGGATCTAATTTTAGAATTATATATTATTATGTGCAAATAAGTGACAAATTAAGAATCATGAATGGATGAATATAATTTCTCTATTTTCATATGATATCTATTATATCTATTAATAAAAATTTGCCTCTCATGCCCATTTGTTTTACAATTAGTTAAATAATTTTCTATCAATGAATGAATGAATAGATTTTTAATGTAATTCTTAATTTTTGTAGCACCTTGGAGTCCGTACTTTGCTCATTTGAAAGAAGCATGGAATATGAAAGATCATCCAAATGTTTTGTTTCTTTTCTACGAGGAAATGATACATGTAAATATATTCTTTCTTTATTTTTTAGATATATATTGTAAACTACAGATTACATTGCATATATTAATTCTGCCCAATTATAAATACCTGCTCTTGTTTTACATCTTACCATACGAGATATGATCACATGTTAACAGGCTAATATAATATATAGAAGTCTGTGCTTTAAACTAAAATATGTATACACACACACACACCCACCCACACACCCACACGCACACACACACGCACACACGCACACGCACACTTTGGTTAATAACTTATCAAACTATTTATTAACTTATTTTTTCCTTCTGCCATTTCCTAGACTTTTGTGTGACGCATGTATTGGAATAAAAATTGTATTAAATGTCTTCCAGGATTTTCCAAAGGCAATTAAGAAAGTAGCAAAATTCTTAGGCAAAACATATAACGATGAAGAGATCAATAAAGTGGCAGATTATTTGAAAATAGAAAATTTTCGCAATAACACCATGGTGAATGGTTCTGACTTTAAAGCCTGTGGCATTATAGACGAGGGAAATTTTGTCAGGAAGGGTGGTATTAATGGGTGGAAGGACTTGTTTACTCCGGAACTCAACAAAAGGGCAGACAAATGGATTGAGAAGAATCTCAGAGACACTGATTTGCGTTTCCCATTTTTTCAATAACGACATAGACAACAATTAAAAAAATTGAATAATTTTGATAAATTGAAAAGGTGTTGATTTCTCAAATAAATTTTGATTGTATTTTTGTATTTGATTGTATTTTAATAAATGCACATGTTCATTTTTCTTTCTTATATCTTATCTAAAGACTATTTTGAAAAAATTCCAATCTTATTTTATTAGAAAAGTTTCTTTATAATTTTATTATTTTGTTACACATATATATTCGCAAATTCGACATATTTTACTTTTATTGTGTTTTCGTACATTTGCAGATGAAATTTTAAAAAAAGAATACATACAATAAAAACATACATGAAAAATATATCAAACATGTTTTTATTGCTGTATAAAATATTTATTCTTCAAAAGTCGCGGACATCTATAACTTAATAATTAAAGATTTGTCATAATATCGCACATGTCATTCAATTTACAAATAAGGACCAAATATTAATGTAAAAATTATAATAAAACGTATTGATGCAATATTTTGAATCTTATGTCTAAAATGAAGAATATCCAGAAATTCTTCAAGTAGTCACAAACTATTCTTATTTAAAGGGGAGAAGAGTAAGTTTTATAATTTACAAAGTCTACTATAGATACGGATTTTAAAATGGATCGTTTTTTATGATTTGACATTTTCCTTCTTTTATAAACTTTTTCTGCCAATATATAGTGTGTTTTTATTAATTTTGGTCCTATGGAATGAAAGGAATAGAACATTTCTGAAAAAAAATTAATGAATATACGTATATACATATATTCTCACACCTTAGCGCGAAACTGTCAAATTGCCATGTACTTGCGCAAATGCAGTTGCAGTTTTACATATGCAGGATAACATTTTATCCCAAGCGGTCAAATATAGTGAATATCAGTACGGCTGCATCTGCAATCGTCTAGCTGACCATTATTATACAGCAACAAATGAAAAACACGACATTAATGTATGTAAAAATATATGCGGAGGGATATCAAAATTAACGGGCTCAAAAGGAGTCTATTTTATTGTATATGAAAAAGATTTAAACTGTATATGAAAGAAATTCAATGAGTCATCAAAATTGATCGGTTCCATTTAGAAGAATCTAATTTGGTATTAAATAATATATGAAATACGTATATTTCTTCTAGTTTCTTCTTATCGGTTTAGTTGTCTATGACAAGCCATAAAGTTTCAGAGTTCTGTCCATACTGGTGGATGCAATGTATTGCGCGTGTTTTCCAAAACGAACACCAGTAGCTGCTGCCGTGTGATCGTTCAAAACTTTCAATTCTTGCCATTGTTTACAAAGATATATCCTAAAAATAATATATATGTGCATGGTGATAATATACCAGCTAGTTCAAGTTAATTTGTATTATTATATATAAATTATATATAAATAGTAATATAAAAATGCAAATTTATCATTTATCAGATATTAATACATATTAATGTATTAATACATTTCACAGAGATAAAACATTTCCTATATTTATTTTATTAGTCAATATATATGTAATTAATTCCTAATCATTATTATCATTATTCCAAAAAATATTTAATTATGAAAATACTAGCAATACTACTAAAAATTAACAAAATTTACCTCACGTCTGTCCCTGCTACAGCTAAATAAGTTCCGCTTTGGTCGAAGCAAATGTCCTTTACTTCGTAAGATTCCTCCAATTGCAGCGTCTTAAAGTTCTTTAGCTTGCGTAAATCCCAGAGTTTAACGCAAGAGTCCTCCGCAGCAGTTGCCAAATAATATCCATTCTCGGAGAAACTAATCGCTGTGATCGGGCCAGTATGACCAGGGAAATTTGCAACGTTAGATTGTTCTTTCAAGTCCCAGATTTTCACTTGAGAATCTGCTGTGCCAGTACCGAAAATTAGACCATCAGGATGAAACTGCGCCGTAGTCAACGGTTGTCCCGTTTGTCCTGCCACCTTTAAACAATTTAGGCACATTCTTTTTATATCGAGAAATACATATTTAATGTCTATTTTTAGTATCGTAATTATCGAGCGCTCTTTTTTTTCTAAAACTTGATGTAACTTTGCGACTTAATATACCGACTGTATATACCAAGACTATTCGAAACGTACTTTAGTTAATAATCTGCCGGTACGTATATCCGAGAAGGCCCAATGTTGATCCAGAGACGAGCTCAATAAATAATCACCGGTCGGATGTAGAGATAATCCGGTTACTGGAGCGTCGTGAGCCTTCAGTAATAAAGTCGTCTGACTGGTACCAACGTTCCATACACGAATCGTAGTATCGGGTGAAGCGGTCATCACTACATCTTCCTCTGGATGATAGATAACGCGTGTAACCTGTAAATACAACGAAAAGAAATTAAAATTCGCTTGAAGAAGCAGTGAGATGAGATTACCTACCTTTTTTGTGTGACCTTTGAGAATTGCCACTACTTGTTCGGTGTCTTTGTTGAAAACAGTAGCATTCTTGTCGGCGCCACCCGTTAAAATCTTGCTGGTATCTGCGCTATGAATGTCGAGCGCTAAGATTCCTGGTACACTAGCAGAATGCAGTCCCTGCAAAAATTATATAATATTTAATTAATAATAATAATAAAATAACAATAATAACAACAACAATAATAATATTCGTCAAATTTAACATTGTCAAATGGAAATAATAAATATAATTGTAATGGTATCATTTTTATATAAAAAAAATTAGAATATGAAAAATATAAAATATAAAATGTTCAATATAGAAATATTAAATATAAAGATTGTCAGTAAGAGAGACTTACTGATGAGAAATCAAAGATTAGAAGAATTAGATTGTCAGTCATATACACACATATACACAAAAAAAATACACATTGAAATTTGTTGAAATCAACTACTTATATGACAGTAGTAAAATAATAAATTTTTAAAGACGTATCAAAAAATATATTAAAAAAGTTCCTACAGGATGCGATGCGAGAGTTTGGAATGACCGGATACTATCCTGAGGCATTAAATCTTCTGGCACTGAACGTCCACGTCGCTTTCGCTCTTGAGTGAGGACAGTCGCTCGTTCCTGTAGTTTCTGAATCACATCTTCAGTGATGCCAGCCTGTTCCATTGGTTGGGCTGCTGTGCCACCAGCTTCTACTGCCACAGCCTAAAAAAAATGCAAATTTGCAACTAATTAAAAATTAATAAAATTAAAAACTACAAATATTTCCAATTATTAATAGCAGGTATGAATTTATTTACGTTTCCTACAATTTACAACGTAATTTATTCATAGTAAATATAATTTGTGTAACATAATTGTGTAATATAATTTATAATAAATTTATAATTGTGCGTTAATATGTGCGTACGTGCGTGCGTTTGCGGACATACATTTAAATATAATTATAACAAGTATGTTATAATTAAGATATATTGATAAGATAATTAATATTTATTGTTTAATATTTTAAACGATAAATAGAATATGAATAAGAATAATCTGGTAATAATAACATACAGGTTGTGGGATTGTAGCAGCTTGAACGATTCCAGCCTGTGGCTTGAGAGTGGCCAGAGCTTCTCTAGCAGCGGTAACTTCCTTTGTCAATCTAGCAATGACTCGACAAGCTGCATCATGCTGATAAAGTGCATGAGACAATTCTTGTCTTGCAGTTTGAAGTTGTTGTCGCAATGTAAATGAATGTAACATAACAGCATCCCATTCATCTTGTAAGTTCTTTAATATCGCTGGAATGGATGTTGCGCTAGGTGGTTTAGGTTTGACAATTGGAGTTGCTGTAACAAATAAGAGATTTTGATAATTATACATAAAAGGTTACACATGTACATAAACATTTTATATTAAATGAGTAAAATTTAAAATACTTTTGATATCAATAAGCTGTTCGATGGTAAGTTCTTTGCCATTAATAGGATCCACTCCATTCTCAGCTACATATTTTTCAACAAGACGCCTTTCAAATATTGATCCAGAAACAGGGGATACTACTGGATGCTCCGGTACCTCATTAGAAACTGCAAATTACAAAAATGATTTACAATAAAATTTTTACTAAATATTGCTATATTACAATTTTTGATTAATTGTAAATCTTTTGTGAATATATAACAAAATAAACGAAAATAGATTTTAAATCTGTATTGTGTGTGTGTGTGTGTGTGTGTGTGTGTGTATGTATATATATATATGTGTATATATATATATATATATATATATATATATATATATATTTATACTAATAAAATAATAACTATATAATAAATTCGATAATATGTACGCCTTGTAAAAATCTCCTTTTACATCTAAATCATATATTCTATTATTATATTTTTTTCATTTTTACTAATATATGCGATTTTTTTATATATAACGTTTAACATGCCGTAACCAATTTTGCGGTTTTTTGACACTAAATATGTGGTAATTTTCAGGTTATGTTCGCCAATTTTGTCGGTGTAAAAATTGGCGGACATATTGCATGATTTTTTTTACGATAAAATTAATTTTATTATTAATTGATAACATGTAAACTTAAATATTATGCTGAAAAGTGAAAGATTAGCTCAATTACAAATTATTTTGTGCGCTCACAACACTCACTAGCACAAGAAAGCGCCATTTTCTTGATATGATTTGTACTACATACGTATGTACATACGTGCATACATACATACATTGCCGGCGCCGACAACCAAGTATAAGGCCGGGTCTACAATAGGTAATTTAAGGCCGCAGCACACACTTTGGCATAAGCGCATAACCATAAGTATAAGGAAATTGATTGGTCCCCAAGTATATGCATAAGAAAATGAACCAATCAATTTTCTTATGCTTATGGTTATGCACTTATGCAAAAGTGTGTGCTGCGACCTTTAAGGCCTTTGCACGTACAAAAATTTTAACCGTAAGGTCGTAAGAAAACTGACCAATCACAGTTGATTATTCTTTTTTTATTTATTTATCGTAGAAAGAATACTCGACTATGATTTGTCAGTTTTCTTACGATCTTACGGTTACGACTAAAATTTTTGTACGTGCAAAGACTTTTAGGGCCTCCGCACAAGGCCTATGTTCCAAAATTCACTGCCAGCGCTGAAAATATATAATATACGTTACGTGAACTATAGATTTTCAGTGCTGGCATTGAATTTTGGAACACGCCGGTGTTCCGTATCGCATCACGTTACGTTAAGTATAGATCGTAAATTTAATTTAGGCCCAGTTCCACAATCCAGTTAATCCGAGTTTAAGTAGTGAATGGACCAATCAGGACCCAGTTTAACGTATTAAATTCCGATTAATTCGAGTTGTGGAACCGGGCTTTAGGGCCTCCGCACAAGGTGTTCCGTATCGCATTACGTTACGTTAAGTATATATTGTAAATTCAATTCCGTATATAAACTTAAACTTCAGTCAACGCACAGAAAAAATCATAACGTAAAGATATGTCTTTACGTTACGATTTTTTCTGTGCGTTGACTGAAGTTTAAGTTTATGTACGGAATTGAATTTACAATATATACTTAACGTAACGTAACGTGCGATACGCAACACCTTGTGCGGAGACCCTTAAATTATCTATTGTAAATCGGGACTAAGGCTACTACAAAAAAAAAACTTTACGAAGCGTGATGAAACATGACATGATTTCTGCTTTGAAATTTGATGATGTATAACATGGCGTCCGCTGTAACTGTTAGATACATTTTCGCAGTGTTAACACTTGCCCTCTTTGTTTCTTTTGCAAATTCCGCAAACAATTATTACTCATCCGCAAGAGTCGAGGTAAATTCGATATTTACATAAAATCAATTGTAATAGAGAGAAAAAAAAGACGCGATTGTGATTGTTAATATCATGTTGCATTTCCGCGAACACAATTTTATTATCCCATACCGCATAGAAAATTGCAACAATATTGCAATGTTACAATCATATTACTATTGCTGCAGTATGGGATTATAATCACGACATACGTGGTTATTATTTAAATGTAACTTTTTGTATAAAGGGACTGTAATTGTACATTACCTACAGAGACCGGTACATTGTAATATAATGTTATTTGTTCATATATTATAATACTAATGTTATTTGTTTATTTTTTAGAGTTGTAGTGGCTGCTCGCTCAACCGACTGCCGGATGTCAAGGAATTTATCTTTAAAGATTTGCCAAACTAGTATCCTTTATAGTGCCATTATAATTATAATTGTGATTGTTTTACTTTATATATAGTAAAATGTTTTTCATTATAGTATACACACATACACATACATAGAGACCTTTAAAAATTAATCTTTGACAGGTTTACAAAATAAAACTAAAAACAGAAAAAAACATTTTATTATATATAAAGTTACATATATTACTTTTCAATTTGTTTGAGCTACTTGTCATAGCATGGCACAATCTTTTTTATGTCATCATTAAAATATAGTTTAGCCAAACTAGAATCTCGGCCAATTGCTAGTACTGTTCATCAATTTCTTGTTCTCAAGTCGCTACATTCCTAGCTATGTTTTTTTTTATGCATATGAATTGATGAAAGATGATTTTTCGATAAAATAAAAGTTGAAAAAATATAACAGAAAGGATAACAAGTAAATTACTTACAAAATTTCTATTAAACTTATTTTACGTTATTTTACTTTTTCATATTGCAATGTGAAATTTTAGAAAATGCCCTTAATAAATGTATATAGCAATAATGTGGAATTCAGACACATACAAGGTGCAATACCAGAGCTTGTACTATTCAACGAACATGAAGAGGTTTGACAATAAAAATAACATTAACTTGATACAATGAATATAATTTGATATCATCAATTAATTTCTGAAAATATTGCAGGAAGTGGAACGATTGGTTTTGTCTAGATTGACTCGGGAAGAATGTAATGAACTATTAGTTTCTAAAGGTTTCACTAAAAAATCCAAAGATAATAAGGACGAAATGTAAATCTTCAAGTTGTAATGTATATTTCTGTGAAAAAACACTAGCCTAGTCATAAATAACTCTAGAAGAAGAGATTATTTCTAAAAAATTAACTTTAAGTGCAAAGCTTGTTCAATTATGTTTTGTGCTTACAATTTATATACATCTATCTTTATATCTTATACTTAATAATTTTTAAAATATTTTTGTAGAGGCTAATATACATAGATATTCAAAATAAGAAAAAATCATGTTTTGATAATATTAAAGATAAATAATATATCATACAAAAATTACAAATGATATCAGGAACTTTTGATGTATAAATTCTTTTCTTCTTTCAAGTGTTACTATCTCCTTAATGTAGTAAAAAAGAGCAAAAAAAAAAAAAAAAAAAGAAAAAGTTCTCCAAAGAGCTGTAATCTATAATAGATTTTCCTATATCCAGGAAATTATGTATTTTAATATGTTTATGTATTTTTTATAAGGTTCTTTATATCTAGTAATTCTTTAAACTTACAACTTTATTTTTATCACATTCCAAAGAAGTTTTATTATATTATCATGTTAATTTTTTAGCAATGCAATAGTTAGCATCTTTCAATTAGCCTTCAATATATGTATGTATTAAGATATTTAAAATCAAACTCATAACACATCTTTAACAGCTCACTTTTTACAAAAGGATTGAATTTACCAGTTGAATAGATGTGTGTGTGTGTGTGCGCACGCGTGCGTATATATATATATATATATATATACACGAGTATATATATATAAATATATAAGTAAGTTTAAATCAAAATCTTTTAGAAAGAAACTCTACCAGATTATATACTTTATTTAATCTTTTCAAGTCCAGTAAAATATATATATATATATATATATATATATATATATATATATATAATTTATTTTGCTGGATTTGAAAAGATTAAATAAAGTATATAATCTGCTAGTTTCTTTCTAAAAGATTTTGATTTAAACTTACAGAACTCTACAGAATTATCTTGATTAGACTTCAATTAAGCTTCAGAATAATATTGTACAATTATTTAAAAATTTAAAATTATTGGTCAAAAAATATATGCTTTTTACAATATACAATAATATAATAACTTGCAATTAATAATCTTTTTTTTTTTTACTTACCATTTTATTCTATATGTATACGTATAAAATTATATTATAATATAACAAGATATTGTTTGCATATATTCGATTTTCTAATATCTTATTGTTTACTTTTCTTCTTCTCTCTCTCTCTTTCCATATATTATTTCTAAAACTTATAATTGATTTAACAACATAAATGTACAGATAAAGGACAATTGTAAATTAATAATTATCTTTATAAGTTATCAACAAAAATAAAGGAGAATGTGCAAGAACACATGTTTGTTAATTAATGGCTTTTCTTAGAATAGAAGTAGAATATTGTTTAAAAAAAATAAATCAATAACTCAAGATCCCAAAATACTTAAAAAAATTGTAAATTTCTGGCGTAAAAATGAAAGTGAGGATTATTAAATCAAAGAATGAACGACATTAATAGTCTTGCGAGAATTCAATTTTTATGTCGTATTATATTACAATATATATCATCATTCAAACATATCTTACTCTAGATTATATGCATATATACACTGTTCAAACCCGCAGTTCCATGCAAAACCGCGCCATTTATCTTAACGATGTACATTAATATTCCTCTCTATATCTTTGCTCAAGTTGTATTATTTTGTTATGCATTAAATTGAATAGAGCGATTTACATGTACCTGTTTCTCTCTCTCTCTCTTATATAGAAATAATATATTTATATATAATATATACATACACGAATAGAATAAAAAGAGTGATACTGAAATATCAGAGCTGTTCAAATTGGAGAGAACTTTTTTTTTTATTTCGTACTTTGAAATACGCAAATGCCGACGAAAATGTAAAAAGTTTGCGTGGACAAGATGCTCGTCATATTTTTCTTCTTTTCTAGAGAACAGCAAAGGAAAAACAAGTTTTAATTAATGGTTTGTTGAAATATTTATAAATTTGTATTTTTTCATTTTAAAAAGACAAAAACTAATGTAATATGATTATCATGAAAAACAATATCATAAATAAGAGAAAATATTACAAGTTATCGAGCAGATGAGTGTCTTCAAATTTAGGAGCAATGTTATGCCATCAGCAGCCAGCAGATGAATATTACTGCTAACCATAAAAAAACTTTAGATAAAAACTGCTCTTCTTCATATTGTGGTGTGCCTCTGGGAGCTACAAATAAATAATACTTAATTATCATTCAAATGTTATTTTAATTATTGCTGAAACATTAGACTGATTATAAATGTCAATGAAGGTCATCATTTTTTGTATGTTCCCGATTTTTGTCATCATATATCTTTGCAATTAAGTCTTAAATTAAACGGAAAATAACTGGGACACCTTGTATATGCATACATACATATATATGTACATACATACGTACACATACATACATGTGTAGATACATACATAAATAGATACGCACATAAATATATATACACGCATATATATATATATATATATATATATATATATATGTAAGTACGTATATAATGTACATACGTATGTACATAAATGAATAAGAAAAATATTTTATACATAAATTAAAACTAAAAATAAAATCACAATTTTATTATTATGTATGCATTATATATGCATATCCATTCTGCATTGATGCATCATCACTTATGACAAGTATTACCTGCACTTGGTCGTGCTTCTCCAAAATTAAAAGTTGACGTAAAAAAAGCAAACGGAAAAGTGCCGATGCCGAAGGACATGTAGGAACCATCGCCGAAACCGAAGCCGCTAAAGCCGACATTAGCTTCCGGCTCTGATCTTTGACCAGCTGGACGTGGTGGTACGTTGTTCCTAGGGAGAAAAAAAAATTTTATTAATTGAATATAAATTATATTATTTAGCATAACATTTAATGTTTTCCTATTATATATATATATATATATATATATATATATATATATATATATATTTAAAGCATATATATATATATTTAAAGGATTTTACTAGATATTTTTTGTATATTAATAACTGTAATATAATTTGACATGCGATATAAAATGGAAATTAATTAACTATAATAATTCTTAATTTTAACAAATAAAATAAATTATACCTCGGATCCTCATGCTTTGTAGCACCACGTCCGTATAATGGAATGACTTTGTCTTTACTTATGGCAGCTTTGCATACTGGACAGACCTGCCTGGTGGGTCTGGTTTCCAACCATTGATGCAAACATGGCCAACTGCATTGTTATCACTTATATTACTCAGATTATCATAGATAACTTTTCATTTTCCGATATTATTGGATGAATAATTACCAAAAGAGATGACCGCACATACTGACTACCGCATCCTTTGCAGTGTCCAAACAAATATTGCATTCGAACATTCTGTCATCCTTTTCTTTCTCCTCTGCAGAACCTGCGGATCCCGATGATTTAGACGGGCCTGCTTGTTCTCTTGTTCTACTCATTCTTCTCAAACTTTCTATAATCATACATATTCCATATTCTACAAATATCCTCATATTTATAGAAAAATAATAGAATAATCATTCGATGCATAATCACATCTCAAATATTTCTATAATATCTATTATATATAAATATATCTATAATAATCTTAAAATACTTTGCATAATTATGACTCTTAACAATTAGAGAAGGAAATTTGTGTAATTCCTAATTACACAGTAGAAAATTTGTAACTATAAAATGGATGCATAACTTATAAAACTCAATATTAATGCGTTGACTGGATTGATATAATGTATGTAAAAAGAAACTGTATCTATCTTTATAATTTTGAATTTGATTAAAATAATATGTAAATTATTATAATTGTGTACAATTTACAATGCATATAACAAAGAGGTTTATTTTTAACAAAATCATCAATCACTATGTAACTTTTAAATTTTGTATTCAAACAGGTAGAGATATATAACATAGATATATGTGTATACATGTAGATTTGCGAATGATGCCAAAATTTGTGTTCATGAAAAAAAAATTATCGAAAGAAGAATGTTAGGCATCGATTGATAGTATACAGTTATAACATATTAGTGGTGAAAAAAAAAATATATGCAGAAAATGTTGATTACAATAGACAAAGAGTTTTTGTGCTTACAGGACTTAATTTTGACATAATTATGTCAAAATTAATTCATGTGTGATGTATTCTTTAAGAAATTATAAACGTCTTCTAGCACCTGTCACATTGAATTTGTTGAAAGACAAGCTCGAAAATAAATCGTCTTGTGCGCCTCCGTCTTTCCTCCCCCTACACATACACACACACATTTACCTCACCACGTCATTCTGTTTGTAATACTCATCAGATTACATACATCGTTACTGATGCATTATTATATAACAACATTGCCTTATTCTTTGTATTTTCTTTCGAGGCACTATTTACCTTTATCTGTCTCAATAGTAAATCTATCCAAAAGTAACTTTTTTTTTCATCTATAACCTCACTACATGTCATATTGCGCGAATGCTCTATATATATATATATATATATATATAAAATCTTTCTAATTTTTATAGATGCATGCCAACATCGTTAACCTACTTATCAATCTTTTAATCTTTTTCTGTTTAATTTCTTTCTTTTCTCTTTATTATAAATTACCAGTTAAATTCCAGTTCCAATAATTTTGAAAATCTATTAGTTATCTGTCGACATACACATCAAAATAACAAAGTATCACTCTTTCTATACTATAAATATCAACTTCTACTTATCACGCGTATTTTATACATCTACTCTTTTCCACGCTTTTTATTCAATCTTTAATTTCCTTCAATACACCACTTTTCCATTATTCAATTTTCTTTCTGCACTTTTTAATTATATATAATTTTTTTTTACATTTCTCCTTAAACTTTTCACATATTTTTTTGTTTTCTGTCTCTTTCCTTACTTTTCTCTCTTTCCCTCTTCTTTTTATTCTCTCTCTCCTTCGTCAATCTTATACGTCATTTCGCTTATCCATTCATACATTTACACATCATCCACATTTACACATTTTCTTCATTTTCATATCAAACATAACCCCTCTCTCTATTTCTATAATTATATTTATTCATTTTTATGTGTTTAAATATATATTGCTTTAAATTTCAATTTCATACATATTTTATCCTTTTCCTTTTCTCACAACTAAATATATGAAACATGTTAGATAAAAATCACATCACTCACTTTCTGCTAGGAGGAGGGCAGGCTTAGCCCTCTCACGCAATGAAATCGTAATCTCTTGTTTGTCACAAACTACAAACTGGTACAAATCGAACAAGTATCACAAAATGTATTTTCTCAAATGATTAAATGGCGATGATCGGCAAAAACAGCACGTTACGTGTGTGCTAAACACATAATTCCGCGAACAGGATGTTGGTCGGGCAATGTAGAAGAGAGTGAGAGAGAGAGAGAGAGAGAGAGAGAGAGAGAGAGAGAGAGAGAGAGAGAGAGAGAGAGAGAGAGAGAGAGAGAGAGAGAGAGAGAGAGAGAGACAGAGAGACACGTAAGGAATCTGGTCAACGCCAGTACCGATGTTGATTGGTGCTTGTCTAGTCGTGAAAGAAGTTTATTGGTGACGTGACAATTTCTACATGTGGCAAGATACAATCAATAATTACGATAATCAATGACAAATGAGATGTTTGATTAACATAGTAACGTTGATATATTCACACAGATTCATATATTATTCATATATGCTGTACAGGCGTACAGATAGTAAATGATGTTTATAACGATGAAGAATGGAGAGACAGGTAGCATTCTTATCGATGCGATAATATTATGGACTACCTAAATTTATATCGAGCGCATTAGATGGCGTTAGTGGTTATACCTTCGATTCGATAAATTTGAATTTCGATCAAGTTTTGTTCGCGCGTAAGTGTAAAACAACGCTATGCGAGCTTTTAAGATTATACACACGGTAAGAAAATCTCTTTCATTAAAAGGAAATAAAGATTAGATTTGAATAATTGACAGACATGGAAGGAAATTGTGTATGTGTAATGATGCTAAATATTTTTACATAACAGAATGTGTGTGTATTAATATGTGCGTATACGCTTTTATGTCAAAAGGTAGGTAAAAGTAAGGAGAAAATGCAGCAAGCAAGATAATGAAACTACTTCATATCTTGCAAAAAAAGCAAGTAGGAATAATAAGCCTTGATTATAATAAATATATATATGCAATATAAATATATGATAAAAATATACATATGATTATAATTGACATATTATATATATATATATATATATATATATATATATATACTTAATATTATATAAACATTTTTATTCCTCCTGTATATATTGATTAAACATCTCCAAGAAACCATAGAAAATGGCGATTATGATAATGAAAACGTCTATGCCAAACATACTCCAAAACTTGTCGGCGAAATTTCAATATCTGTAATATCTGTTTGATTTAATATTTTTAGAATGAAACTCAGCGACTTGGAATCGCCGTATAGGATCTCCTCCAGGATTCCTAGTATTAGTTCATCCAAGATAAAGCTCGGTGCATTTGGACGAGCTCGCAAGATTGGATGCGAGCGGAATGTTGCTTCGATGCTTCTTCAACAACGTCAAGCGCTTCGTGTCATTTACGAAAACGTCGACGTTACACCGAAACCGTTATTTCACACAGCATTTGGCGTCATTGATGAGAACCAGATAACTGCCTTGGAGAATATGGGACTATTCCAGATGGAAAGCGCTTCCCAATTGATGGCATCTCCTTCGAGAATCAGCGGTCTCGGAGCTAGTTCGTCTATCCTCTTCAGATCTTTCTCGATGCCGTCCGACGATTTACAAATGGAAAGTTTGTTATCGACGCAGATTTACGAATCTTTGCCCGTTGACGAGAAAGAGGATGTTGCACCGTCACCATTTTTTCTACCTAGGTAATAATGATTAATGTAATATCTTTTGAATTAGTATTTATCAGACATAAAAAATGAAGAATTAGAATTAAGTAGAACAAATTTTCAATAGATGTATAATATTGAGAATTTCAATTACAAAACTTTGTATCTTAGAATCTAAAAGTTAAAGTTTTGAAATTTATGAATATAAAATTATACGTAAAAATTTGCATTGCAAAAAAAGTTTCAAATTGGATAATTATAGTTGTCAGAAATGTTATAAATATATGTGATAAATGTTATAAATGTTATAAATTTTATATTCAGAGTGCTATTCTTATTGCAACTTTATTTTATTTTTAATCTGCTGCTCTACTATAGCCTATATTTTGTTAAATTATGGATCTTCAGTCTTTTTCACTTTAGATTAAAAATGCATATTCTCTACATGTGCATGTGCATGCGTATCAAACTTAATATATGAATAGAATCAAGGGAAAAAGAGTCGGTTGACTAAATAGAAATAGTATGAGTGTTTAATTATTTGATTTCAAAATATGAAGAATTGAATTGTAAAATTTGGATATAAATAATAAGTAATATATAATAAGTAATATATGCATATAATGGAGATTTTATTTGTTTATAGCGATGACTTGGCCATATTCACAGATCGCCCAGAAGTGACAATCATATTGAAAGAAACGCAGACATACTTCATTTTCGAGATGCCGCAGATGACTGAGGATTTGCGAACGCCTGAAGGACAAATAGTTCAAGAGGATAACAAGAATTACGAGTATGTAACAGTAGGACCGGGCTCGAATCGGAAGCTGTTGAATGCTGAAACGCAAACAATACGCGTATTGACAAAATCGCGAGGCACTTATTTAGGCATGAGGCCTCGTAAGAATCAGGACGTATTTGTGAACAATTGGGTGATTCATGACACTTATGCAGCACCAGAATTGATGACGGAAAAAAATGGACGTATGATTGTACATACAAGGAAATCGATGATCCGGATGCGAGAAGCGCAGGTAAAAAATTTTCCAAAATTTTTTATTTATATTTTCGGAAATAAATCGCTCAATGAATATATAATGTAATTTCATAATATAGTATAATTTCTCAAATATTCTACGATTTTTTTTATTAAAAATTTTTTTTTGCACAATTATTAAAAAACTTTATATAAAATTTATTTTGGAATCTTAAAGAAATATTTGTAATGTGTAATATAATAGGAGAGTATGTAATGAGATAGACAGATAGATAAATATGTGTGTGTGTGTGTGTGTGTATGTAAAAAGAAAAGAAGAGAGAGGGAATAATATATAGTATATTAAAATACTTGTACATGTATATATATATATATATATATATATATATATATATATATATATAAATAAAACCATTTGTATCGTAAAGTCAAGTTTTTAACTTATGTAATCACATTTACAACATGTATATATATATATATATATATATATATATATATATACATGTTGTAAATGTGATTACATAAGTTAATAACTTGATTTTACGATACAAATGGTTTTATTTTTAATTACAGAAAAATTTAGTTTATTTGTTTTTAGTTATACAATTATACAATATAATTTATTTAAACTGATAATATTAAAATTCTAATCAATATAAACTCCAATACGAATTTTAACATTTACTTTATAAGACTAACCAAAAAGTAGGAATAGGACGGAAAAAAATTGTAAAATTTAAAAAAAAGTTGTACGTATAAAGGAATAGTTGGAATTAAAAGTTTTTAATTTTTAAATCTTGAATATATTTCAAAATATAATAATGTCTCTTAATAAAATAATAAAATAATAAACAAAAATTAATATTTAATAACTTGGAAAAGTATTCATCAATAACAAATAAATAAACAAAGTGTTTATAAAGAAATATATAGAAAAATTTCTACAAAGTAGATCTATACTTTCAAAAAAATTCTTATGTTTGTGACAGGAACTCCAATACAAGCTCCCCGAATCTGAAGCAATCCCAGAAGTGAGTTTCAAGGAGCAATTATCTTGCATTGGTCGACAAACACGTTTCCTAAATGCGGCATGCGTAATGGAACGCATAATCGCTAACAATGTGTTCGCAATGCCGCTAAAGCGCTTCACTGGCTTGATTAAACGTGATCCATGTGCCTTAGATCTGGAGTTTGATTACCGACTAGATCTGCTGTGGACATATGCGTGTGAAATGACGCGCGGTCGTCCTGTAGCAGCATTCCGTTGCAGTCAGGCTAATGCAAATCTTCTCGCCGTCGCTTATGGCGCCAAGACTGGTTCCGATAAGACGAATGGACTGTTGCTAATTTGGTGTGCCAAAAATCCTAGCCAACCTGGTCGCGAATACATATTCGACAGTCCACTGTCCGATATTGATTGGAGCAACGAGCGACCGAATCTTTTGGCGATTGGTTTCTATGATGGTAGTGTAAAAATCATCGATGTCAGCAGTAAAGAGATGAATGTCATCAGGCAGAGTCGCAGGGAGACATCATTGGCTTGTTCACCACATTGGCAGGTAAAAAATAGCTATTTAAACATCACTATATCATTATTCTAATTTCGATATTATGAATATGTAGCCCTCATTTATTTGTACATTATATATTATACTAATATACTATTTTATATAATATAATATTTTATACCAATATACTATTTTATAGAATATAATATTTTACGTATACGAAATATACATATGCAGTTATCATTTTGGCATAGATACACTTAAATTATTTTGTATATATTTTACTTCTTATCCATTAGTACTTGTAGTATGCTATAACAACAATACAATCTTTATAAACAATGGAGTGCAATTTTTTTAGCCAGCCAACATTAATTATATATAACTTGACGACGTTTTATGATATTTTGTTGTATAATAAGATTGATAACATATTCTTTACTTTTGTTACAGATACAGTGGTGGATCGGCGATGAGCAATTCAACTTTCAAGAGCAGATCTACACCAGTAATCAAGACGGTCTAATATATTGCTATCGTCTTGGCGAGGATTTCTTTGCCACAGACATCATGCGCTTGTATAGGGTCGAAGGTAAAGTAGCCGGAATTTCTAGAATTGATCACTGCGTAGCTTATGATGTGCCCATTAGCCGTCAACCAGGCGCTCTTCTTCTCCGAAGACATCCTACCGTCAATAATATTTACTTCGTCGGTTCCGATGAAGGTTGTGTTTATCGATGTTCCACAAATTATTTACGTCAGCATGTGGACAGTTTCATGGCGCATGACGGCCCGATCTATTCTCTCGAGTTCTCGCCTTTCTGCCGAAAATTATTTTTGACTTGTGGCGCTGATTGGTGTACGAGGATCTGGACCGAAGGTCTTACCGAACCACTTATTATTTTGTCGACGGCAATGACATGCGTGAGAAGCGCCTGCTGGAGTCCTACATGTTCAACTATCATCGCCGGCATTGTTAATGATCAGATTTGTGTATGGGATATTCGTAGAAAAATACATATCCCGTCCTTTGTGATAAGCTCAACGAACGGAACGAGATTAGTTGCTATTGAATTCACAGCGAACGGAAATCAATTGATAGTCGCTGATATCGAAGGTATTATTTACGTCTATAATCTTGAAGGCATGCCATTTCCGCCATATAATCAAGTAAAAGTGTTGATCGAGTCCGTTCAGAAAGCGTTAATAACCAAACCAGAACTGCTGAAAAAGTTGAAAAAACTAGGTCCGCCGTTTTAATTGTTCCAATGTGATAAGGTAAGTAAACGGGTGACAAAAGTAAAACAAATATTTAAGATAAATTTGTATCTATTTGTATTATTTTGAAAAATTTTTCTATAATTAAAAGATAATATCATATAAATATCATAGATTTCGCATAAATATTAGGAAACATATTTTTTGAAAATATTTGATAAACTTAACTTTCATATATTTGATTTTTATTATATAACTTGGTAAATTTAGTTAAATAATATCTAAAAAATGTCAAACTATAAATTTCAAGATAATAAAATAAATAGAATTAAATAAGATAAAAAAATATATATATTTAAAATAAGATAAAATATATCAAAATATTTAACAAAATAATCCACAATATAATCTTAAAAATTCTTAATAAAATGATAAAGTAATTAAGAAATATAAATACTTCGATGTTTTCTAAAAATAATAAAAAGATAATTTCTTCTTTTCCAATACATACAAATACGTGTGAATTTTTCTAGCTTCTTTATCGATTGTAAAGGATCTTCCTGATATGTGGTGACCCCTTTCGGTCTATTTATTGCAGGCCTAATCATGATGAGAGAGAGAGAGAGAGTGAGCAAGAGAGAGAGGGAGGGGGGAGGGAGAGAGAGAGAGATAGACAGAGAGACCAAAACGAACACTTAAATGTGCCGCAGGGTCTGCGCCAGCGGGATCTGCTCGCTCGCGGAGGTCGAGCCCGGGCCTGAAGCTTTCCGGTGTGTATGAGAAAAGAGAGGGGCTGTCTTATCCTGCCCTGTGTTGCCGCTGCTCGCGGGCACGTACTGTGGCTACTGCCATCAGCGGACAGTCTCTTATTACGCCCGCGTTCAACTCTACGCGAATTATAAATACTCTTTTTAAACTGCACGACGATAACGTGAACACTCTCAGAATATCAAAATCTGAAAAGTTAGCCAAATAATAGATTTTGAGAGCGGAAGACAAAATTTTAAATAATCTTTGGAAATGACGACAATCATCACGGATAATATGAATATTCGAACTTCGAAAATCATAACTGAGTTATTAAATAGGAGATAAAATCGAAGATAATGTGAATAATGGATAGTAATGACGGAGGACAACAGAGTAAGCATAATTTCGATATAGAAGTGATATCATAGCCTTGGTCATTTATCTTTGTAGAGCAAGAAAAAATATATAATTTTCTTGATTGATATTATTGGAACTTTAATTGAGAGAGAATAAAACTCAATATAGTGTTAACAAAGTTAGTATAAACTTAATAAATAAAAGGAAATATTTTTCGATGGAACAAAATATTACGGACAATATGGATATTAGGATGTTAATGGTGTGACAAATATTTTACTGTAGCAACTTCGTGAAATTAGTAACAAATATTTTGTAAAATCAGTTTTTTTTTATAAAAAGAACTTTGTTGAAACCCTTGTTATATATACATACGCAAAATAATGAGTGAAAAAGTAATAAATAAATAACATTTTAAGATCATGACAATCTAATTATTTGAAAAATTGTTTTACTGTGAAAAATTACAATCTCTTATTTATATCGGTTTTTTTCATATTATATGTTCTTTATGTTTATTTATCTAATCGAGAATTTCTATTTTAATCTTTATCAGAAAGTGTTTAGTTTAAATTATAACTTAATGGAAATTAATTTGCCAATTTATCGCAATTTCTTTTATCTGTAAATTCTTTGTTCACAATCCGGAGTTAATTTTTTCTTTAAAAATATAGTTTTCCTCTTTAATGATTAATGATTTCAATTACTACATATTCTATATTCAAGATTTTCTCATGAAATAGTTTTAGATTTTCATATAATGAAATATTTAAATTATATTTATTATAAATTTATCATAAATATTTAAATTATTTAATATTTTAACTATTTCCATAATTATTTTCTCTCTCTCTCTCTTACTTTTTTTCCTTTCACGCGCATACATAAGAATTTATAAATTTGTATTTGGGGATTTTAATTATTATTCCTAAATTTTTTTTCTAAAGGAAAATTAGCATCCCAGTTTCGACATTAAATTGTAGATAAAAGATTGAGAGGCATCATCCTACAATATCGTCGTGAAATCTTCGTTAGATTGCGCGGTATTCAAATCGGAGTTACGTTTTTTGTTGAGACTCTTATCAAGCGGTGTAAATCGATAGTATTGCAACGAATGGATTTCCGCAAGTAAAGGAGAACGCAAAGCAAGCGAAGAATCTTCTGCTCATCGAGGAGAAAGGCGATTAGCGAGTCTCGTCGCCTCGGCAGTAGGATCACGTCGACGTTAACACACGCGCGCCAGGAATCAATGGTGGGACGCATATAGATTGCCTCGATCGTTATCGTGCTTTTCATTCGAAAATATTTATATTTATTTAAAAAGTTAAATATTTATGTTTATTGAATATATATTTATTTAAAAAATTAAATATTTATGTTTATTGAAAAAGGAAAATCAAGTAAATTAATAGAGACAAATAAAAGAATTTAATTTTTGATGAAAAAATTAAGAGAAGTAAGAGAGGAAAAATAATCTTTAAAAAATGTAAATTATCAGGACAATATTCTTGAATTCTTCTTAATTTAAAACAGTAAGACATAAGATTGAAAATATAGATAATTTCTTATATCGAATATTGTATCACCGCAATCTTCGATGACGTGGAGCTTGTTTTAAACTGTAAATTCTAGGTCGATGATTCCATAACATAAGAGAGCAGCTAAGATCATCGTTAGATCTTGCAAAAAGAAAAGAAATAAAAAAAAAAACAGAATTAAAAAAGAAAAAGGGAAATCGTCAGAAATTTTGCCAAAATTTAAACTTCATATCATATACAATATGAATATTATATATAATATGATGTAAAAAGAATCCAACTGATCAAAAAAAAAAGAAAAAAATTATGACTATAAAATGGCAATATTACAGTAACAAGCTGACTTGTTTGTGATGAAGAGTTTTGAATTAGTCATTCGAAAGTCATTCTATGTAGAAAGTGATTATTATCGTCATGTATAGTAGTTCGAAAACAGTGTGCAAATCGCAAAATTATACATTTTCATATATATATATATATATATATATATATATATATATATATCGGATCTGCATTATAAACAAGAACATTACTGAATATAAGGAATAGTATACAAGTAAGTACATGAGACATTTTAATAAATTGAAGTTTACTATTATTCTCTCCGTCTATTATTCTTCAGTCGCGATCTTTATTATATATTTATTATCGGAAATTTTATTATTTATTATAGCAAACTGACATAGATTATACTTCTATACTTATTGTTAGTTAAGAATAAAATATTATTTTTTATAATATTTTACTTTATAATAATATTATATATTTATATAATATAATTTCTATTTTATTAATAATATTATTTATATGTTTTCCTTCAGAGTTCAATCTCTTCCTATAAATTATGAATAAAAAGATCGATAATAATTTAAAATGTATGTTTAGAAAATAAAATACAATTTTAAGGAATTAAAACTTTGTATATAATTTATCCAATATTTTTTAGAATATTAAAATTATACGTATGTATATATATATATATGTGTATATATATGTGTATATATATATATATATATGTATATATATATATATATACACACACATATATATAGGACTTTTTATAGCTAATTTATAAGATTTCAAATCTGACACATTTATACTATATGTATATATGTAACTTTTTAACATATATATATATATAGTGCGTGTGTGCGTTTTTCATAAAAGTAATTTTTTTGTTGCAGGAAGAGATTTCTTCACAAACTAAAAGATGTTCGCTAGACTCTGCAGACAAACTCCAAACGGTAAGAGAGTGTTCGAAAAAATCTTATTTATATATTTATCTCATTTTTACACTTACTTTAATGCAACTATCTTGAATATTTTTTGAGCGAAGATTGTATTCGCTAATTAATACGAATTTCTTTGTTCTAATGAAATACCATATCAATTCTGTCTTACAAATACCGACAGCCTACATATGTATTTAATATATTATATAATCAAATATTATCAAAATATAATCAAAGACTTTTTATTAGACGCAGTAAGCATGTGTTTAGAGTCTAGACTTTTCATTAGACGCAGTAAGCATGTGTTTAGAGTCTCTCAGTTATTATAGAGGACTTTCAAATAAAAAAGGTTCTTAAAGATTCTCAAAATCAAATTGCGTTTAGAACCTCGGTATATTATAGGGTATATTATAGAGATTTCCAAATCTAGTAGCGCTTAAGCGCTTGAAATGCTAAAATGCTTCTTTGTATTTAGCATTGCTTTTATAATCAGTAAAATTTAAAAAAGAATCACATTAATTAATTAATGAAAACACATGCGATTTTTACGGTTACAAATAATAGTAAATTTACAACATATCATTGATGTGTGTTGATTGTTTTGTTGATTTATGTTACCGCCGCTTTTTGAGAGCACGTTTCTAAATGATAGGACAACGACAGTTATGATTTACGACAGCTTGGCTACTATTTGGAAATTTTTCTAATTTGAGATCATAATTTTTTCTCTCACAATCAAGGATGAAAATTAAGACCTAAGTGATTCAATTTATTCAATTCAATTTAAAATCAATTTAATTTAAAAAACACGTGTAATTCTATTCAATAAACACGAGTTGTGATGCAATGTATTCCGATGAGTGTGATGAATTGTGTACAAATTTAAATTGTTTATGTATAACACGAATTTATGATTTCCTCTACTTAATTTAAAATCAAAATAAAATTATCTTAAGTAATTTAAAATTTAAATTATAAAAAGATAAAAAGCTAAGCTGTTTTAAATAATTGCCTAAAATACTAACTCTTAGCTTTAAAGATTTAATATTAATCAGAAAAAGATTAATTTCAAAAGATAGATACATTTCTGAATATAATTCTAAATTATAAAAAAATTATTAAAAATATTAAAGAATTTTTTTACAAATATATGTATATGTAATATATATGTATATATAATTACTCAAACAACAATATAGAGTTTGAAACGTGAACTTAAGTATGAAAATATAATAAAAACAATGTATATATGTGTTGTGAAATCTTCAAATTATATAATACAGATATCATGTATAAGAATAATCTTGAAAAAGAGAGAGTGAGAAAGAGGGAGAGGGCGGGAGAGAGAGAGGGGGGGGGGAGAAAATTTAAAAAGGAAGAAGCCACCGCGCGCGAACGCATGGACTATATCATCGGGTTCATGCCGGGTTCATGCTGCTCAAACGAACCACAATGAACATGTATGAAATTTATGGCGTGCGGTTATGTGGTACTGTGTGGTTTTCCGCCCACTCACACTCACATACATACTCGTGATTTATGCCGCCTATAAAGTAGTTATAGATATGCGAATCAAGCCGCAAAGAGAATAAGGAAAATTATTTCTTATTTCTTTCGTCGCGTGTTTTTGGAGTTTTAATTTATATTATATTTATATTATTTATATAATTTATATTATTTTGCACCATTTCGATAAAAGAATCGAGAATAATATCGTTAAAGAATTTTTGATAAAAATAAGAGATTTTTAATACTTTCATAGAATATCTATATTTTCATGGCAAAAATCAATTTTCTGACTTTTTCTAAATAGTTAGTACATACATTATATTAAAAGCAAAGTAACATTCTAAAAAAAAATTTTAATTTTTATAATTAAATATATAATCTTTGAAAGATTTCAAAATATATGAATTAAAAATTAAAAATTTTCACACATGTACATGTAATTTAAAGTAAACATTTCCACTTTCTCTAAATATTACTTAATCATTAATCCACATTTACCAACAAAATATTTTTATTTTCTTTGACTTCTCTTGTTAATTATATATAATTTTTACTTTTTTAAATTACAATTTTATAAATTTATATATAATTCCATTTCTATATATATAATTTCGAAAAACTCTCTTGTATGCCTATATTTCTAAATAAACATTTATATTATTTATATTATATTATTTATATAAAACATATATCATAACTGAGAGGCAGTGTATGTTTTAGACTAATTATATTTAGAATTAATTTAATAATATTAAATCAAAAGATTTTAACTCGAAAATTTATTTATATTATCTTACACATACTCATACACATACATGTATATACATATACATGTTTCAGATTGTTCGTGAAATTTTCCTTAACAGAAAATTAAAAAAAAAATGTTTTTTCCAAGTTTTTAAGTAAAATATACATTATGAAATAAATAAACATAGAAATAAACAAGTAGTAAAACTTTCCGACAATGCGTTGTGTGTGTGTGTGTGTGTGTGTGTGTGTGTGTGTGTGTGTATGTGTGTGTGTGTGAGTGAGTGAATGAGATATATGTAAAAATATATATTAATTTTATACATTTATTATTATTTAATGTTATATTATTTCATTATTATTAATAAATGAGACAATTTTAATAATATATTATTTAAACACTTTTTGATATATATATTTATATATATATATTGATATATATATATATATTTGATATATATAATTATATACGATGTGCTTTTTGTGAATGGTATTTTATAAATTTTTAATTTTTTACAAGTTCAAATGAATTTGAAATACAAAAAAATATGAAAATATCTGATACAATAATAGAGCCGCGAAAAAAACAATTTCTGAGATCGCAGAAGCTTCCGTATTCTTTCCTTGCATCAGTCGATCATTTTTATCTGGCTTTTTTTTTGGATTTTGCCTCAATGGTTAAAGCAAGCCATGTATATTCTCGTGTACTTACACAGGCGCATGTACACCATATTAATTACAATGATTTTCTACCACTTATGCTCGAGCCAGATTTAAATTATAGATATCCATTACGCGTCCACAAAGAAGAAAAAAAAGAGGAAACGAAAATGAGGAAGGGAGAGAAAGAGAGAGAGAGAGAGAGAGAGAGAGAGAGAGAGAGAGAGAGAGAGAGAGAGAGAGAGAGAGAGAGGCAAAGACAGAGATAGAGGGAATGAAATAGTGTAGTGAAGGGACCTGGACAGGCCCGGGCCGTGATTACAAGGTGCGCGCAAACATTTCAGGAATCAAACGCGTCGGAAACTTTCGGGTCATAGGTCGATCTTGTCCCTCTTTGCTTCTCCCTCTCTCCCGAATTCCTATCTCTATCTCTACCATTTTCTCTTTTTTGATCTTTTTTGTCCTTCAATTTTACAATTTTCCAAATTTCTTTCACTTCATCACATTATCTAAAATATCTCTATCATAAATTAATCCATTAATGACTCGAATTTGTTTGTTAATTTGCAGGTCAAAAAGGATTCTTTTGACTAATTTTGAATCCGTTTCGAAGATTTGTGCAATTTCTAGAAATATTTTTTGAGAATAAGAAGATCAAATCTGGGAATCGGGATATAAAATGACAACACACGCAATAACGTAACATATTGACCTAAGTGGCGTGAAGTCATAAATCAAAGTATACCGGGCCATGTACATCTCGGCTTCGGGCGCAATTAAATCGTAAAATGCGCATGGCGCATTAATAATAATCAGCCACGCCGTAGCATGGAATTTTGCTACGACGATAAATTCAATGATGAGAAATATATATCTCCTTTGTGAGAAACATTTCTTAATTTTGTTATTACAAAATGCTGTTATTATAAATATTTTATTTGTCTATTTTTTATCATACAAGAGCTATCGATAAAGAATATAGAATAAAGTAGAAAAAAAATGAGATAAATCTTTATTATTGTGCCAATCTGTTTTTTAAGACCTAAAGAGAAAATTTTAATATTTTAAGCAAATTAAATATGTAAATGAAATTAATAATTAAATCTAAATTTTTCTATTTTATATTCTTTGAATGTTTATACTGGAGTAAAATTGTATATTTCTTGGATTTTATAGAGATGATTTTTTGTCATTTCTCTTGGGAAATTTTTATCTTTTAATACGTCTTCCAAATTCTTGGGAGGATCCAAAAACTTGATTCTAGTGATAGAAAATCAGATTGGCAACAGATTTCTGCGCGCGGATACGCGCGCGCGCGCGCGACTCACGCGCACGCACGCACGCACACGCACGTACGCACGCACACGCATACTCTCTCTTTCTCTCTCAAATACTCTCGACATTTATACGCGCCTGTTTACCACCCGGTAAATATTATGCCGCGGTTATAACGTACATCTCGACGGATTTGTACGGCGAGTCTTGTGTACGGAATGGCCATTAGCTGCATTCAATCACCATTACACGCTCACGCACTTTCTGTATCTTGGTCGCTCGTTTCTCTTAAATCTTTGCTCGCTTGGGATTAAGATAAAAAAATGCGTGCCAAGAAAAATATATGGTAACCATGGTATGGATCCATTCGTGAGAATCGAAATTTGTCACTGCTTCCATACACGAATTGATGAAATGCTCTAACTTTTGCTACCAAACGTTATTTTCATTTTAGATAATTGGATGTATATGCACAATATATATATATATATATATATATATATATATATATGTATATATATAAATTTTAATTTTATTATGCGACTAATCCAGAGCAATGTTCGAATAGTATTAATATATTTAGTTTCTTCTTTCTTTAGTCTCTCTCTCTTAGATGTAGTTAATAATTTATATCATAGTAGCTCATAATCTATAATATTTATATCATAGTAGCCCATAATCTATAATATTTTCAATATGAAGGAAATCTCTAACAAGACTCTAATATTAATCTAATCTGTATCATTTTTCTTATTGAATATTGTTGATAAAAGATGAAGAGAAATGGCAAAACACAAAAAAATTAAAATGTAAAAGTATATAAAACGAGAATGTATATAAAAATATTAGTTTTCATATTTTTATAAAAATATAGACATAAATATAAATGTATCTTTTCGCTTTTTCAACATCTCTTTTTTTAAAATATCTTTCTACTATATACCCTTAACAACAAGCTCTTTTTTTCTGTTATTTGTCATTACATATTTATAATACTACTTGTCTCAAATCTAGTTTACAAATCGCGCACACATACATTGATTCTCTCGATTATTTTTCGCGACGAATTAATTTGCGATCAATCGAGATCCGTCAATAGTGGTTGCGTCGACAGTGGTGTAATCGGCGTGCAAGTATTTCGGCCGGGTGGGTCTCGACCGGATTCTCGAGTCTCTTTCCCGGCCGCGCGGCCCTCGGATTCTTCATGGTTCCCAAGGGGGTCAGAGGTCGGTGGGCCCTCCTCCGCCTCGATTCCTTACCCCGCCGCTCTTCGACCTACCACTTACAAGCCGCCCATCTTCTTCCTTTTTTCCTCTTTCGCGAAAGAGTTATTCATCCGTTCGGACATGACGAGAGACGTCAAAGCAAATCTTGCAAAAATTGTGAAATTATAAATTATACTAGCATAAACCGATAAGCGAGAGAGAGAGAAAGAGAGAGAGAGAGAGAGAGAGAGAGAGAAAGAGAGTAAAAAAGTAAGAAAAGTAGGAAGAGAGAGGAGAGGAAAGACAGAAGAAGAGAGGGGGAAAAATCTAAGTTAAAAAAATATAATAAATTAAACGCAATATATTAAGCATCTGTTGCATGAGCGAATAAAAAACTTGGATTTCTTTGACTACAGATGTATATGTGATTGTATATATTTCATTCGATTCTTGTCAAAATAAAATTAATGTAATAATTAATGTAATAATTAATGTAATAAGTATAATAACATATCGTAACAGAACAATATTGATAATAATAAAATTTCTAAATTTTCAAAATAAAAAAAATTGGCATATACTATCTTTTATTTTAATTTTGTTTTAGTTTTTAATCGATAAAATAAAAAATAGAAAAATAAATAAGAAAGAAAGTGAAAAAATAGACATATCTGTATATCATTTCATTTTAATTGATATATAATAAAACTTTGATGTTTGTTTATACATCAATGATAAATTGCATCACATTACATGGTGTTTCTAATCTTAAATTTAGCGAAAAACAAGATTTAATGTTTTAATTATCAATTATACATCATCTGTGTTAAAGAAGTTTGTTAATTGTAAGTCGATTTTACAATTATAGCATTCGAGATCACATTATAATCGCTATGATATTTCGATTTTCCATTAAATTTATGGCAATGACAATTAATAGCAATAGACAATTAATTTTTGTTTGGCCGATAAAAGTGCGTATTTACCGGATGAACGCGAAGGGGCGGCTTCGTGAGACTCGAGCCGAAGCCAGGGTCGTTTTTGCGAAGCCTGATAACCGACAATTACATGGTCACGGCGATTGGCCGATTCGTTTTCGCGGGAAACATGGACCAATCGAGGCACCGGGTATTACCTTCTCTTTCTCTTTTTCTTTATCCCGTTTTCTCTCTCTCCGGATTTCTCTTCTCCTAGAGTACTACTCGACATGCTGCAACGAGCGCGTTTAGTCTAGTCAGAGCTGCATCTGTAGGTGAATCTGTAGCGTATCTGCAATTTTGCCATCTGTGTTCTGTGATCGATGAAAAGTGCGGGAGAAGTGCGATATTGCGTCTATCATTCTTCGTCTCCTCTCAATTTTTATCTTTTTTATTCGAATAAAGTGATTTCTAGTCAGTGCGAGTGTAGAATCGTTGAGGAGGGAGAGAAGTTGAGGGGAGGGAGAAAACAATTTAAAAGAGATTCTTAAAAGCGCGAAAGATTCCAGAAGAGAAATAGGAAAATTGTAGATGCAGAAGCTTAGAATCAGCTGCAACAATGGCAATAAACTTAACTTCGAGGTATCACGTGATCTGAATGCGAGAATGCAGCTAATCTCGCAGTGATTAGCGTTAAATGTTGATCAGTTTCCGTTATTATCGGCAAGTCAAAAAAGCGGAAGCCGTCGCATAACGTAGGTAATTCCTGTTTCTTCCTGAAACTTTTTTCTCTCGTTACCGATAGAAAAAAATGTCAAACGATGTCCACGAAGAATCGCTCTCGTATCTTTTACCGCGTCGGAGAAACTTGATAAGAGCTCGCTGGATGGCAATGGGTTCGGGGAAAACGAGGATTTATAATAGATCCGAGTGGATTGTACGTCGCGTCCGAGAATGCTGGATTCATTACGAGCTGCAATAAAATTGCCAGTAATTTTTTCACGACTTATTCAGAACAGATAGGACAGACTGAGGACAGCGATCCTCCATGCGTCAAAGTATATTATATCTAAGAGATTGATCTCATGTTATATATAGATGGAACAAGTTTTTAATTTTCTTACATACATTCTACGATAAAATAATATACGAAAAAGAACATATTAGTGCATGCATGCGTGTGTGTGTGTGTGTGTGTGTGTGTGTGTGTATGTGTGTGTGTGTGTGTTACGCGCGTGTGTGTAAAGTAATACGTTGTGCATAAACCGACATTATAAATTGAATTTTTTTAATTTGAGACATTTTGTTTTGCAAAATTGAATTTTAAATATTGAAAAATGAACACATATTGTGTCTAGCACTTTTGACACTTTAGTTTGTATGATTCTATTTTTAGCTAAAATGATTATTTAGAGATTAAATTTATTGCACGAACAAATTATTTCTTAAGATGAAGAGAGAAGAGGGGAGAAAGGCGAAGAATAGGTAAAAAGTGAGAAAAATTTGAGAATTAATTTCTATTAAAAAAATGTGTGTGCATTAAATTTCGAAAAACGAAAAAAAAAAATATATAAATATATATATATATATATATATATGTATATATATATATATATATATATATACATATCGTACGTAAGAGCTTAACACAAACATTTTATTCATACTATATTAAAAATCGCACGCGTATATCGGCTGCTACTTGGCACGTGTTTATCAGATGCGTACAGAGCAATCGTCGCCCGATTATGCATCATTCGAATGTACATATAAACATACATAAATGTATTTGAAATACACATGCAATAATATCTAAATTGTCAACAAAACTTCTCGATATGAAAAGTATTTTTGTTTTTAATGATATTAATTATTTTGAGATATTTTTTCTTTCAAAAAGTCTCTTAAAAATTAATTTGTGCGTGTATATGTTATTGTTTCTAAATTCAGTTATTTCTATAATTTGACATTAACATTATAATATTACCATTATGGATGTTTCGTACCTATTTTCAAAATATTGAGAATTTAATGAAAATTGTACAGAATGTTCTTACATATGTTTAGAATCTTCAGTACAATTTTTAAATCGATTCACTAAAGCGTTCACAAGTTAAGAATTTTAATTTGTACCCAATTAACATGTATTCTTATGGAAAACCACGTCGATTTAAATGACAAAAACACACGGAAATAATATTAAGAATTTGTTTAAAATTTGCAAAAGTGTAGTTTAGATACAGAGGAAATATTTGGTCAAATAATATTATATAAGTATTAACTGATTAAAAAGATATTAAATATAATTCAATGAAATTAGCCATGTATCTGACACAAGGCGAAATTCTCTGCCAAAAGTTAATCATTTCGATTAACAAAATTCGGAATATTTCAGTAAAAATGCAATAAATATTTAAAAATACATCTCTGCACTGTAGCTAAGATCAAATTGTAATATTTCACGCAATTTCTCATACTCAAAATACACCAAAAGTGGGTATTTTCGTCAATATTGATTTTCAGCTACTTTTTGCTGGGATTGTACATATAAAGCATCCTTAAATAAATATTATTATATATATATTACCATTATTAAATAAATAATGTTATTATATTATTTTCCGAAATCAGGCTCGGAACCGAAAGAAAAAGAATAAGCTGGAATATAAATCGTAAATTTTTGTACAATTGACTTAATCGATTTTATATTTCTTTTATTATTTCTCTTCTTTTATTCCTTTATAATACTTTTAGAGGAAGGAAAAATGTAAATTTTTTTTAATTAGTTCTATTAATTATTAACTAATTGTATTTATTTGTAATTATCTTACAGAATTATATTGATAAAATTATGCATTTTAGATTTTACCTACACATGTTTATATATGATACAAAAAGCTTTTTATGATTTAATGAAAGTTTAAAAATAATAGTAATTTGATATAATAGCAATTACATCATTTTATTTTTAAACCTCTTTATTTTGTTTATTGTTTAATTTAATAATTATTATATAAGAGTCGAATTGTGAAAACGTGTTCTGTGAATTGTGAAAGTGTATTCTTTATTTTGCACATGTCTGTAGAATGTCTGTTTATTTATTAAATCTTTCTAAAATTATGTTATTTCTGTTTTAATCTATTTCAAATCTATTATTTTTTGCTGTAGGGGACTTGAAGAGGCGGCATTCCTGGAGCAGCGAAATCGATTATCAATTAGCTGTAACGGAAGCTGCAAATATCTCGGGAGAAAATCTCACTTCCTCAGCTTCCTCAAAAGACAATAGAATCTTTCGCAAGGTATCATATCATATTAAATTTGTTGTATAATCACTCCTATCCTTTTCATAATTTTTCTCTCGATGATTTATATCTTACGAATAAAAAGAAACAATTCTCTTAAAAAAGAATAAAGAATAAAACTGAAGGAAGCAACATAAATAAATTATACATATTTATAATTAAGAAATAATATGTATAGGACAGATTAATTATATTGAATATTTCTTATATATAAAAACATTTGCGACATTTTCTGAGATTTTCTTATCTGTGATGATATATTATGATATATGCAATTTTTTTATTACATTGCATTATTATTAATCTACACAATTATTATATATAATTACTATCTATTATATCTTCTATCGAAGATTAAATTACAGCATCGGGCAACAATTTTAAATTTAAGTTGCATCTTTTTGGAAAAAGAATCAATTTTTTTACAAGTTCCTTTCAACGCTTAACTTATTATTAGAAATTATTAGATTTATTTCACTTGTACTGCAAATCATTACTTGCGCTGTGCAATAATGCATTCTGTTTTATTATTGCGGGTAGACAAACAATACTGACGATCATAAAAAGTCTGAGCGGTACAGCTGTTATCTTTTCATCTTTTAATAATGCTACTTTTAATAATGCATCATACAGTTGCAACTGCAAAAACTGCATATTTCGTCCCACATCTGTGTGTACGTATTATTTCCGATATTTTACAAGTTTCACAAGTTTATGAGAGATTTGTGGAGAAATTTTTTAGATATTTGTATAATTTAACAAAAAGTTAATTTTTAATTTAATATTAAAAATTAACAAAATTTTATACGAATACATACATACTGAAACACACACATATAAATAAAAGTGTAATGTCCGTTTGTACAATCTTTATATATGTATGGTATTTTTTGAAACGCTAATTACAGTGATACCTTAATGCTGGTGATCAAAACTATATGTGTGACATGTAATATATTTTCGAAATAGATTTTTCCAATTTTTTATAGTCAAAATACTTTGAAAAAACTTTACATTAATTAACTTCATGAAACTTCTGTTTTAAAAAATGCAGATTTTTATTTAAAAGAAGAAAATACAACGTACGGCAATTTGTAACAAAAATAATGGCCTTGATTTGCAAGTTTTTTTCATTTAAAAGAGTATAGAATTTTGCGCATCCGAAACTTTTTTTTTCTTATGCTATTTAATTTTCAGGTTTTATTTTACATGCTTATACACGCATATAAAATATAAATCTTTTAAATATTGGCAATTTATGAAGGAAAAAAGATTTTTATATATTTAATATGAAAATCTTAAAATTCATTTTTTATTTATATTATTAATCGTAATATTGATTGCGATATAATATTGTTGTAACATTTTTCCTTTATGACATTCGTTATTATGTATGACATATGACATATTGGTACATAATGTTGGAAACTTTATTCATTTATATTAAACATTATATGTATGTATTTCTAATCAACTGATAAATTATATTAACAGTAGATGATGTTCCGCTTAAAATTTCTTTCTTTACATATTTCTTTAGCATCTTCGGTTTCGCAGTTCACATTTTTCCAAACACATCGAATACAAATAGTTTTCTTTTCCCTATTATTTTTTTTTTAACTCTGAACTTCACGCTCAAGAAATTTGTAGTTACTTTACCTTGAGACAGGTAGAGAGAAAGAGAGAGAAAGAGCGCGAGAGGAGTGTTGGATAAGAAAGAGAGTAGATACAGAAGCAAAGAGAGGAAAAAAGAGTGAATTTCTTGAGAAGAAATGCTCGTATCATATTTTTAGATCATATAATAAATGCATGCGATTGTTGTTCTCTTTTGTCTCGATGACTCGCGCGTATAGTAAATAGGTATAATGCGATTACATGTTCGGCACGATAGCTATAAAAAATTCCACCAAGGGCGTAAGCGGACTGATCCCACGAACGACCCCGCAAGAACTATTCTACGACTCGTCATTATTTTTCTGGTTTTACTTTTTTTATAAGAGTTTTTCTATGAAATTTTTATGAAAATTTTTTTTTATTTTTAAAATTATATTTTATTAAAATATTATATACAAAATTAAAAATATGCATGAGAAAAATTGATTTTTGATTAAATGCTTATTTATAAGAAAAGAGTCCAGAGGATTCTGGACTTTGGTTAAAGAATCATTGGATTAAAAATTATTCCTATACTATAAACAATTGTTTTTACCAAATTTTTGGTAGATTTAATTAAAATGCGACTAAATAAATTTTTAATTTAAAATAATTTTTTATCTTTATATATGCTTTATATGTGAGAAATAATTTTAGATGTAATGCGCTGCATTGTGTGCGTTAGAATTAATAAATTTGAAATTTAAATAAAACTTTGCTCTTTGCTTGACACAGTATTATATAATTATAACTGAATAATTTCTTAAATTTAATTAAATTAAAGCATTTAAATTTGAAATTAAATCTTAAATTATAACATTTAGTAAAATTTTTTTTTCTAATTTTTTCGCACTTTTAAATAATTATACTTTTATATGTCAAAATCAAATAAATATTATAAGTTGTAGTATTCCGTTTCGAATTATTGTACATCATAAAAAAATTATATTGTGTAAAATATTTCTCTCTCTCTCTCTCTCTCTCTCCCCTCCCCCCCCCTCTCTCTCTCTCTCTATATATATATATATATATATATATATATATATATATATAATATGCTTGTATAAAAATAGAGAAAATCTGTTAAATGTGTTGTGACAATATATTTTTTGGAATGAGAAATCTAAAGGAAAAAAATCTGTTATATTAGTAAAAAAATTGTACAATTATTATAATATCATACAATTTTCAATTATTATACTAATATAATTTTACTAATATAACAGATTTTTCCTTTAGATTTTTCATTCCAAAAAACATGAAAATATATTGTCACAACACATTTAACAGATTTTCTCTATTTTTATACAAACATATTTTTGAATATGATTATAACTTATGTTACATTCATTATATGATTATAACTTATGTTACGTTCATTATAGTATCAAAAATATGCTTATATAAAGATAAAAAAAATCTGTTAAATAAGACAACATGACTTGTATACTATCTCGAGAATTATGATTATTATGCCAACTGTATTAGCACTGCTCTAGCAATTTTGTTGCAATGAAAAATCGATCAATGCTATGTTATTTGACGAGAAATACCGTTAACTCATGAAAGGAAAAAGCAAAAGAACCTAAACTTGTAAACATCCGTATAACATCCGTGTATGATCTCGTAAGGCAAGGACATTGCGAAAGAACATAAAATAGAATCGTATGAGCTTGTTTTAAATGAAAAATAGACAAAAAGGACACTGTTAAATTAAAAAGCTTCCTTCTTTCATCTTTTTCATATGTTTTTAATTTTTTAAATTCTTATTAAAACACTAAGTTATTTGTTGATTGGTCCTTTATTAATTTTTTAGTACTGGGTTCTTAATTAATAATCTACTAAAAATTTTGAGATATATTGTTAATTTTTAAAATATAAGCTTGAAATAAAAGATTTTTCACAAATTAAATTTTGAAAACCTAAGAAGGTAATAACATCACATACTTCAGTTAATTTCAAATGAAATTTAATTGAATTAAATTTTAGAGAGAGAGGGGGAGAGAGAGAGAGAGAGAGAGAGAGAGAAGACGAATGAGAGGGTAATGAACGATAAATGCAAATATGATTGCATATACCGGTTATGCAATTATTCTAAAAAGATTTAGTCTTTTTTTATGGCAATGTGAACATATATTCAAACTATGTATAATTAAAAATTTATTTTAATTTTATTTAATTTATACCATAATTAAGTTATTATAAAATTTAATTTTTATCACACCCATATGCGCGCACATATGCACGTATACACATGTATATATAATTTATAATTAGAGAAATAAACTATATTCTCTATAAAAAACTTAAAAAATTCAAATTGTATGATTACATGTATATTCAAAATAAATGTTCATAATTGTAGAAGCAAATATTGATTAATTATATTTGTTCACGTTAATATTTGTAACAGATAAATAGCGCAGATTTATTCACAAAGTGAAAAAAATTATAAAATAGTACAAAAAGTGCAGCAGTAAAAGTTTCATATTTCGAGAATATGTCCTTTAAGAAAAATTGAAAGAATCTTTCAAAGAAGATAAAACTGATGACATACAAATGATGCCAATTCGAAAACGCCAAGATCTTTTAATATTAATCGCGCGACATATAGAGCAGAAGTGAAGCAAGAACGACAAGAAGATAAAGTGAAAAGAAGAAAAGTAAAAATAGATAAAAGTCGATGACAATGAATCGGAGGGGAACAAGAAGCGATCGAGAGGTTAAGACTACAACTCTGGGATGAACTTTCGGTACGGAGAGGAAGAGAGTACGTGGAGGAAGTGGCAGGCAAGGATATACTCGGGGTCAATGGGGTTAAATATTCCGTGGAGAGAAACTTCACCGTTTTGTGGTGAAGCTCCAAGAAAACATAGAAATGTTATCTTTATATGAATTCTGAATATATATGTGATATTTTCTTTTTACGCTTTTACGTATAAGATGAATGAGTAATAAAAAAATCATGAAAAAATTATTGCATCAGAATATTTTATATTTTTGATTTATATTTGTATCATATTATGTATTTGTATATTTGTATATTTATTATTTAACACATTCTCTCTTTTGATTAATCTTACTTGGTTAATTTGGATTGTATTTTCTCTTGTAAGAGAAATATTTACTTTCTATTGAGTCTAAGATTATTTTTATACTCTAATATTTTATATTATTTTTTTTTTAATTTGCTTCCTTGATTATTATTAAAAATTAATTCCTCTCTTCGTTAAATTTTTTTATATATGCATACATAGATCACACGCGCACAAGCGTGTGTGATATGTGTATATTTTCCATTTTATATTATAGCATTTACGGTATTTGAAAATTGTCGTTCAGCATGTAAAATATATTTACCTTTAACATGCATCAACGAGTTTGTCAGAACTGCAGAGTGATGTTTGCTAGTTGTTAAATACAGAATGAAAATTCTGTGAAAGAAATCAAACTTTTCATCGATTGAGAGACAGCATATGAAGAGAATCATTTCGGAGTGTGCATATGATGCACAATGATCTACAATATTATACGATTATACCTCGTTCATGATTGCGAATTCCCCCATCCTTGCTTAGATCTTAGTTGATGCCTTAATCAAAATAGTCGATTTCATTAATTGTCGCTTCAACTCATTCTCGTTTCACTCTCGTTGTCGATCAACTGCAAAACACTATCCACTATCTACGCCTTTATCTTGTAAAATCATAACCGATTCTGAGCTAAATCACTATATAATCGGAAAATACAAATTACATGTTGTATTTCCAAGTGTAATATATACACAGTCAAGCTATTTGTTTAATATTCTTTGAATAAAATACTCATACATTTTTACAGATTAAGCATTAACGAGCATATATGTATAGATAGTAAAGACTTTGATAAAAGGAATCTAATTAATATAAATAAATTTTTTTTACGTCTAGTATACTTTACTTTTGCGTTATCAATTTTGATTAATGGAGAACGTATTTTCTAGGAACATGGCTGTTCGTTGCAAACGGTGGACCTGGTGGCGGACTGTCCAAATTTGCAAATTGTGACAGGTGGCTCAGGATCGTCGTCATCCTCAAAGTCATCCACATTGCCGTCTTCGACGTTTACGTTTACGTCGGTGACGAGCATGGGACAACGACCGAGCGCTCTGTTGCGCCCCAAGATTTCGTTAACTTGGGTCCTACGTGGACAACAGCAGTCTGAGTCTAACAACACTTATCCGATTGCTAATAGCAACGGAAGTAAAATCCTTTTGTTCTATTTCTTTATTCTTACTGCGTTTTTTAAATTTGAATTCTTTAAGTTTATTTTGTCGTTATCGAAGAAAAAGCACATTTTGCAATTGCAAATTATTACGTATTAAAATTATTTTAACAATTATATTATCGATAACTCTTAAAAAGGAAACTAGAATTTTTGTATCAATCGTTTTATATCACACAAATGACATATTTTACAATATTGTATAATAAGGGTAAAAATATAATTGTCTATATATGTTAATAATAAGATTACACAAATTCTTATTCATGAAGATACGTACAGTGATCGAGATCTTTTATCGCGCAAGGAAAGGTCCTCGGGAAGAAGCATTAAATGCTTCAAGGAGAAGCATGCTACTAACAAGGAGAACATTGAATACAAGAAGAGCGCTGAGAAGCGTGAAAAGAAAATTCTACACAGACTCGAAAAAATCGAAAAGGTAATCGTACATATATATAATTTCAAATAAACCGAATAAACTTTTTTAAATAACTTGTTTTTGCAGAAAATTTTCGATAATTTATTATTAATATCAATTATATTCGATCAATTATATTCCGATGATATATATATATATATATATATATATATATATATATATATCATCGGAATATATATATATATATATATATATATATATATATATATATCGGAGAAATAATATAATGTGAAAAACTGAAGTAATTGTTTAAAGCACGAGAAATATATATATATATATATATATATATATATATATATATATATATGTATATTTCTCATGCTCTAAACAATTACTTCAATTTTTCACATTATATTATTTCTTTTGAATATCATATATTAAATAACTTGTAAAATGTGTAAGATTATTGTAAATATATTGTATAAAATTGTTTTCTAAAACAAATATTTCTCTTTATATACAAGAGTTTTTATTATTGGTAATTTTTTTATTAGTAATTATTTGCTTGTAACTAATTGTAGCTTATGTAATTATATATGTTTTATAACACTTTAATCTTATAACAATTTATTTTTATTCTGAAAATTATATATTAAATAATAATTTTTTTGAGATAATATTTGCATCGAATCTCTCTCTCTTTCTCTCTCCCCCCCCCTCTCTTACTTTCTCTTTAATCGAAATATTTAAAATAAATATTTCAAGGGATTAACAATTAACGTACTTTATTTTACAAAATTGATAATAAGTTTTGACAAGCAATTTAGGAAATATAGGATTGTTCTTTGTATTTAATAATAAAAAAATATTTAAATATTTGTCAAATGTACAGTTGTTTTATTAAATAAAAATTTATGATTCAATTGGATATTTATTAGTGATATCATAATATTTATTATTGTCACGTTTTCGTGTTACCTTACATTCGTTATCCTGATTGTATTATTAGCGAATATAGTATAATTACTTTTTCTATTATTAATTCTCCTAAATATGTATCTCTTTTTAAGATCGGCAAAGAATCGATCGGTGAAAGACGATTGGATAATACATTGGAAAAGCACTTTGATGAAGAATTTGTCGGTCTGAAAGAAATAAAAGAAAAGGAGAAAGTGAAGCGAACTATATCTGAGCCTTCTCTAATATCTCGTGAGTCGATGTCAGCATGTAGCGGACGAGAAAAGCATCGGCATAGACGAACCAAACGTTCGTACAAGCCTAGATTACCCAGTAGATTTGGTTACGAGATTGCCGATTTGGATGCCTTCTTGACTAAGGTTCTTTTTATTATGCATTTCTAATTATCTTATTCTTTTAATATAGTCAATGTTTTATTCCTGATAAATATATATTAATATATTTGTAGCATATGTATGAAAAATTAATATATTCAATATACGTATATATTCAATGTATTATCAAATTTCGGAAAAATTTAATAAAGTTCTGTTTTTAACAAAAATATTGTAAAAACTTTTTTAATCAACGTATTCATATTTTAGAATCATATTCTGAAAATTAAATATTAAATAAAAATTTTAATGAAGTAAAATCTATAAAACACGTAAAATTGTAAAATTAAGCAAAGAAATTTCCGCTTTCAATCTTTTTCAAATCTTTATATTCTTAACTTTATAACTTAATTTACTATAACTAAAGAATTATATATTAAAATAAATTTAATTGAAATGATAAATTAGGATATTTTAGGATATTTTTTATAACAAGATACAAGAAGAATACACTACAATTTATGTAAAATCTCAATCTTAGGCATCCATAGAAAGACCGGCGAACATTCCAGTCGTCCTATCTTTTCCATCAGTATTATATCAGACTCAAGGCGGTATTCAAGATGAAATGGCTCTTCCTTTGGGTACAGTCGTAAATGCCATTTTTAAGAATCAGGCCTGGTTGTACGTTCAAACTCCTCACGGCCAGGAAGGTTATGTCGGTTACGCCGCTTGTTTGCCTTTGGGAATTTTACCGCATCCCACGCAAGGACCTTGTTGGGAGGATTCTACCGATATTTTTCCTCGACCTCTCGGTGAGCAAAATTTCCATCCTAAAACTCAAAAATATTATAAAAGAAACCTTAACGATATAAAGAACATTTATTCTTTTACTGCCATTATATTCAAATTTACATCATATATATTTTAAATCTATATATATAATTTATATTTGACATGTTCTTTCTTAATTCAATTGTTTTATTTTATGGAATATATGTTAAGTCATTTTGTAATACACGGAGTGTCTCGCTAATGCTTCGCATGAACTTGGCGCGAGATACTACCGTGTCTCTTGATATGTTCATAATAACAATTATATTTAATTATATAATAATATTTGGTAACAGTAGAAAATAATTTTATTTGTAATTTGATTCATAATTTTATCTAAGATTTATAAAAAGAGATTTAAAATATTTCACTTACTAACTTTTTAATTTCCCTAATTTGTTTCTCTATCTTTTTCAGGAAATATGACGGATATAGAGAAATTGCGAGACACCAGATCAGAATGCGGGGCAAGTCGCGGCCGTCAGAGCGGCAGAGTCAGACGATGTATGAGAGACGCGGTGTCGGCGTGCGGTGAGCGTAGTGTCGATCGATTGTATTTGAGGGCAGCGGCAAACGCACGCATCAAGGGTTCCCGGTACACGCTGCTAGTGATCAGGACTGATTACGAGGCAGAATCCACAAATGCTCTGACCGTTTCCAAAGGCGACGTGGTTGCTTTGTTGAGCGATCACATAAATGATTGGTTCTGGGTACGTTCTAGGGATGGTAAGGAAGGATTCATCCCTGCTGTTATTGCTGGTCACGGCTTTCTCTGATTATTTTCTGTTAAATAAGATTTATTTAACGGTGGCGGACAGTTCATGAAATTCATAGAACTTATGTGTGTGTGTGTGTGTGTATATATACATATTTTCGATCTATTATGTATATCCTCGCAATAATATCGTAATTATTAAATTATTCTATTAATAAATCATTCGATATAATATGTAATACAAAAAATTTTAGTGTTTTATTTTTTGGGATATAATTGTAATTTAACAATAAATAAATTTTTAGTATCTTTTATATCTTCAATTATAATTTAAAGAAATTGTAACTTCAGTATTTATTTTAATATAATATGCATTTGTATATATGTATTGAAGAAATATCATGTTTATAATATAAAAAATAAATATAAAAAATAATAATTCTTTCTTATTAATCATAGTATGAAATGTTTTTTATCACATGATTATGCATGCATAGGATCAAGTCTTGTATAATCAATCTAAAATAATTTTTTATTAATGATTTTATATTTTTATTGTTAAATTTATATCTTCAATTTTTTTATTGTTACTCTTCTTTATTTATTCTTTAATTTTAGCGATGTAATGAATTGTGTTTCAGTAAAGAAGAATACAAAGTCAATCATTATTGAAATAAATTTTAAAAAATGATAAACCATGTGTTTCGAAGGCGTAATATTAGTCCGAGTTTTGTGGTATAATTAAATTTCCCTCTTTTTTTCTTTAATACATCGAAATATCAGCATGACAGAGAAAAATTTTTTTCTAGAAAGAGAATTATATTTCTATGAAATCATAATTAAAACTGATTTAATTTATATGTAGAACTATTTAAACTGCGAAATAACTTGTCAACATGTTAAAAGTAATCATGCAATTTTAAATAACGCTTTGATTATTCCAAATTTAGTCAAATTACTCTTGCAAATCAAGGTGGTTTTAAATTATGCTGTCATATACTTGCTCCATGATTTGATGCAAAATTTTAGCAACACTTACATTATCGGATCTTTATTTCATCAGTTATATTTCTTTGTATACTCTTTTGTACAATATTTATATTTAAGTGCAAAAAAAATCAAAATGAGAGAAATATCCAGAGAAGGAAAAAAAAGGAATGTAAAAAATGTTAATAGGAAAAGAAATGAAGTTTATCATTTTGGAGAGAGAAATCCTTTGTATATTTGTATAAATAAGAATTGTTACAAAGAAATATGTTACAAAGAAATATGTATATTTTATTACAATATATTTATTACAAGAAACGCAATTTCTGGCATTAATCATACCTGTTTCATCCGTCCGCTCGATAAGAAATTAAAATTCTCATGCGATACCCATTTTGTAGAATTCTAAATATTATGCAAATTTAAGCATCATTTCACGATAATTAAAATTCGTACTGATATCTATAAAATTCGAGGAACCAGCTGCACAGAGTACTTTATGGGGTGTTTCTTGATGTACTATACTATATACAGTGAGACTCGAGGTCGGTACTTTGGCTAGGACCTCGCCCTGATATGTCATATGATAAACATGGGCGGCCGCACCACCGGCAATCACGCGTTCCTCGTAGATTTCTGCCACATGTATCCCTTGATCAGCCAGATCAAAAATTGTCGCCGCCTCCATCGTTCGCATGTGCCACAACGATAGACTAGGCCCACCACCACATAGCTAGAATTAAGCGAATAATTAATATTCAAAAATATATTTAAAAAAATCTTTAAATTAAAAAACTTTTAATGGATAAAGCAATGCAAAGAATTTAATTTGGTTGGTTACAGGCTTTTTTGTCTCTTTTTAATTAAATTTAATTATTAATATTTAATTTAATATCGCTCTTTCTCTTTCTTCTTATAATTTAATCTTTATTCCGTAATCATAGAGTTATAAATCTTTTCCTAATAAAAATTGACTCTCAATCATAATTATAATGCACTTTGGTTCTTTCTCGATTACATATCAATTTTATAATTGTTTTTATATGAGGACGAGTCAAAAATTATCCATATATTTTTGCAATTTATTATATTTACAATCATAGACTACACACACACACACACACACACACACACACACACACACACACACACACGTGCGCGCGCGCGCGCACAATTATATAAAAATTTATAACAGAGATTATAATAGAGAATTTACAAACACATTATTTTTTTTACATCTGTAAAATTCTCTTGCTTTCGAATGCACTTGATCCAGTATTTTCACAGCATATAAAGAGCTCATAACTATGAGCTCATAACTATGAGCTCATAACTATGAGCATTCCACAAGTCTGCTTATATCTTCAGAACCAAATATTTATAGTTGCTCTGTCAGTAGCATACGTACTCGTACTGCATCATGTTGGTATGTAGGAAATTGATTAATTTGAAAGGAACAAGTTCAGGGCTGCGCAACAGATGTATAGTCTAGGAAACTTCAAACCCCAAGTTTGAAGAGTTTTAAATATCTGAGCTTCACAATTTTCTATGGACCAATATATAAAAAATATGGTGTATGTGACTGATAGCGTGATTAAAAACATTTTTTTCTGAATAAATAAACAGACTTGTGCAATGAAGAATCAAATGCATTGAAAAACAAAGGAACTATATGGAAAAATAACGTGTTTGTGAGTTTGTCTGTTGTAGTTGTAATAAATTGCAGAAATAAAACGTACGGATTAAACTCTATTTATCGAGGAAACGATTGGTAAGGAATTAAAAAAAGACCAAATGAAAGTTACATTAGTAATTAGAGCGTTTTTCCGCTTTGTCCTTCTCAATTAGTCAAGTTGCCAAAAAATAGCCCATGTTAGGGAAATGTGCAAAATACTCTGCAAAGTGTTAAAAATATTAAATATTTTCACATGATTAAAAATTAAATTTTTATCTCGGGCAAATATGCAGCTTAAAAAATTTTAAATATATATATATATATTATATATATATATATATATATATATATATATTTTTTTTTTTATGTAAATAATAAAAATTAAAAAAAGAATAATATTTAAATAATTTTTTATATAAATAATAAAAAATTATTTATATAATATTCTTTTCTTAATTTTTATTATTTACATAAAAAAAAATATATATATATTTTTTCTTATTTTTCATTATTATACATACCAACCAATCTTCCGTAAAATCAACGGTTCCAATCCACTTTCCAAGTCGCGGTCGAGCAACTTTATCTATTAAATGAGGTGTTAATACATTAGTATTCTCTCTCTTACGTAAATCCCATAATCTCACAGAACCATCTTCACTGCAAGAAGCAAGCTGATTATCCCTGAAATTAATAAAACTTTTAATTATTTAAAAATCCAGTACTTTTCTGCAATTTATTATGTATAGATAATTAAAAGATAATTACATTACAGCAAGGCAATGTATATAATCCGTATGGCCTTGTAAGTTTCTCAAAATTCTTCCATCTTCCAAATTTACAATATATATGTTATTATCACCACAACCAGCATACAGTAAATGATCTACTTTTGAGTACACCATATAATTTATATCTGGCTTATCATAACTATCTCTGGAAAAAGTCAATAGTAAATTAATTTTACATAAATATTGTACAAAAACTATAATATATACAGCGATTTGCTAATTTAAAATTCCAATTATCTAATTTTGATTAATATAATTTGTATTTAATATTTTTTTCAAAGAAAAACATATATACAGATATATATCTACATGTATGTATGCAATGATAATTTTTTATACAATAACTTTAGAATAATATTATAATAATAATAGTCAACAGAAATAATTTATTATATATCATTAACTACAGTTTATTATTTATGCTTCTTATATATTTATAAAATAACAATAGAACAATTTTTGTATTTTCAATTATAATTTAAAAATATAATTTATATAAAATGCTGATAACAACGACACATATTTTATTTTAGTTGTATTCTTTTATTTCGCCTTACTTATTAGCAGGAATTTGTATATTCCAAGAAGCTTTACTCTTAGGAGCCTTATTCGAATTTATCATTTTCCAATCCCATCCTGATATTTCACCATGTGTTCCTGTTACAAAGAAATTCTCGATGGAGAGCATGCATGCAATTTCTTGTTGCGGATGCGCAGCAAACCGATAATTAGGTCCTTGTAATTCATTATCCTCTATCTTGTTAGGTCCCAAAATCTTTGACAGACTAAAAATTTAAATTTATATAATAAATTTTTATTTAATCCGAAAATTGTTTACTCAATTTTATAAAAATAAGAAGAAAACATAATGTATATGTATAATTTATTATTGTATTAAACATGTCAATTATTATTTCCACATTAATAATATTATTCTATGTTATATATTTTGTGAATTTTGTGAAAGAATTTACTTACTCAAATACTGATACATCTCCGTAAATATTGCCAGCCAGTAAATAATTTCCATCGGGAGAAAACGTTTGTGATAATACGGTATTATAAATTAATTTCTTGTCTGAAGTTTCTATCATCTTTTCCACACTTTATATATCAATAGCTTTTATAACATAAATTGAGATTATTCTAATTCGTGAAATTTAAAGGCCGTAGCGCACACTTTTGCATAAGCGCATAACCATAAACATAAGGAAATTGATTGGTCCCCAAGTATATGCATAAGAAAATGAACCAATCAATTTTCTTATGCTTAGGCCCGGTTTCACCAACGTGATTTAGGGTGCTTTCCAGCAAGCAACACAGGCGACACTGTGTCGCTACAGTGTCGATACAAGTGCTTTCCAACTACGACACAAGTCGACACAATCGTATACAGCAAAAATGCTGTGTTCGCCTGTGTCGTTGTTTTGTAGCACCCCAGTGAGTGCCAACATAACATTTCATATTTGGTATCATTAATTTTTTTAAGAATGGTATTGCGTGATAGAAGATAACCAAACTTTTATATTCGCTAAAAAGACGACTTAAAGACATCTAGACGTCTTTAAGACGACATAATGTTGTGTGGGAACGTTCTGAAAATTTAGACCTAGTGACAACTATTAAAAGTGACTGCCCTGCACTCTAGTGGCAAAATAAGAAAGCTAAAAAGCGTTCCAGCTACAAGTCGACACTGTGTAACACTGTGTCACACAGTGTATCACTGTGTTACCATAGCTGGAAAGCACCCTTAATCTAATCGGTCGATTAAATTGGTCACCAGAATTGCCAATAACAAGACTTTAAAAACGAACGTCGCCATCCACGGACCTTGCTTCACAGAAAGAAAATAGGTTACGATCAGTTTTATTATGTTCAGCAGTTGGCAACTCTGACAGTTAATCGACCGATTAGATTAAATCACGTTGGTGAAACCGGGCCTTATTGGCCGGTATTCATAGTCCGATCTTATATTTGAGATCGTCTTAAGTTCGAGCTTGAAATGCTACGCAGCTATTTGATTGGTTGAAAGAGGTCTTAAGTCAACCTCGGACCAGACTTAAGATGATCTTAAATATAAGATCGGACTATGAATACCGGCCATTGTTATGCGCTTATGCAAAAGTGTGTGTTGCGGCTTTAAGACTATAGCACACACTTTCCATAAGACAGAACAGTAAGGTTTCGACCAATCGCGTTGCTCAATTTGGTTAAGGACGGCCAAATTGAGCAACGCGATTGGTCGAAACCTTACTGTTATGTCTTATGGAAAGTGTGTGCGACAGCCTTTAAGGCTATAGCACACACTTTCCATAAGACATGACAGTAAGGTTTCGACCAATCGCGTTGCTCAATTTGGCCGTCCGTAACCAAATTGAGCAATGTGATTGGTCGAAACCTTATTGTTATGCTTATGGAAAGTGTGTGCTATAGCCTTTATCCCGGGTCTACAATAGGTAATTTAAGCCCTAAGCCTTAAGAAATTGACCAATCACAGTCAGATATTCTCTTCATACTTGACTGTGATTGGTCAATTTCTTAAGGCTTAGGGCTTAAATTACCTATTGTGGACCCGGGCTTAAGCCTGGTGCAGACAGGACGCGTCAAGTAGCGAGCAGCAACCAATCAGCGAAGCGGTATTTTCACCAAGCTTGACGCTTGAAGCCTGGTGCAGACAGAACGCGACAAAGCTTTCGCACATGAATTACCATACCATTATGCATATACTTGGGGATCAATCTAGAGAACCTCTAGGAGAGAGAATGGACAACTGATCATGTGACATGTGATCAAGCTTTTTCATGATTGGCTGGCAGAAAATGTATCAATTTTAGCTATTGCGACGCCAATGCAAAATATGATGACACACAAATAGGTTAATATAACCTATTTGTGTCATGATATTTTGCATTGGCGTCGCAATAGCTAAAATTGATACATTTTCTGCCAGCCAATCATGAAAAAGCTTGATCAGTTGTCCATTCTCTCTCCTAGAGGTTCTCTAGATCAATCAATTTCCTTATGCTTATGGTTATGCGCTTATGCAAAAGTGTGTGCTGCAGCCTATACACTAGACTGAGCATCGCGATAGCAGGCGAGCGCCCGCTGTAGAGACAGAGGTACTACATAGGAGGCCTATATCTGTCTCTTTTGCTAGTATTTCATTGGTAACTTTTGTTCCCGTCCATCGAGGCGGGAAACAAAATTACCAATAAGATACTAGCAAAAGAGACAGACAAAGGCCTCCCATGTAGTACTTCTCTCTCTACAGCGGGCGCTCTGTCTATCGCAATGTTCAGTCCAGTGTATATGTCGATGCCATCACGGTTATTATCACGTCGGAAAGTTAACTTTATGCTCCTTCCAGATATTCATACATCAATGGATATAGTTCAGTCCAGTTGGCAGCTGACATTGAGGTGTCAAAATCGTGTCCAAAATTTAAAAAAGTTTTAACAGAATTGGGAAAAAAATAAAATGGCACATACTACGAAACTGTTCCTGACGACTAGCAAATTTCTGAAGAGTTGCAATTCTCTGCATGTGGCTGTGAGATTTTCTAGGTAAAATCCTTCAATATTCAGTATATAATTGTAAGACGAATGACCTTTCGACCTTCGCAAAATTACTTTATGCTGTTTTCTATAGAAATACGATTAATAAATTTATTTTGGAATCTTGATTATTCATAATTTAAATTAATTGCACCATTCACAATATGAAAGAGAAAGATTTAATTATTAAAATGTTTTATCAACTTAAATTCTATGCATTTATATTCTTTTTATTTGTACTTCTACGCTTCTTTACTTTCTCTTACAAATAATTATATATATATATATATATATATGCACAATTTTATATATAAAAGAGCAAACAAAAATTTTTGTTTAGAAGATTGTTACATGTTTTATAAGTTTTCATACTTTTATTATTTTATAATTTCTATTGTAATTTTCAACTTCTATTATTATTAATTTATGATATAATTTGTTAGCTGTATCCACTGCTTAATAATTTGTTCTTATAAATATTTTATTTTTTGATCGAAAATTTAAGGTAATATTGTCTATTGAAAAACAGAAAAAGAATGAAGAAATTATAAGAAATAATTTTATGTATGTTATAGCTCATGGTGGTCTCATGTAGAAATGGGACCACCAGATCCTATTTTGGGAGTTACTGAGGCATTCAAAAGAGATCAAAATATAAAAAAGATTAACTTAGGTGTTGGCGCTTATAGGGATGATAATGGTAAACCATATGTTCTTCCTAGTGTTCGAAAGGTAAATATAAATAATTTGTTAATTCTATGAAAAAAATACATACATATATATATATATATATATATATATATATATATATAGTTATATAATAAAATATAATTATTATAAAGCATAATCTTTATTTATTATAGGCAGAAGAAAAAATTAAAATTAAAGATATGGATAAGGAATATTCTGCAATCTCTGGCAATGCTGAATTTTGTGAACATAGTATTAATCTGGCTCTTGGGGATGGAAATGAAATTGTCACAAATAAATTGGTGAATACAATACATTTTTAAGTAAAAACAGAATAAAGCTATATTTAGCAAAATTTTTTCTCTTTTTGAAGAATGCAACAGTTCAAGGAATCTCTGGTACTGGTTCTTTATTTGTTGGGGCACAATTTCTATCTCGTCATTTTCCTGGTAACAAGGAAATTTATCTCCCAATTCCTTCATGGGGAAATCATAATCCTCTATTCAGACTTGCTGGCCTTACAGTCAAGACTTATCGTTATTATGATCCAAAAACTTATGGTTTGGATTTTAAAGGAGTAGTGGAAGATATATCTGTTAGTATAAACAAGATTTTTAATAAGCGCAACATTATTATAATGCTCGTATTAACAGAGAATGTTTAAAACATAAATGTTAGTCACAAAAGTTTATATATTAACTAATATTACAATAATTCATATTTCAATAATATTTGTACATTATTATTACGATAATTATTAATATTTTTATTTATTAATACAAAAACATTTTAAATATTAATTAAATTTTTAATAAATAATTATGTATAAATGTAAGTAATATATAATCGATAACAGAAATCTTACAAGAAATGTTGCATGTGTAAACTTAATATTTCATATTGCATTGTTAACATAATTCTCAAAAAATTAATATTTTATTTATCATTAATATGATGTATCTATTGACAGAATATTCCTGAGAAATCGATTATCCTTTTGCATGCATGTGCTCACAATCCTACTGGTGTTGATCCAAAACCAGAGCAATGGGCACAATTGTCTAGTTTAATCAAGAAGAAAAATCTGTTCCCATTTTTCGATATGGCATATCAAGGCTTTGCCTCAGGTATTTTTGAACTAAAAATTATTATTGATGATTCCTTTTTTTTAATTCATATTTTCATATTTTCATAAATCAATGTACATTTGCAAACGATGCAAAAAACTCGAAAATTCTTTTTAATGCACTAAAATTTAGGTCTTTTTAAAATTTAATATATTTAAAATATAGATGTAAATTTAATTAAAACTATTTTTTAAATAAAATAAAATTTATAACAAAAATTTCTTAAATAAATTCGAAATCAAAATTACACATATTATATTTTATTATAATTGTTATTTTACTCTTTTAATCTATTTTTTCCAGGCGATCTTACAAGAGATGCCTTTGCAGTCAGACTGTTTATTAAAGAAGGACACGAGATTGCTTTAGCTCAATCTTATGCAAAAAATATGGGTCTCTATGGTGCGTATAAGAAATTTATAAAATTAAATATAAAAAAATATTGATATAATAGACGAATTATTAAAGTGTTAAGTTTAATAATTATATATGTATGTTTAAATTTTGCTTGATATTTGATTTAACATATATATAAAAGAACAAACTTTTACGAAATTGTTTTTTTATTTAATAAGGTGAGCGTGTTGGAGCATTTAGTTTAGTAGCATCTAGCAAAGAGGAGGCTGCGCGTATTTTGTCACAACTGAAAATTATGATCAGGCCAATGTATTCAAATCCACCAATCTACGGAGCTCGTATAGTTAATGAAATTCTCAGTAATTCGGAATTGCGAAAGGAATGGTTGCGTGATGTTAAAGGTATGGCCGATCGTATCATTTCGGTTCGCACAAAACTTAGGGACAATCTAAAGAGAAACGGCAGTATTCGCGATTGGTCCCACATTACTGATCAGATCGGAATGTTTTGTTATACCGGCTTGAAACCAAATGAAGTAAGTGTTTTTTTTCCATTAAAATAGTACTACAGATCTATGCACACACATTTGTATATTTATAATTGAGCATATAATTTAAATTAAATTAAAAATTGTGTGTGTGTATATACGTATAATGTGTGTGTGTGTGTGTGTGTGTGTGTGAGTATAAATGCCTATTTATTTTATTATTATTTGAAGATATTGACATATATATTTATATACATATGAATATATACAAATGTGTTTAAATATACATGCTTTTACAACATATGTATAAATATTCTTATGTATATATTTATATTTCTACATTTATAGATATATCCTTTAAATATGAAAAGATTATTATTATTAATTTTACAACTTTGTTTATTTTGTAACAGGTGGAGAAACTCATAAAAGATTTCAGTATTTACCTCACCAAAGATGGCCGCATCTCTATGGCTGGTGTAACATCGAAGAATGTAGAATACTTGGCACAAGCAATACATGAAGTTACAAAGTAACTTCTGCTATAAAATTACTAAATATTACTATTATATTCGAGATTGTTTGATGCAATGCTCAATGATAAAAACATTAACTACAATCTATTTTGTATTCTACGCGTGCAATGTATGCAATCAGAATGAACAATTGTAGCATTTCGGGATCATAGACATTGGCTGAGTTCCTTAAAGCGGATATGCGTGCACGTACCTATAGTATCCGTCACGTATACTGTAGGTAAATGCGCGCATATGCGCTTTACGGAATTCGGCCAATATATGATGAATAAATTAGTAACCACACAGCATAGATAAAATGAATGAAAGTTTTCGATTTTTATTATTTTTATTATTAATTAGACATCCTGCAATTTTACTTAAAGATTTATGAATATTATATTTCTCGCAATATTCTGTGAATATATTATTAACAGAATTTATTTATTTACTCTTATACAAAGCAATATCTCTAATTCTCTTTACACAATAGCAAATAGTTTTTTTACCAATTTTTTTTATATTATATATATATATATATATATATATATATATATATATATATATGGTTCTGCAGATCAGAATATAATGAAAAAATACATTTACTTTGTACTATTTTGAATATATATATATATCTTCTTTCTTTACATATAAAAAGTATATATGATATGCTCTTAAAGAAAAAGAACCTATTTCCTATATTATCTGTGCTGTATGGAAATGGAATAATTGTGTTCTATAGCTTTTACCAGTTTAAGTTATATTGAAGAGAATATTGAATATTCATTGCACTTGTATATGGTAGAACAGTAGAAAGCATAATTTGTAAGACAATATTTCTTTGTATCTAGTTTTATTCTGATTTTCTTTGATCTATTTTAAAATCAACAATCAAAGATCTTTTGGTTTGAAATTACTTTAATTTCTATATTTTTTCTAATATGTTATATGTCTAAAATTAAACTATCATTGCATACTATCACTCACTTTTACTAATATGATTATTCGATTTAAATTATAACTAGAAATGTAGAGAAAAATTTTATTTAGAAGTAAATAGTAATTGTGAAGTGAAAGAATTTGAATGTATTTTATACACTATGTTATATATGTATAAAAGTTATTAAACTACTTTGTATTAAGAAATATATATATATATATATATATATATATATATATATATATAATGTATATATCCAAAAGTATAAAATTGGCTGAGGGAAAAAAGTGTATCCAGTTAAAAATATTGATATTCATATTTCTAAAGAAAAATAAAGATATTGAGATTCATATTTTTGAAGAATTGATTTTTCCAAAGTCAAAAAGCATTTGTATATTAAAAATTACATTTTAAAATTAGATAATCAAATGATTATCTAATGTGTTGGTTTTTGATTAGAAACCAACACATAATTCATATGTATTAATAATATAATTATTATTTACAATAAAATAAAAAGAATTTTGAAATTAGAAAATTAACTACATTGCATTTTCTAAGAATCAATATATATAGTAGTATAAATATATATAGTGTGTATCTGCATCTCCAGAATCTGAAAGTTAAATTTTGTTAATATATTGATCCGTTAATTAAAAGTTCTGATTACTTCTTAACAATTACAGATTATCATATTGGAAATAAAAGTCCGATTTTTTATACAGAATCCGAATTGTTCGTTTGCACGCTGTAATTCGTATATTCATTCACGCTTACATATTTAAATAAATGTTCATAAAATATATGGATATATTTTTTTATTTTTAGGGGAAACGAAATAAGATATACTTATACATTAATAATTAATATAATTCGTTATCACAAGTGTAAGATTTATTCGAGTAATAAGTGCAGGACATATGAGAATTAAATTTCTCTAACAATAAGGCATAAACTTTGCAGTATGGATAATATATATTAGGTAACATAAGTTATGTTAATTAGGCTTATATTAAATAAAAAAGTTTAACATTTAAAACAGTGAATTTATTCTAAAAAAATTGATTTCTATAGTATTTATAGTATTATAGCATTATTACAAAAACATTATCCAGATAACTACACATTTTTAACATTGCTGCCTCACTTACGTTTTCCATAAACATAAATCGACGAGACATACACTGGACTGAGCATCGCTAAGGAGAACTATAATAAGGCGGAAACCTTATTAAGGGTCTCGAGAGATCCTTAATAAGGTTTTCGCCTTATTCAGGGTCTCGGGAGAACCTTAATAAGGTTCTCGCCTTATTAAGAATCTCGGGAGAAACTTAATAAGATTTTCGCCTTATTAAGGGTCTCGGGAGAATCTTAATAAGGTTTTCGCCTTATTGAGGGTCTCGGGAGAACCTTAATAAGGTTTTCGCGAGACCCTTAATAAGGCGAAAACCTTATTAAGGTTCTCCCGAGACTCTTAATAAGGCGAAAACCTTATTAAAGTTCTCCCGAGACCCTTAGTAAGGCGAAAACCTTATTAAGGTTCTCCCGAGAACCGTAATGAGGCGAAAATCTTACTAAGGTTCTCCCGGGACCCGTAATAAGGCGAGAACTTTATTAAGGTTCTCCCGGGACCCGTAATAAAGCGAAAACCTTATTAGGGTTCTCCCGGGACCGTAACAAAGCGAAAACCTTATTAAGGTTCTCTCGGGAACCGTAACAAGGCGAGAACCTTATTAAGGTTCTCCCGGGACCCGTAATAAGGCGAAAACTTTATTAAGGTTCCCCCGGGACCCGTAACAAAGCGAAAATCTTATTAAGGTTTTCCCGGGACCCGTAATAAGGCGAAAACCTTATCGAGGTACTCCCGGGACGCGTAATAATGCGAATACCGTATTAAGGTTCTCCCGGGACTCGTAATAAGGCGAAATCCTCATTAAGGTTCTCCCGGGACCCGTAACAAAGCGAAAACCTTATTAAGGTTCTCCCGGGACCCGTAATAAGGCGACAACCTTATTAAGGTTCTCCCGGACCCGTAATAATGCGAAAACCTTATTAAGGTTCTGCCGGAACCCGCAATAAGGCGAAAACCTCATTAAGGCTCTCCCGGGACTCGTAATAAGGCGAAATCCTTATTAAGGGTCTCGGGAGATCCCTAATAATGCAAAAATCTTACTAAGTGTTTCTGGAGAACCTTAATAAGGTTTTCGCTTTATTACGGCTCCCGGGAGTACCTCGATAAGGTTTTTGCCTTATTACGGTTCCCGGGAGAATCCTAATAAGGTTTTCGCCTTATTACGGTTCCCGGGAGAACCTCAATAAGGTTTTCGCCTTATTACGGTTCCCGGGAGAACCTTAATAAGGTTTTCGCCTTATTACGGTTTCCGGGAGAACCTTAATAAGGTTTTCGCCTTATTACGGTTCCCGGGAGAACCTTAATAAGGTTTTCGCCTTATTACGGTTCCCGGGAGAACCTTAATAAGGTTTTCGACTTATTACGGTTCCCGGGAGAACGTTAATAAGATTTTCGCCTATCTACGGATCCCGGGAGAACCTTAATAAGATTTTCGCCGTATTACGGGTCCCGGGAAAACTTTAATAAGCTTTTCGCCTTATTACGGGTCCCGGGAGAACCTTAATAAGCTTTTCGCCTTATTATGGGTCCCGGGAGAACCTTAAAAAGGTTTTCGCCTTATTAAGAGTCTCGAGAGAACCTTAATGAGGTTTTCGCATTATTAAGGGTCTCGGGAGAACCTTAATAAGGTTTTCGCCTTATTAACGGTCTCGAGAGAACCTTAATAATGTTTTCGGCTTATTAAGGGTCTCGAGACAACCTTAATAAGGTTGTTGCCTTATTAAAGTTCTCCCGGGACCAGTAACAAGGCGAAAACCTTATTAAGGTTCTCCCGGGACCCGTAAGAAGGCGAAAACCTTATTAAGGTTCTCCCGGGACCCGTAACAAGGCGAAAACCTTATTAAGGTTCTCCCGGGACCCGTAATAAGGCGAAAACCTTATTAAGGTTCTCCCGGGACCCGTAACAAGGCGAAAACCTTATTAAGGTTCTCCCGGGAACCGTAATAAGGCGAAAACTTTATTAAGGTTCTCCCGGGACCCGTAAGAAGGCGAAAACCTTATTAAGATTCTCCCGGGACCCGTAACAAGGCGAAAACCTTATTAAGGTTCTCCCGGGACCCGTAATAAGGCGAAAACCTTATTAAGGTTCTTCCGCGACACGTAACAAGGCGAAAACCTTATTAAGGTTCTCCCGGGAACCGTAATAAGGCGAAAACTTTATTAAGGTTCTCCCGGGACCCGTAAGAAGGCGAAAACCTTATTAAGGTTCTCCCGGGACCCGTAATAAGGCTAAGACCTTATTAAGGTTCTGCCGAGACCGTTAATAAAGCGAAAACCTTATTAAGGTTCTCCCGAGACCCGTAATAATGCGAAAACCTTATTAAGGTTCTCCCGAGAACCTTAATAAGGCGAAAACCTTATTAAGGTAACCCGGGACCCGTAATAAGGCGAAAACCTTATTAAGGTTCTCCAGGGACACGTGATATGGCGAAAACCTTAATAAGGTTCTCCCGGGACCCGTAATAAGGTGAAAACCTTATTAAGGTTCTCCTGGGACCCGTAATAAAGCGAAAACCTTATTAAGGTTCTCCCGGGACCCGTAATAAGGCGAAAACCTTATTAAGGTTCTCCCGGGACCCGTAACAAGACGAAAACCTTATTAAGATTCTCCCGGGACCCGTAATAAGGCGAAAACATTATTAAGGTTCTCCCGGGACCCGTAATAAGGCGAAAACCTTATTGAGGTTCTCCCGGGACCCGTAATAAGGCGAAAACCTTATTAAGGTTCTCCCGGGACCCGTAATAAGGCGAAAACCTTATTAAGGTTCTCCCGGAACCCGTAAGAAGGCGAAAACCTTATTAAGGTTCTCCCGGGACTCGTAATAAGGCGAAAACCTTATTAAGGTTCTCCCGGGAACCGTAATAAGGCGAAAACCTTATTAAGGTTCTCCCGGGACCAGTAATAAGGCGAAAACTTTATTAAGGTACTCACGGGACCCGCAAGAAAGCGAAAACCTTACTAAGGTTCTGCCGGGACCAGTAACAAAGCGAAAACCTTATTAAGGTTCTGCCGAGACCCTTAATAAAGCGAAAACCTTAGTAAGGTTCTCCCGGGACCCGTAATAATGCGAAAACCTTATTAAGGTTCTCCCGAAACCTTAATAAGGTTTTCGCTTTATTACGGGTCCCGCGAGAACCTTAAAAAGGTTTTCGCTTTATTACGGGTCCTGGGAGTACCTCGATAAGGTTTTCGCCTTATTACGGTTTCCGGGAGAACCTTAATAAGGTTTTCGCCTTATTACGGTTCCCG